TATTTGTTTTAATTATATTTTAATGCATATTTTTTACAGTTTCTGCTTTAAAATATTTTTTGTAGCTCATTCTAAAAGTCTCCGTTTAAAATAATAAAAAATTCATTTTTGTCGAGGTTTCAATATTTCCTGACAAAAATCGGTGCGGCCTCCAGTGGATTGGCAAAATAATATTTGTTAAATATCAAAAGTGCGAGCAAAAATAAAAATTCAAAACTCCTAGAAAGAAGTAAAAAGTTTGACCTAGGGCGTCTGGAATTCTCTCAAGACGGAAATATCGAGAAAATTCGTAGATCCGCGTTTTTGCCCTGCGGTGCACAATCTATGGCCTCTCGCTCTCCAACCAGCTCCCTTTGAGCATTTGAACTTGAAAGAGATCAAACAATTGCGAAAACCATTCAAATTCCGCACAGTGATCTGAAATTTTATTTCACATTTTTTGTTCCACTACCAAATACTAACGAGTTCAATGGAGTAAAAATTAGATTCGCGCCGTGGTGTTGTTAGAAAGGAGGCGTGTTCCACCCTTATTCACATTCTATATAGTTTGCAAGGGTTAAACCGAATTCAGAACGTTCGACGATGAATTTGCGTTTTTTTATCCTTCTCAAGGTGCTGACGAGCATCAATCACGTGAGTTCTCACTCGTTCGTCTTGTTTTTCCGTGGAAAAATGATCGATATTAGCAACAATTAAACGTTAACCACGTAATCAAGATTTCATAGATTAAGCTTTTATTACTTTGTTTACACAAACTCTACATTAGCTCTTCTATATATGCATTTTTAAGGAAATTTCCTGTTAAAAATATGATATTCATTAAAACATAAATTGCTGTTTTTGCTTTAATATAGAGAGTAAAAATTTTATCATTCAAGGAAAAGAGCTTCTCTTTTTGACTAAAATATACTACTCAAATAGTAATCATTTATTCAGAAAATCTCAATTTTGTTCAAAATAATAAAAATAATTAAAGGATAGAAGAGTAGAAGCTTTGCGCATCTACAAAATTGTTACTGTTATTGTAATATATTAACTGATTTTATTCAATTTAAAACGTTCCAAAGAAAATATTGAATTTGTTGAATTTATTTGGGTTAAACTTTTATTTAATGTGTTTTATAAAAAATTTCAGCTTAAAATTCAGTTTTATTCCAGCACAATTGATTTAATAATAATACCACTAATATTATTTTCTGAGTTTAAATTAGTTAAGATTGCAGCGTTGCAAAACCTGACAATAAATTTTGACTGAATGGATTTGATTTGATATTTTCAAAATTTTCAAACCATTTCCCAAATTTAATTCATACTCCTGCTTAATCAGTTTGAAATTTCAATTTAGGACCAAATTATTGAAAAATTGATATAGTTTGCTTAATCCTCTCAAGTCGTCATGAAAAATTTGAAAACGGATTGCACGAAAAGAAAATATGTAGTAATTGAATCTCATTTTCAAGAACATTTTCCACCATTTCTCTATCATTTGTATCATTCTAATTTGTCCTTATTTTTTTTCACTTTGCTATTAATAAATTTAATAAGCATCTATAAAAAACCCCAATTTTATATCATATTTTTATTTGTATTTTATCACGGGTATTAATTTTATCTTGCTGACGGATTGGTGGGAGCTGTGAAATTGATAATTGAAATAATTGATAAAGAGCATGCAAGAAGTTCTGTAATCACTCAAAGGAAAGTGTCAGGCTTAACCGGTTCATTATTTCCTTATATCCCTGAGTAAACAAATTAAGCGCACATGCGTTCTATTTTTGCAGTCCTCGTCATTTATGCACGGATGACGGCGCTTTTCTCCTTTCAGATGAATTATTGAAAATCCAACCCACTAATCTGACGCCACTCAAAGTGCATCGCGTCTCTCCGTCTGGAATCATTTTATTTTTGTTTAATTTTTTTCCAACTGGGCTACCGAGCGTCCGGCCTCTGCGTCGTCAATTTGAGAATGCACAATGCGATCTTGATTATGGGGTAACGAGGACACAGAATATTCCTAGCGTTTGATGGTGACGTAAGCGGTCGGTCGGGGTGACGTAGCCGGAGACTGAAACGCTACTGCGGAAAAAGCCCAGTTGCCATGACAACGCACCTTGAAGCAAAAAATACACACACACTTGTAATCACAGACAGGTCGACCGATTCAAATTTCAGTTGCCGTATCTGTGCGAGCGAACATGGGGCAAAAGGTTCTTTCGTTTTGAAGAAGAAAAATAAGGGAAAATTCGGAGCTTCACTCCGTCATTGACTGCTAATTTTAACAAAAAAAAAGAGGGAAAGAAGAAAAAGAATGGCTTTTGTGGTGGTGTTAAAAAAAGTGCCAGCTTAAATCGTTCCAGTAAAAATCTGACACAAAGGAAAAAAAGATCAAATGAATTTGTCTTCAGTTCATTTAATATTGAATTAAGTTCCATTTACTTGTTTATAAACATAAATATGGCTGATGTTAACAATTTAGCAACTTTATTAATTAATTGCAGATAATTAATGAATCGCCTCAAACTTTAAATAAATAAAAATCCTGAATTAATCACAATTAAAAAAAAACAGATTTTCAGTTTTCAACATTTTAAAAGTAAACTTGATGCAAACTTGTAAATATTATTATTGTTGTTTATTCGTCCAAATTGATACATCACAAAGATTAATGGCAAAATATTTTAAAACTGTTCAATATCAGAATTTTTCTGCCCAACATTGAACATCATTAATCTTAAACATGTATATAATTCAGTTAAAAAATTAAATAGTTGACGAATTAAATTAAAAAACGCATATCATCATATCATGTCTGATTAAAAAAAATACTTTAAAATTTTACAAAACCTCATTGAACGGTTTTTCCTATATTAATTGCTTCATATTTAAAATAATTTTCAACTAGTCACCCTGAACCAATTTGAATTTCAATTGCGCGTGTTTCTGTAAAAATTAATATTTGCAGTTTGCTAGCCAGAAATTTAACCTATCAAAAATCGACACTGTGGCCTATTAGTGGCCCAGTTCTCAATCTTTTGGCACTGCGTCTTCTCTTTTTCCGTAATATCCCGGACGTGCTTGCTTAGCTAGATGGGTTCCGGCCGCTGCTGGCTACCTGAAGTCGGCATTTAAAGCTCGATAGCCGACTTTCTGTGTGTGTGTTGTGAGTAGGCGATGTAGTTGGGCGTATTGATCGGCAAGGCCGTGACGTAGCGCCGCGTGTGTATTGATTTACATTTAAATATATATGTATGAAATTTCGCAGTTTAAAGAGCCGCGCGTCTCGCCTTTTTTGCTATGCATCGGCGAAACGCACACGCGCCGATGCCAATCAGGATTATTAACGAGGACATGTATTTATAATTCGCGCAAAAACGACAATACGCGCGCGGTCGGGCCACACGCTGTCGTTCCACTTCAGCCGGGATTTGCACGGTTTTTGCCACCAAAGTGGCTTTGCAGAGAGCGCGGCCAAACGGCAAATGTCAACGTTGCTTAGCTAATTGAAAAAGCTGATTTATGACACCGAGAATTAAAATTAATTAAGACTGATAAAGTTTTTTTTTTAAACATTTCACTTATCTACATATTTAGTTTATTACGTTCTTTTAAATTCGATATATCAAATTAAATATTTAATAAAATAATCATAGAAGTTATTGGAAAAAAATTAATCAAAAAATCTTGCGATAATTTGATCAAATTTGATTTTAAATTTGCATTAAATAAAATAAATGAAATAATAAAAAAAGCTAAAAGAAATAAAAAAGAAATAACAAAAATAAAAGTACAGCATTTAAAGATATTTAAGCATAATGATTTGTGTTATTGTTATTTGTTTCTTCATGTTTTTACAATACATTGTTTGTTGAAAACTTTATTAAAATAAGAATTGTTGGACAAATAGGCACCACCATTAGCAAGAATTTTGCTAAAACATCAGAAATAAAAAAGATCCTGGAGTGAGCCTCGGTTGACGTTTTGTTAAAAATTTAAAGCATATTAAAATTTTTTCTGGCCTCCCTTTGAAACATTTTGTTATTGAAATATTCTGTCTTTATTTTGTCTTTTGATTGCAAATTGTAGCAAATTTTAGTTTTTTTTTATTTGAATACAAATTTACTTCATTTAAGGATTTCTTGAAAGTTTCAGAAAAGGTTAATAAACTTCACAGTAGTTCTGCTAAATTAAAGAAAATTAATTCTCAGAAGTTGCTGTAACGCAGAATAAAACTTATTTTAAACAAATTAAAAAGCAATTAAATAATCATGCAAATTTTTTTGAAAGACTTTAAAACAAAAGAAGGCCGTGCGCAGTGCGTTGGAAACTGCATTGCTTTTGTATTTAGCCTCGGCCTGGTGTCGTGCAATGATTGCCGCGGGTTTTCTTCTTGGAACTCTCTCACACAGAAGTTAATAACGGACGTCGTCCCGAGTCACGCTTTGCTCAATTTGCATCGTGAATAAGGTCGTCTATTTTCCCCCTCGGGCACTATGTGCGCGGGCGGTTGCTAATCCGTCGCGATATAACTGCCGACGAGTTGGGAAAGTTTCGGAAAACGAGAGAATTTGGCGAGAAGTGGTTTTTCCACGAAACGCAAACGGACATGCCCCCGACATGCTGCTTTCCGCACAGCTCGAAATTCCCAGCTGCTGCCTGTGTTAATGACGAGGAATGGTCTCCCATCCTCTGGTGTAACAAGCGCGCCGTAAAATTTAAACCTCGCCGTGTTAATTAGTAAATACCTGCTAGGAGTGGTTAGGGGAGCGTGCAAGTTGAAACGTTTAAATGAAAGCACACTGTGTGGGAAAAAAAATTCCTATTGAAGTGAAGTATTATAAAAAATTTCAAACGTCTAAATTTAATGAATTTTCTATTTAATTTTGTTGCGACTAAATCGGTGGAGCTCGCGACACCTCGATAATTGTTACCCTTTTTGGCACATAGTAATTAACGAGACGGCAGTAATGGACGTCATTGACCTTTTATTTTCTTTGTTGCAGGACTCGTAAAAGGATTATGTGTTGTAGTCGGATATGGTGAGTATGAGTATCTACTTATTTAAAAGCACCGAAACAAAACACGGTTGGAAAGACTTGCGAGAGAAAAAGCAAACTGTGCTAACGACCCTCAAAAAATTCATAGTCACCTCATTTAAAATTTGAAAAATTTAAGAAATAATCAAAACAAGTCGTGCGAACAAAAGATATCAAAATTTTGTAGAATTTCCAACAGAGTGCTCAAGTTAAAATTTTTATGACATAAATTGATTTATTTAGTTAACTACCCATCGTAGCAGGAAAAAATTTAAATGAAGAAGAATAATAATTGTTTATCTGATTCAATTAATTCATTTGAAACTGACCGTCAATAGCTCCATTCTCTTTTATTGGGACTTATTAAAGTTCCAACAACTGCCCGGTCTTGTTAGCCGCATTCCTAGCTGACGAGATATAAAAAACGAAGTTATGCAACCCCAATACAGCTGGGTCGCGCAGGTTGCCTACCACTCTTTAAGTATAACTTTGAGAAATTCTGCAGAGCTAAAAAGAGCGCAAATGCCAAAGGGTGTCGCACTATTTACTCACTGCTTATCTCTCAAGAACGAGCATAAAACGCGGGGTGGCGCACCGAGCCAAAATTTATGATCCAATCGCCATTTAAATGAGTAGGGGGTCATGCCAAGTGGGATGTAGACGCGAAATTGGGGCCAAAGGTCTCGTTCGCGCGCACGCCAGCGCGCGCGATGCGTCGTCCGCACCCACGCATCTCTCTCTCGCCCGCTCGCGGTGGCACCGGATTAGCCGCGGCGAGTAGTTAAAGTGGCACGGACACATGCTCTAGTCGGGCTTATTTATTCCGAGCATCGACAGCAGACTGGCCTCTCGGCGTTTTTACGCGGCACTTGCTCCCCTTTCATTCATAATGGAGGTGGCCTGTGAATGTGGCAAAGTACCAGCAGAGCTGTAGCTCAATCGATATCACCAACCAGCAAGCAACTCCCTAACCGTGCCGGCGAAGGACGGATTCAGGCTGCTGCTTGTTCTCCACTAGCCGCCGCACTTTTGACTTTAAGCCACTGGCACCACGCTCGCTAGCTCTAGCCACTCGCTCTTTCTTCTATAAAAAACTATCTACAGTCATGAAAACACCCTGCTGAAAGTATTACTGGCTACATTTTATTAGTGGATAATCTTTAAACCAGCAGAAAATTTAAATACCTAAGAAATAATTATGTTACGAATCTTTGAGAAAGGAATTTTTGAAATATACACAAGAATGAAATATATTTAAACATTTTGATGAAATTTTTTCTCCGTTTTCGGACTTTCCTTAGAGTGTTTTTGAACAGTAATAAAAACTAGGAAGTTTTTCTTAAATTACTTTATTTCAATATATGCACAAAATCAAATTAAAAAGAGGTTTTCACCACTTTTTTCTTTAAAGCCGAAAAAAAAATATTTAATCTAATCTAATATTTGAAGAAGTGGTTCTCTTTTGTGGGAGAAAACAGCTGATTGTGAGAGTGAAGCTGAAATCGAAATTTCCATTTTTTTCACGGAAACGTTTGTGATCTGTGACTATTAATATTGCGAAATTTTAATTTGAAGATAGCAAGTTTAAATGGAGAATAAATAAATAAATAAAATCATTTAGAGTTATAAAATCTCAGCTTTAAATTTTAAATCAACAATCAAGGAATTTTAATATTGAAAATTTATTTTAAGTCCTTCCTATCCAGCTCAAAATAAGCTAGAATATAAAAAAAAAAATCAAAACTTATACTCTCTGAAGGCAATAAAATGCATTTTGTTTAAAAATTTCTATAAATTTGTTCCCAATTGTAAATAAAAATTAAATTGCAATATTCTAATTATTGATTATAATCTTCAAATTAAATATTGAATAAATTATAGTTATTAAACTATATTTAAAGATAAAAGCAGACTAAATCTTAATAACTTTTTCACACCAAATTCTTAAAATAAAAACAAATAATCATCTTGATTTAAATAAACTGTCAAATGCGATTGCATGACAAGTTTGAGGCTTCGCAGTCCACATTTCAATTTATTTATTAAGACGTAGCTGGCGGGCCAACCCTTTGGCTGCGGCACGCAATGCGCGTGTATTCGTATATTTTCAGCGTAACCTGTGTGGGGGTCAGCGCAGGAGGAGCGCGTCAGACGGCGCTTGCCTGCTGCTTTGCAGTTGGTCCCTTATTGAAGGAGAGCAGAGTAGGTCATTAGACCGCGGCTGCATTTCCATTGCTGGCATCGTTTTCAGCCTCGCCGTGTAAAGGGGGGACGAAATGTGGTGCTTGCTATTCGGTGCGGCCCGCCTTTCCCTCTCGTTTTGTGGGTCAACAAGATTTTTCCGAGAATCTGCCGAGAGGAGTTTTGCCTGCCAAGGAAGGTTTGGACCGCAACGCGGAAATTCCGATGAATCGGATGGATTTTTTATGGCCGCGACATCGTACGAATCTCGAGCGTGGGCGAACTTTTGTGGGAAAACATACTAGATACATAAATGGCAGTATAAATTATTCTGTTTGCCGGCAGAGAACGTTGTGGGGGAGCAAAAATAGAATCAACGTGCCTTTTATACTTCCTCCACTCTGTTTTCGAGGGTAAAAACAAACTTTTTATGTTGACAATGATTTCTTAATATCTGCGTTTTGTTGATTGGAATACCAATTCAATTAAAAATATTAAATTTTTTTAATTAAAATTTTCATTTATATATAATTAATTTGGAGAATAAAATTACCCTTTTTTTGTCGAGATAACTGAAAAGTCTCTATAGATGAATTAAAAAAATAATGTGATTGGCTAATATTTGAAAGCAAATTAATTAAACAGCGCAGTCGGAATGAAAATTGTGTAATTTCGATTTATGGCTCGTAATTACAGTCCTGTTTTTGAGCAAACACGCCACAAGCAATGCGTGATCCGGTGCGTGTTTGCGTCTCACTATTTTCCTAAACTAATTTCGCTTCCTGCGGCCGCGACACGCGCGCGCGGGGGTCAAATAATTTCACCCCTTCCTTGTCAACGTCCGCCCTTTGCAATTATTTTTCCGCCTCAAAAAAACTCGGATTTGAGTAAATGAGTGCATTTTTTTGCTTTTATGCTCGTTAAAATTTGTGAACCAGTATGACCTGCCCGCGTGTGAAATGAATGTGGCACGGCTTAACTAGCTTGGATCATAATTTGATGCATAGTCGGAGTACAAACACCCAGTTCCTGCTCGAGTTCCGTCTTGGTAACAAGTTGCGGAGCAATAACCTAGAGATTTAATGCGGCAAAGTTCAAGGCAGTGAGTCTCAGAATTTCAGGAGCAAAATGTAACTTTTCTTAACAGAAACGAACGGATTATTGAAGATTTCTCTTAAATTCTTTGCAAATTTTTAATTGATTTTGAGAAAGATTTGGATTAAATAAATAAAAATTTCAAATGGAAGGGAAAAATGCTCAAAAACCACCGAGATTGACAATGTTTAGCAAAGTTTGAAGCAGTTAGCCTGGTGCTGTTTAACAAAGTCGCCGTATTATTGGATTGACCCCGACTGACCTTGTTTTGCCATCTCACTGAAAACGCGGTTGCTAGCAGGCAGCTCTAGCATTAAATTTTCCACTATCGAGACCCTAATTCAGCAGCAGCCGAGTTCCCCTTTTTCCAATTCCAATTTCTGAGATTCCGTTTCTCCCTCTTTAAATTCCCACCGACTTAATTGCCGCAGTTTCAAATTGGCCCGGCAATTTCAATAAATAAAGGCGACCTGCTCGGAAAGTGAAAAATAAAAAGAACGGAACCGGCAGGGAGGGAGGTGCGCTCGCCCGCTCGCTGGCTCACTCCCCAGCACCCCTTAGGCGAACCCTTTAGTAGGCAGTATGTGCACTCTCACTATGTCTGCCGCATTGCGTCATCACGAGCCTTCGCACAGACTCGGCAGCGCTACACGGGCACCAAATAAACGCACGTGATGACGATCGCGATTGTTTCACCTGATTCCACCGCCCAAATTCCAAATCCGACTTAAGCCTGGCTCAAGCAAGGTGTTACTACCCTCAATTTTAATTACCCAAAACGAATTATAAAATTAGTATTCAAAAATAGTTTACTCTTCAAAGCTGTCGGAAAATTTCTGCAAAACACATGCAATCAATTTCATTTTTCAGCACAATAATTATTGTTTGCTTAAAGACTTGTCAAATTAAATCTTTGAAGCAAATTTCTGCGACGATTGTTGGAAATTTTAAACCCCATTGTTGAGATAGACCAATAAGGAGTTCATATTATTTGTACAAGTCTTTACTTCTAAAATTTTCAAAAGCAATTTGAATTTTCCAGTTGCTTTTTATTTTATAAAATCCTCTCACATTTCGAATTTTATTTTCAAACAAATTTAACAACCGTGACTCTCAGGGCTCTTAAAATATTTGTAAGGTATTTTGAAATAGAAAATTGAATTTTATTTTTTAACAAAAGGGTGATTTTTATTTAATTTTGCACCCTTTGCGAAAGTGTGAAACCAAAACGAGGGTAAAACAGTGTGGCGTGAGCCCGTAGAAGCCCATTTCGGGTGTGGCCGAGCGATCGGCTCCTCCGACAGGCCCCTCGAGGCCGCGGCGGTAAACGGCGCAAAGTCGTTTTGGGCGCCGGAATCGGTCACACTGCAACTTCCATAAACACCCGACAGTCGCCGCGCGATTAACCTTTCAACTCGGATGGGAGGGAATTCCCTGGCTGCCGGGTTTCAGCTGCATTATTTTTTGCTCGCTCGCGAGCGAGCGAACGAACGAACGAGAGAGCGCGCTGGCGAGCGGTGGTTGGAGAGAAGGTCGAGAGGGCGCCCGGTCGAGAACACACCCCGGCTGACCCCAAGACAAATCCTCGCCCTGCGTTTGACAATCGGAAAGAAAAATTGCAGAATAAATAGTCCAAACTTCCGAGGCACGCTCGTCTCGATTGAGATATTTTTGCTTTTTGTCCTTTTTTTCGGAGAGTATTTTAACCGGAACGACTGTGTCTTGTTCCAGGAAACGTGACTCCGAGTAACAATATGACGTCATGGAATACGCCGTTTTCGTGAGCCAAGCTGGACTGCACGCGTGAAACATCCCTCATTAGGAGGGTGGTGAGTAAACACACGCCCGATTCCATTATTATTATCTCTTATCGATCAGCAGCACTTCATCGCCTCCTCTTTTGATGTGTTATTTGTTTGATCAAGCGGCTGAGCCAATATATCAATGGAATATCATTCAATTTGCGATAATGACGGTTGCGAACATTTATTTATCGATTCTCGTTCGGTCCGCGCGACATCTCTGCTCTCGAAATGCGATGGATTTTGAGTTTTTGTGGCGTCGTATTTCACGGGGTATAATTCCGGTTTAGTGCACGGCGAATGAGATCCACCAGCGCAGCGTGCACCTGCCATAAAATTTCGCAGACACGCCCCATGTATTTCGTCGGTGGCCGGCTGTGGCAAACGTATTCTGGGAATACACGTTCAATATATATACAGACATCCCTGGTGCTTTCTCTTATTTATATTTTGGGTGGAGAACACCAGCAATCAATTATTTGATGTGGTCTCTTTTACAGTCACACAAAAACGAAATAATTGCGTTTTTGTTGGATGAAATTGATTGAATTAAAGGTGCATTAATTATTCAGTTCCCTTCCCGTGATCGATATTTTGAAAAGTAAAACTCAATTTGATAATAAAAATTTAACTCCTCCCATGCATTGATAATTAAAACATGAAAAAATCTGTAAAAAAAAATAATAATAAAGTCAAGATCTTCTCACTGTTAGCATAGTCAAGGGGTGAGCCGTATCTCAATTTTTCACTTTAACGACTAATTTTTATTATTTTTTCTTATTATTCATAAATTTATTCACAGGAGATGATATTTATTTTCTTAGTCCAGATTAATTTATTAATTTTAATTAATATAAATACACGTTATCGAATACCATTTTTGAAAAAGATATTACAAAAAGTAGAGAAAACCAATTATACTGGATTATATAAAATAACTCAAGGTATTGTGGTTCTCTTTGTACTTATTATTGTATCCTATCTTAAGTCTGCCAGAAGAGTAAGAATTGTTTTTTTTTTTTTATTGATTATTGATTTAAAATTCAATTGCGTACTTCAAAGCGAATCTCGAGGAAGGGGAATGTATGCAACCGGTGTGACGTGGATGCGAGACGGTTGCCTACTTTTACAGAAATGGAAATGCATTACTGTATATTTTTTAGAATATTTTATCGTTATAATTTAAAACTGTAAAACGTCAATTATTTTTAACTGATTAAGATAGAAAATTTCATGTGCTGCTGACGATTTTCAACTTGTTTTTAAAATTTCAGCGCAATGTTTTTTTTTTAACTAATGGTGATTGTATGGGTTTCAGGTGTCAAGGTAGCGATAGGTCAGAGAGGATGATGCGCTATGCTATCGCCTCAGGTTGCTGCGAGGCCCCCGCCCGGAGGAGCGCTGCCCCACTTGCCGCTGAGAGAATCGCAGCTGCAAGTTCCACCCCCTTGGAGACCTGTCGCCGCCGAAGTACTGCTTGAGCGAACCAGCCGGCATCCCGAAGCTAGCTGCTAGCCCATTACCTTCTCAGCCCATTGTCTGTACCCCCAGACAATGTCTGAAGACTCGGAAAGCGTCTCTGAGGAAGAACGCAGCTTGTTCCGTCCTTTCACGCGAGAATCTCTTGCAGCTATCGAGGCGCGCATTGCCGAGGAATATGCCAAGCAGAAGGAGCTTGAAAAGAAGAGAGCGGAAGGAGAGGTGAGTCAAAAAGGCCCTTTCAAACCTTTCGTATTTATGCGTTTTCGGCCCACCACTTTCAGCCACTTCAGGGAAGTGACCAGTGCTGCGGAATCGCATTTCCATTTTTTTCATAAATATATCTGCAAAGTGGTCGCTGCGCATTTCCGATTACCCTCGAGGTTTGCAAAAGAAATGCGCAGTCGATCAGCAAAACATTCATCATATCAGAGGAATGAAACAGTTCCAAACTCCATTCATTGGGCAGAAGAAAATGTATAAGAATTTTAGATCAGACTTTCAAAAAGTGAAAGCCGGGCTTGTTGCAGAAATCATTTTATTATAAAAAATCTGCAAATGTATGGTCTTTTTCATGAGCAAAGAAGTTAAGCTCTTTTTCTCTTTTGAGGTTAGGAGTTAATTTTGATAATTTTTGTTTTTCAAACAATAATTTTTTTTATATAAAACGATTTCTTTAACAAGTCCGAAATTCAAAGTAATTAAAATAAATCAGTTCCTCTCTGCCTAACAATGACTGGAGATGTATTTTCCATACTTCCAAATCCATAACCACGACTAACATAAAACTTTGACACATACCTTCAGTTTTTCATCGAATGATTCTAAACATTTCCTTTGAATTGGCCAATCAATTGACACGAAGTCAAATCAGATTAGGTTATCTCCCTCCGGAGAGCAATTGATTTGCCATTGTTAGGATGTATCAGGAACGCCGTGTGTGTGTCATCAATCACTAGATCGGAAATAACGAATGAGGGTGCCAATTGCAGTAGCAAACAAAAGCGAATACGAAAAAAAAAACAGTTCCAATTTTTATTATTTGTTAATTTCATACCACAAGAGTTGTGGTTTTCGCTGTGTGTGTGAGTAGAAAAATAATTAACCACCCATTCTGCATGAAATATGTTTTGAGTGTCCAAGACGAGTTTTACCCCTTTCGGTATACTTCATGCTGAACCAACCAATTCGTGTGTTATTCATGATTAGGCGCATAATGCATTTTCAGTGTTGTCGTACGTACATGTGTGCCGTGTGACTTTTGCATCCGTTTGCAGCGTACAAACCACCAAAACTGTCTGGTTGCGTTCGTGATTTTGGTATTCTTGGCAAAATCACGAACAAAACTTGTGTTTCTCCCCAAGCCTTAGCAACTCTATTTAAAATCAATCTCAGAAAATTCCCATTCGAATCCACGAGTTTGATTTTCTGTAGACGGTTGCATGCGAAAAAGCTTCAAATTCTGTCAAGTCTCTCTGTTGCCTATAATTGGAAAGAGTCCCTGATGTTACAAAGAATGTTTCATGTGTATTAAGCGCTATGCTTTGACGTGTACCAAATTTTTATATTACATTTTCCAGATTTTTTTATTTGAAGCGATTTGAGCCGGTGTGTTGAAACGCCGGCGCCTTGACGCTTTTTCCATGATTTATTTCCCAAAAAACCAACATTTTATACAAAGTGCGTGTGCGAGCGTGTGTTTTGATTTCCAAAAAATCTCTTTCTGCAGCAATTAGTGGTGCAGAACACTTCTCTATGCTCCTCTCTATCTCTGTCATATTTTACATATGATGTAGAAAAACTTGTAGAGAAAAAAAAACATATGATTTCTTTTCTCCTCCTTCTCTCTTTCCTGGTGTGTGTTCTCAATGTTCTGCCGTCTTTTCTTTCGATTGCAGGATTTTGGGCGGAAGAAAAAGAAAAAAGAAGTAAGATTTTCTAACTGACACTATATATTTATGCAATTATTCGTTACGTCATACATTTAGCCTCTATGGTTTCTTTCATTCTCTCTCTTTCTCTTTAAATTGCGTTCTCTTTTTTGCTTGATTTCGCTCCATTTCCTCTTCTCCTAGATTTCTCTTCCTCGCGCTTTTAAACTAACTAAACGAGAGAATAAATAAATCCAAATTGATTGCAGAGAAATTCTCAAAGGCGTCCGAAGTTCTCAAGCTAAATCATGACAAATTTAATTTACATCAAGAATGCAAATAACCTTAAATTAAGATTTATAACTTCACGGACGTCTTTTTTTTATTTCTTTGGCGTACATATTTACTAATTATTAAATAATTTAAAACTTTAATTTCCTCTTCTCTATTTCATCCAATATGGTTGTTAAGGTGGAAATATTCTAAATAACATATAATTTTAAATAATTACACCATCTAAAAAGAATTATCCTGCTTTTCTATGAAAAAAATAATTATTTCCACCTCGCAAACATGTAATAATAATTCAAACAAAAGATCCGCCTCCTCACGAAACACCACACCTCTGCATTAAAATTGCTGCTATGCGCGTGAACGAACCCCTGCTGCTGTTTTGCAAACTGCGCCGCATTGCATCTGCACGGAAATTTGATGCGTGTGTTGAAATATATTCAACTCCTTGGTGTGTGCTGCTCTTGCTGTTCTGTGTTTGCTTTGCTCTCTAGCCAAAGGATACATTAAAATGTTATTATTATTATCCCTTTTGAGAAAAAAGAAAATGTTTAATTCCCGAACTGGTGAAAATCAGTATAAATGCTAAAAGGTGAAATTCTGATTTTCAGCTTCCCGTGTTGACATTCCCCGACGTGTGCATGACCTTTTTATGTTTTCGTCCCTGTTCATCCGGCCACCAACGTTCAAATGCGACTAACTTCTTTACACGAATTTATTTATTTAAAAGGGAGAGCTGTGGTGGAATAAAAAGTGTCGCCACGCTATTCAATCGCCGCGCTATTCAACCTGTAATGCACCCTGATTTTGCAATTGAATCTTTCTCACTAAATGTGCCCATTGCTACGAGCGTAAATAACTCTCAATGTGGTCGCAAGCTATTATAATATTTTTTTGACAATCACGATTCACAAGCTTTCAAGAATTTCCGTCTCGTTAAAAATTATCAGGAATTCTGCTATATATGTGTCGCAACTTTTAATATGTCTCTTTAAAATCCAGCACTTTTATTTTCTCTAAATATTTCAAGCCGCAGATAAATTATAATACAGCATGTCGAAAAGATTATATTAAAAATTTATTTATAATATTCAAATTGGAAAAAAGAGCTTCATCGAGATCCTTGATTGGCCTAGTTGGATTTAGAAAATATTTGAAAAAAAAGCATGAAGTTAATTTTTGGAGTTACCAGATGCTTTTAATACATTCCCATATTACATCTGTCAATATTTGCTCATTCTCCATTTGTAGACGAAATCGTTAGATTATTATATAAATATTAAAAGAAACATATACATTCAATTTCATGGCTCTAGTATGGAACTTTAGTGCACTGATGAGTTATAGAATGAATTAGGATTTCAATGAATGAAGCTTTGATAATTGACGAGTTAAAGGACTGCTTTTGCCTAGAGCCACTTAAGTATGTGTTTACAATTGAGAACGTGTTTGCGTAGGTGAATTTGGATTTGGAACAATTTTTATTCAATTCGAATCTGGCGTCCCCGGTCCGTCTCCGCAGGGCAGATTGTTCTTATTTTGTTTCCTCGGCAGGTTCGGTATGAGGACGAGGACGAAGATGAAGGCCCCCAACCGGACCCTACCTTGGAGCAGGGCGCACCAATCCCAGTGCGTCTGCAGGGTGGCTTCCCTCCAGAGCTTGCATCCACCCCTCTAGAAGATATTGATAGTTTTTATCATAACCAAAGAGTGAGTTGTTTGCTTTATATTCTTAAATTCTTGGACTCGAAAGTCGAAAGAAAAAATTTCATGACTAAAATCAAGATGAAAAAATTTGAATTTGTAAGGGATGAAAACCAGGATTTTGAAGATTCACCTTTTAAATCTCAAAAAATACAATTTGAACTTTAAGAAAGTCTTAAAATTTGCTTACTTGGTTCAATTTAGTGAATTAGCAATGAAGACAGGAAAAGGTGGACTTTGAATCCCTCTTTTATCCTTAAACAGTTCAAATCTTGTGATTTCAATCTGTTCTGGATTCAATTCAAGATTTTTTTTTTTAATTCGAGAATGAATTTTGTGTAATTTTTTTTACAATTTTCGTCTCACGCTTCTCTCTGCTGCAGACATTTGTGGTGATAAGCAAAGGAAAAGACATCTTCCGCTTCAACGCAACCGACGCCATGTGGCTGTTGGACCCATTTAACCCCATACGTCGTGTGGCTATTTGTATCTTGGTTCACCCGTTGTTCTCGCTGTTCATCATCACTACCATCCTGACCAACTGCATCCTCATGATCATGCCCACAACGCCCACCGTCGAGTCCACAGAGTAAGATTTCGGCAGATAATAAAAAAAAATTCAAATATCTCCCCCCTATGCAAAAACCAAAAATCAAAATTATTTAAAAAAAATTCTCTTTCAAGAAAAGCTCCAGGCATTTGATTCTTAATTGGGAAACAGTTTAAAAAAAATCCTTTCTATTTACATTATTGATTTTTTTTACAAACCCACTTATTCTGCATTATTGTTGTTTACATACAATTATTTCTATTAATTACTAAGTGTTTAATGAGTGTCTCCTATACTAAAAACAAAACCATTTATATTATCGCCTAGGATCTAAACTTTTCATAATTACCTTTTGTAGAGCAGGTGCGGACTGGTTCATTGGCTAATTTATTTAATCTAACTATATTGGAAGAGTTTTGCAGAAAAATAAGAGTAACGTAGCTCCCAGTATATTTGGCTCCAGTCCGCGCCTAGCGTAGCAAAATAAATGTGGTAGAAATCTAGTTTCATATATATTTATACATTGATCCCCTTTAGAAACCAAGTGAATTTGTTACTTGGCAACAGAATTTAAACTTAAACGCAATGTAATTTTTCCAGAGTAATATTTACTGGCATCTACACATTTGAATCTGCAGTCAAAGTGATGGCTCGCGGGTTCATATTGCAGCCGTTTACCTACCTTAGAGATGCATGGAACTGGTTGGACTTCGTAGTTATAGCTTTAGCGTGAGTTATCTAGAAAACAATTAGCTAGCTAGATTTTACATAGACGATTATAATACTCTATCTATTTACTATATATTTTCTCATATAGTAATAAACTTTGTTTTTATTAGTTTTCTAAATAGATTAATTACACTCTAGACATATAAACTTTAATAATCCTTTCTTTTAATTTTTAGTAGTTCTTTAGTTTACTATACCGACGAGATTCAGTCTCGGACTGTATTCAATGTCTAATGATATAATTTTCCATGACCTTCCTTGCAGCTATGTAACTATGGGAATAGATTTGGGCAACCTTGCTGCCTTGAGAACATTCAGGGTTCTTCGGGCGTTGAAGACTGTGGCCATCGTGCCAGGTACAAAAACTCATAGTCTTAATTTTTTAAATATGGATTAAATATGCATAAATTAAAAATGGTAATCATTCAACAAAAGGATATTTTTCCACAATTTTAATAAAGGGACAGGGATCAAGTTAAAAAATGAAAATAATATTTAAAATTATTATTTTTTACATTATTTATTAAAATTTAAAAATAAATTTTGTTTTTAAAAGTAATATTACCAATTACATAATTAATGTTATTTATTAGGAATGTATTCAAATGATTTAATTGCAATTATTTTCAAAATATTTTATAAATTTAAAGCAAGTTTACAGTAAAAAAATTATTATAAACTCATATTCTCACCTATAAGCGCTCTATTAATTAAAGGTGTGATTTTTAGAAGGAAATTCTTGGTACCTGTACCAGTCCAATTTTTTCAAATTTGGTTGAAATTAGTAATAGATATGGTTTCATATGCTGGCACGTGTAATATGAAACGAGAATTATACAAATTACTGACAAAATTCTACAAATTCAGGCTTGAAGACGATCGTGGGTGCCGTGATAGAGTCTGTCAAGAACCTGCGGGACGTAATCATTCTCACCCTGTTTTCACTTTCTGTATTTGCCTTACTTGGACTCCAAATTTATATGGGTGTCCTAACCCAAAAGTGCATAAAAAACTTCTCCGCCGACGGGTCTTGGGGGAACCTTTCACACGAAACCTGGCACAAATTCATGAGCAATGATTGTGAGTTTGAAAAAAAATCAATTCTTTCAGGTAATTAATACAAATACGTTTCAGCCAACTGGCACTACGGCGACCCCCCTACCGCTGACCCGCCTCTGTGTGGCAATTCGTCCGGATCAGGGTAATTTTTGAACTTAAAAAAGTTAAATTTTGTCTGACCTTTGGTAAATTTCCAGAATGTGCCCACCAGACTACACGTGTCTGCAAGGCTTTGGGCCGAATCCAAACTACGGCTACACAAGCTTCGACACCTTCGGCTGGGCCTTCCTGTCAGCGTTCCGTCTCATGACCCAGGATTATTGGGAGAATCTTTACCAATTGGTTTGTTCAAAATAATTTAAATTAGAATTTAACTGAACGACTTCTTTTGTCCAGGTGCTGCGATCAGCAGGGCCATGGCACATGCTTTTCTTCATCGTGATCATTTTCTTGGGTTCGTTTTATCTCGTGAACTTGATTTTGGCCATCGTCGCCATGTCATACGACGAGTTGCAGAAAAAGGCTGAAGAGGAAGAAGCCGCCGAAGAAGAGGCTATGAGAGTGAGAAACCACTTTTAATCATTGATTTTGTTCCAATTTTCATTTTAATTAAGGGAAAAATACAAATATTAAAAATAAAAATTGTATTACAAAATTTGCTGGAAATAATCATACAAAGATAATGTAATTTATTATTTTGCCCTAAACTTATTGGCCTTACAAATATTTTTTGGCCTATATAACTTAAATTTATTGCAAAAATTCCTAAATAATATTTTCCAGCAAATTATTATTACAATTTTTAAATGCTGCAAATTTAAATTGATAATTTATTTAAAATATATTGGAAAAACTTTAAATTTTTGGTAAACTTGTTATTTCAGGAAGCGGAAGAGGCTGCAATGGCAAAGCAGAAGAAAATCGATGACGCGGCAGCGGCGGCTGCAGCCGCTGCAGCCGCCGTCGCAAACGAAGGGGTCGTCAAGTCGCCATCTGACTTCTCCTGTCACAGCTACGAACTGTTTGTTGGGCAGGAGAAAGGTAACGATGACAATAACAAGGAGAAAATGAGCATCAAATCGGAGGGAGGAGACTCGATAAGTGAGCACCACAGCCGCGCCAATGGCAAGGTCCGCAAGGTATGTACCTTTAAATTTGTTCCTGATGCAAATCTCATTATCTCAAGTTTTTAACAAAAAGAAAATCTTTTAATTTCTGCGCCACTTGCTATATAACATATTTATTACAACAATCAGGGTTGATGAACAAAACTCTAACTTTTCCGCAAAATTCATACTGAAATGAAATAAATTGGAAAATATGTTTGCAGTGTAAAATTTTAAGTTCGTCAACCTTGCTTCAACCATACAAATTTCGATGTGAGCTTCTTTCAAAATGTTTTTCGTCAACAATTTTGCTTGTTGTGTGTATATTAGTTGACATTTCACTGGCAGTTGCTCAGGTTTGCCCAACACGTTTGGAGTGTTGTTCCAATACACAATTTTTGACAACCCTTTTGATTTCACTACTCTGCTGCCTTAATTTATTTCTCTAGGTCTATAAATGTTCTTTTTGTCGATTAGACGCTATATTTTAAAAAAATTCTCATGGTTTTTAAGCAAATACACGGTGCTTGAAAACGCTCAGATATTCGAGAAACAACCACAAATATGTTCAATCCATATCTGCCCTGCTTTTGTTGTTAGCTTTCATTTCACACGCGAAAGCTCACTTTTACCTAAATGGAAATTAAAGTTTGACTAAAATCGAATATAACTTTGGCAGTTTGTATTGAAAGTTTAAAAATTCAAAGACACAAAGCTTTGTTTGAGCTAAATTTGTCTCATAATTTTGGTAAAATTTTATTTTGCTGGACTGTGTATTACAATTAGTTGCTACATTCCGCCCCATTATTTTGGTTGCTCACTTCTATAGAGCTACTGTTAAAGATGGTCATTGTTTTCAAAAGAATGGTGCATACTAAACGTTGCCTGTAATGATGGAAAACTTCTTCTTTTTTGTAGTAGCTAATTTCTTGCATGCGCGTCTTTCCGTCCGACGAGTTAATTAACTTGGTGTTGCATGTCAATGGTAGAGAATTTAATCTTCTAAATATAGGCAGTGTTATTTTATCTTGAAAATTATTTAATTAATCGAACAAGAGTCTGTAATTTATTGATGGGAGATTCTTCTTCTTCTTCCATCGCCGGAGAGACTTTGTCCGTCACAGGACGGACGAGAGTCGACGCGGCCAAAATTTAAAAATGATAACAAGTCTCCCGTTAATTTAGAACAAATCGATTGTTCAGTTTGCAAATATTGTGACACATTAATGAATACTCGCTGGTGTTTTTCCCCAAAGGTTTCGAGTCAGATGCGCGATAATTACCCGGCTAAAAGTCAGTATACTAGCGCTTACCAGGAGAGCTTAATGAAGGTATGTCACCTGTGTAACCCACAGTGGAGTTGTTTCTCTGCTCCAACATCGTTATTATTTTGTTTTCCTCTCGGCCGGGCATTTGCCTGCGTCGGGCTGGTCTGTTTTTATTGATTAATTGAACCGCTTATTTCTATTTTTAGATTTGCCCAATTATCTCTCTCTATTTCTCGACATATGTTTTTTAATGAGCGTTTTAATGACATGACCCTGTACAAAAGAGCAGTAAACGTGTCACAAAATATTGTCAATTGAATACCGGTATAAGTAGTGCGCCCTGAATGCCTTCATATATTTCACCCGAATGAAACTCTGCGCCTGATTAGTCAAATTTTGTAAAATTCTGCAGAGTTCCATTTCTACTGGTGAATTATATACCTCTTGATGCGTATAGAAAAAAAAATACCTAGCCTTCACCGCAAAGAATTTCTGTATTTTGGCTCCTCTTTTTATGAATGCATCAGTTGGTTTTTTCGTGGTTACCAGAGTTACAAACTCCAGTAGCTGTTTTAGTGAATGTCCCTCTTAGTGAAATATGCATGGAAAATCATCAAAATATTGGTGGTTTTGTTGCGCCAGGAAACATAATTTGTACTCTCTAAATTGCACCATTCTTTTGAATATAAAATAATAACTGTAACCCCCACGGTCCAAAATTAGTTCTTAATTTTTGCAAACATCATCATCATAAAAGTAATCAAATAATTATTTATACCATATCTTAAAAAAAAATACCTGATCGCCATGTTTTGTTTGTTTTGCGCCTCCTAAATACAACAATATCATCTAAACTCAACCCTCTGCCTTCTTCAAAGGCATCAAATTTCCATGAATTGTGTTTTTGGGGAAACATTTTTAGGTTGCATGGCATTTGAAAAAAAGAACATCAAAGCGACCAGCTTCTGCCGATGTACATCCATTTTTTTTTCGTCGCGCACCAAATCAATTTCTGATCACCAAAGCAACACATGGAAATAATGCCTTGTCACCCGATTGGCTTTTCGTTTTGTTTTATAGCAGCCGCTTTCGCACATTCATTGAACAAATTATTAAAATAAAAAAGCGACCATTTATCTACTGCGGCAAATTCGAATAAGAGCGCAAGACCCGTTCAGGAGAATCATATATTATAAGACAAAATCAGATAAAAATAATGAATTGTAAAAGCCCTGCGTAAAAGAAGGCAGAGGTTCGTGCAGAATTTAAACGCACGAGTGCGGATTTGCGAAATTTTAATGATTTATAAGAAATTTTATGACTGACTTTTGTATTTTAATAAGCATTTTTAGGCTTGAAATTTATTTAAAATAGACACTAAATTTGCTTTATTTAAAGTTTTCCATAAAATAGTAGTTCAATATATGTTTAAAAAAATGAGTCTAGATTTGACTACGTTAGCTCTTGATGAGTTTTATGAGTCTTAATTGTTGTTTACTGATGATTTTTAAAAGTGGTTGAAAATAAAAATTAAAAAAATCATACTCTACTCTACATTTTTGACCAAAATGAATGCATTTATAGAAATTATCATATGTTGTAAAAATTAAATAATATTTTTCACCAAATAAAAATTTTTATAACAAAATTTTAAAAATATGAAATTGTTTTCTACGTCATAATAATTTACGAATATGATTGAGCTTAAAATTAGAATTTTTGGCCTGTTTAAAAAATTTTCAAGTCAAATCTTTAACATTCGGCAAAAATTAACCATGTTCCGCAGCCGTGCGTCGAAATATCTGTTCGAATCATACTTACACACAACAAGATCTATCTCTCTATCTCTATATTTTTTTTTTACCAACTTACTGCTGTCTGAGCCCCGTCCACCGCGATTGTAGCAATCACCCAATTTGCAGGCGAGTCTCAGCCTTCCCGGTTCTCCGTTTAACATCAGAAGAGGCTCTCGAGGAAGTCATCAGTTTACATTAAGAAATGGTAGACGTTTCGGTGATAAAAAGCCATTAGTGTTATCAACGTACTTAGATGCACAAGAACATTTGCCGTATGCTGATGATTCGAATGCGGTTACCCCCATGTCTGAGGAGAACGGAGCCATTATCGTACCCGTCTATACCACATTAGGCTCGAGGCATTCGTCCTACACATCGCACGCCTCGAGATTATCCTACACCTCCCATGGTGACCTCCTCTGCGGGAAAGGGATGACCAAGGAGTCACGCTTAAGAAGTAGATCCAGAAACCCCTGTTCATACGTGCCTGAAGTAATAATGGACAGCAACAACAAATATGCCCGCGACTTTGTGAGTAGCTGTACCTACCTCTCTGTTACAAAAAAAATCAAAAATCAAAACCAACCCACTCCTTGGAACATCCTGCTACGTGGAACGTGAAAGAACACAACTCAATATTTATATACATCCAATTATTATTAATCTCGCATACTTATATATATTCTTGTGGTCATCCCTCCTGTGTATAGAATAGAATTGGTTTCCTTTGGAACATTTTGCGCTCTTTTTTAATCGTAGAATGACTTATCATCGTACTGCAGTAGTAGAATTTATTATATACAGCAAGGCAGCTCGGATTTGGCTTCGTGCATGGGATTTGATTTTGATCTAACATTCCATATATTTAAAGCAGCTTTTTTCGTTTTGGCTTTTCCACGACATATTCGGTTCATGCAACTGCACCCACTAAAATAAACCTCGCATGCTTTTTTTATTGTAATGAAAAGTAAACTTTTATTATAATATCTAATAATAATCAACCAACGTTCTAAGAATCGACCGTTAAAACAGCTGAAACCAACAAGCACACCTAAAACTATCCGAAAAGTGTTTAAAGGACCTTTCCAGTGATGATTTTTATTCCTGAAATACTGAAATCCAAATCACGATGAAAAATTCGCATTTATTTACTTCAGAGTTGAACTAGGGGCTTTCCAAAGGTTCATCATTTCACTAAAAAAATAAAAATAAATAAAAAAAAAAAAAAAACTAGAAAAGTCGATCCCAATGATGCTGACTTTCTTATTTAGTGGAAAAGGTGAACCTGCTATGAGCACCTGTTCTTTAGAGCAAGCGCTTTTTTTATCGTCATGTAATTTTTAGATTTATTGGAATTCACCATTAAAAATCATTTCTGTTGAGGGTCTTTCAAATTTCAGAGGTTTAAAATTTCAAGACACATTAACAAACTCACACTTATAATTACATTGAATACCGATCGCATGATTGCAGATAAAACCAGACAATCTCGCAGCAACTAATCATTTAAATACAAAACAAAAAATCCACCAATTAATTGCCGATTCAGAAATATCATCTTCCCTCCAACTCACAAAAAGCTATTTAATGTGTTTCCTGGAATAATGTTTAGTGGGATGGAAAACAAATTCTCCAGAAGCGCAGCAAGGACGGGGGTCCCGAGTCGACTCAAGACGAGCTAATTGATAACTTTGTTAGAGAACTTTTCGGGCCCGAAGTGAAACTTGATTATATCGACAAGGACGGTGTAAGTAGCCGGACCCTATTGGCAGAAAATCCAAAGTTTTAAAATAATAACACCGCTGACAACACCAAACGCCGCCAGAACGAAACAACACTAGCGCTTTTAAACTTTCCAACATTAATAAAATTACTGTCACAGTTTTCTAAATCTTATTCTTAATAATAATGGACATGCTCGGTAGCCTTTTATTTAATCAATAATTTTATCTAGGATTTTGGCATAATTTGAACGCATGAATCCAATTTATTTTCGGCTACCTTTTGTATGATAAAAGATCAAGGCACGACGGAATCTTCTATAATTTTTGTGTGCATGAGGAGAGGCATGAGCAAGTTATTACTATTGCGAAGCATGCGGACTATTTTTATTACCAGAGAATTTATCCTCTTCTGACAGGTGGTGAGAGGACCAAGTCACCACAGACAACTAAAATAATTACAAGTTGTACAGACCGATCAACGGCACCAATTGTACTCTGACTCACAGTTGGTTCGGTGTTGCTCTCGCAGTGCGCGCGCTCTTTTCCGCGCTTTTGTTTGACGTTCTTTCACTTTCTCACTCTTTCGCAGGATGGCTATCCAAACCAAAAATGCATGAAACTCTATGAACCAAAATTTCCTACCAAATATATTCCGCTTCAAATTATATTTAAAAATAAAGGATCTCGCACTTCCACTTAAATACCCTTGAAATAAGTGGAACACGCGTCGATCCCACCATTTAAATTAACAATAAAAAAAAATATCTTCACTATGCCTATTGGAAATATAAACTGAATAAAGCACCTTGCATCCAAAATACCAAAATGTTTAAGTAGTATACGAATAGCAAAATAAAATTGCATGCTTGCCCCCCTTTTCACGAAACAAGACATGATTTTAATCCTCCTCTCGTTGCATTCGTCAGGAGTCGCTGGGTGCAGAGAGCGAAGATGGGGCGGCCAAAGGCAAGCACCAAGAGAACCCATTTATCGAACCTGCACAGCATCAAACTGTTGTAGATATGAAAGGTAAGAATAATTTCGCCCTCAATAAAAATTTTTATTATCACAACAGGAATTTTCTAACTTTTTTACACCGGCTTTGTCTCAAATATCTCGTCGTCTCGGAACGTAATTCCACGTCAAGGCGATTAGCCAGAAGTACTAATTTAAATATAAATTAATTTGCATATTGGAGGTCCTGATTGCTTGCTTTAAAGAACTCACTTTCCCACAAAAATTTTCGTTTGGTGTTGTAAAATTAAAGATTTCAAGAAAATTATGACGTTTAGGAAGTTCATAATTCCGGCAATTTTCGTTCAAAAATTTTAATTTTAATGACAGTGGTTTGAATATTAAAATTCAACGCATTTCTTCCCTTGCGCAGATGTGATGGTGTTAAACGATATTATCGAGCAGGCGGCAGGCCGCCAAAGCCAAACCAGTGACCATGGAGGTAAGTTCTCCACAGCAGCATGACCTTTAGACCTTGATGACCTCTGTGGTACCCTTTGATTATTCGCTGTACATACATGTACATCCTTTGTGTCTGTGCATTCTCAGAAATGAGAGATATCTCGAATTTACTGATTGTTGTTGGCTCTTGGAAATTTTAATTGTGATAATTTTTCAGAGATCTCATTGAATTTATATCTCTAATAATTCCCTCCTCCAAAAAAATAACTAGCTTGTGCCTGACCCTGTCTCTTCTTGGAATGCATGCTTTCTTTATACAACCTTTTTTGTAACTTTCAGGCATTCGTGACATTATGTAAGACATGCATTTAGTTTTTTCCCTTTGAATTGGTAGATAGTTTCCATTATTTTTAAAAATTAAAATAAATTAATGCCTGACTTATTTTTCGATGCATGTTGGATTTCTAATATTTATTTGTATATTATAAATGCATGTATGTGCACGATATTTTAAATCTTCTCAATAAACGTTCTCTTCCTTATCTAAACTCTTAAAACACTGCAAAAATTAGTCTGAAAAAAATAAATATCAAAATTTGGTATGCAATCCGCTCGACTTTCCTGCGGAGCGGGTTGCAAAATTTAAACCTGCAGGCGCGATTGATTAATTTGAAAGACTAATTTTTCGCAATATTTGAATTAAAAGTGCTGAAAATGGATGCTGAAAAAGCCTGTCCTATTTCTCTGTGAATGTTGAATAAAAATTTGTGTACAGCTGCAGTATTTATATATATAGACCATAGAATGCAAAAGATAAAAAAAAAAATAATAACTGCATATTATAGTACATAGTAAAAACCTTTTGTGTATACACATTAATTATTAATTACTGTTCTCTTTATCAGCTATCTCAGTACGTTTAAGGCTGGTCACATGATCAATTTGCTAAAACAAACAATTTAAATACCAGAAGTGTGATCTCTAATAACTTCCGATTTCATCTGTTAAATTCCCCATGGTTGTTTTTTAATCTGCAGCTCTAAAATGTTAAAACAAAAATCATCTTGCCGTGTTGACAGTAAATCATTTCAGCACAGCCTTTACATGCTCTTTTAAATTTTCATTTCAATTCTTCATAACACCTGAAAAATCACGTCGATCATCTTGCACCCTGCTTTTAACGCAGAGAAAATTCTCTGTCTGATTGGAAACTTAAAAAATTAATCGCTTACACCAAACAGTTGACAAAACATATTTTGAGTTTCACGAATTTACATGACAAATCAAATAATCACGTTTGCTGAAATACACTGAAAACTTATATAAAAAAATCACGTCTTCACGCGTGGCAACTTGAGAAAGAACAACACACGCCACGCGTGGAGTAGCATTTTAGTCACACACCAATCATTCTTAGGAGGGATAGATATAGGAAAGCTGTTTTTTAAAAGAAAAATAATTAAAAAAAAAAAAACCAATCCAAATTTGGAGAATAACTAACTCGGAGAAAATGTCATCAGCCTTATCGATGCTGGGTGTAACCTGAGGTTCAGGGTTTAGGTCATGACTAACCTGGCGTGTTTGGCCTGGTGCATTGCCCAGTGTCCATATATTATTTCCCCACAGACGACGACGAAGAAGGTCCTAAATTCAAGGAGAAGGCGATCGCAGCCTGCACGAAGGGCATCGACGTCTTCTGCGTGTGGGACTGCTGCTGGCCGTGGCTGAAGCTCACAGAGTTCGTCAACTTCATAGTGTTTGATCCGTTCGTCGAGCTCTTCATCACCCTGTGCATCGTGGTGAACACACTGTTCATGGCCCTCGACCACCACGACATGGACAAAAACATGGAGAAAGCGCTCAAGAGCGGAAACTACGTAAGTTTATCAATATAATTATTAAATAAAATTCTGATTTACTTCCAAAATTATTAAAAATTTAAAACAATTTAATTTTTTGTATAGTAAAAACTAAGTAATTATTGTTAAGAAAAGAATAAGTTTTGTGGAATTTAATTTTAAAAATAATTTATAATTTTAATATATTACATTTAATTAAATTACAATAATTATTATTTATTTTGTTACTCTACATATTATTTTTATTACCTAATTAATATTCATAATTTTTTAAACAAATTTATAAAAATTTTGAATGGTGTGTTTCAGTTTTTTACAGCAACTTTCGCGATTGAGGCGACCATGAAGTTGATAGCCATGAGTCCAAAATATTATTTTCAAGAAGGCTGGAACATATTTGATTTTATAATCGTAGCGTTATCATTGTTAGAGTTAGGACTTGAGGGAGTACAAGGTCTCTCCGTGTTAAGGTCTTTCAGATTGGTAAGCAAGAACATTTTTCCCTCCGATCATTGAAACTAAATTCAATAAATTCTGCTTTCAGTTGCGAGTGTTCAAACTGGCCAAGTCGTGGCCCACTCTCAACTTGCTCATATCTATCATGGGCCGAACAGTAGGTGCCCTGGGTAACTTAACATTTGTATTGTGCATTATCATCTTCATCTTCGCCGTCATGGGGATGCAACTTTTTGGCAAGAATTACGTCGGTACGTAAAATGGACTTATTTAAAAGAAAAAATTAAAAAAAAAAAAAAAATATCATTCCAGACAACGTGAGCAGATTTCCTGACGGGGACCTGCCAAGATGGAATTTCACAGACTTCATGCATTCCTTCATGATCGTTTTCCGAGTGTTGTGCGGAGAATGGATCGAATCAATGTGGGACTGCATGCACGTCGGCGACTGGTCGTGCATTCCATTTTTCCTCGCCACGGTTGTCATCGGCAACTTGGTTGTGAGTATCAATTGAATTTTATTTGCCAAAATTTAAAAAAAAAAATAATTAAAAATTAGCAGATTCAAATTGTAAAATTGGTAACTGCAATGCTATTTTTTTTTTTAATCTTTAGAATGTTTGCGCCTCTTTTTTTTCGTCACTAGTTTCTCTACAAAGGAAAAATTGTTGAAATTTTAGGTATTAAACCTCTTCTTGGCCTTGCTCTTGTCCAACTTTGGTTCGTCGAACTTGTCAGCGCCCACTGCTGACAACGAGACCAACAAGATCGCTGAAGCCTTCAACCGAATCGGCAGATTCAAAGCTTGGGTCAAAAGATCGATTGTTAACATGGCCAAAGCACTGAGAGCCAAATTAACAAATCAGATATCAGATCAGACGCCAGGTGAGGGCCCCTCTTCAAGTTGGAAAGAAGGTTTATATCCAATCACATTGTCCTTTTGTGTAGTGTACTCATTTGGTCTACTCTTTGATTAAATGGTATTGTTAAATCCCACTAATTTTTATTATCATTTTATACTTTCGTGTTTTTAGTTACTTTCAGTTTTGGTTTTGACTTATTTTGCAGTTTGTACATAACACAGAAATCAGTGTGCGTAGTTAATTGAGACTGTACTTGTTTTTTGGACGTATCTTTGGTTTCAAACTCTGCCCTCTGATTTTGTTAACCGCAACACACACACACAACCCAGATTTTAAAAGAAAGCATTTGATATATGCCTGCGTGCGTGTTTGCGTGTCGGGTGTGTCTGGAAGAAAATTTTTTTGAGAGAGTTGACGCAAAGAGACAGCAGAGAACCGAGTACATTAATCAAACACCAACCCTACCCTGAACAATCGCCTTCTTTCCTTGCTTTTTGGGCAATGACTCAAAGTACTGAAACCAACCAACCATTCAAAATAAATAATTATCCAAATGCTAGCTCCTTGTCAAAATAATATATTAATCGTGTAAATACTTGCGCGGGAGGTTAATTAGACATGCCTAGCTTAATGGTTGGTTCTCGTTGGCACGAATAAGTTTTCACGTGTTTCCAGATGCTCACATAGGCGACACAGACAACGACCTCAATGCCGACGACATTTTGGCCGACGGCATCGTCTACAAAGACAAGAAGAGTCCCAAGGACCAGACGCAGCTCGAGGTGGCCATCGGGGACGGAATGGAGTTTACCATTCACGGTGAGCTAGGTCTGCGTCACAAAACACAAACTGAGTCGGAAACTGGGAGCTCAGTTGCCTTTTTGTGATCGGTGTTTTGCATGCTTTTCGTTGCAAACTGCCGCCGCGGTGCTGACTGTGATTTTTCCACCCGCAGGAGACCTGAAAAATAAAATCAAAAAGGGCAGGATGTTGAACAACATCAAGGCTGGCACTGGAAATTCAATAAAGGAAAACCACGACAACAGATTTGACAATTCTGTGATTCATAGAGACGACGATGCCTTAAGGTAAATCAATATTTGCAACAAATTTAATAATTAAGCTTAACTGAAAAGTATGCAACCTGTGAAACTTCAATTATATTTTATCAGCAACCTCGCATTCAATTTTGTGTGATGTACGGGTTTTAATTAAGCTGATTCATAAATTTATAATTCAATTTAATTTACTGATTATCTTTGCACTCAAAAACCTAATTAATTAGTAATTGAAATATTATAATAAAAATGGTCATAATGAGACGCGAGATGTATTTTAATTTTTTTTTTAAATTTAATGTTATTAATTATTTTAAAATTTAACGAATTGTTTTGACGGTTTCAATTTAAGGATATTCAATAATAATTATCTTAATTCAAATTTTCCAGTACTAAATCATACGGGAGCCATAAAAACCATCCATACAGAAACGATAGCCATAAAGGAAGCGTGGAAACCATCGAGGACGAAGACACCGACGGTGAGGAGAAAAGAGACGCAAGCAAAGAAGATCTCGATCAAGATGGTTCGGAACAAACTTTTATATCAAAACTTTTATTGAAATTCGCTGTTGCAGAAATGGAGGAGGATTGCGAAGAGGAAGGAGAGGAGGAGCAGCACATCGTGCTGGACGCCAACGCCGACGACGTCCTCCTGCAAGAATACCCGTCGGATTGCTTTCCGGAAATCTGGTACAAGCGGTTCCCCTTCCTGGCGGGCGACGACGACGCACCCTTCTGGCAGGGGTGGGCTCACCTTCGCCTCAAGACCTTTCAACTGATCGAAAACAAATACTTTGAAACTGCGGTCATTACTATGATTCTCCTCAGCAGTCTGGCACTGGTAAATTGACATTTATTCAGGAAGTTCAGGAACTTAAAATTCCATATTTATAATCTGGTACTAAAATTTATAGAAACTAAGAATCTGCACTAAATTTTATTTGAATAGTAATAAAATAAATTTAAAACAAAGCTTTGACTTTGCATTAATAATTAAATAATTAACAAATTTTTAATATTTTTTATAATAAATTAAAATTTTTGATTAAAATATAATTTTAAAAATTATTTTAAATTATTTGGTTCTTTACAAACTGTATATAAATTAGAATTGGTAGAGACAAAAGTATTAAAATGTTATTTTTTAAAAGAAAATTTAAATAAAATGTAATTCTGTACAGAAAGTAGTTTCCAACAAGATTTTTTAATCACTACAATGTCACAATCACAAGATCCTCCAATATATTAGAGATTTTTTTAAATTTATATTTATAATTTTTATTTCAAAACTTTCAGGCTTTGGAGGACGTCCATCTGCAACACCGACCAATCTTGCAAGACATTTTGTACTACATGGACAGAATTTTCACAGTGATCTTTTTCATCGAGATGTTGATCAAGTTCCTCGCCCTCGGTTTTGCCAAGTACTTCACCAACGCTTGGTGCTGGCTCGATTTCGTTATTGTCATGGTGAGTTTTAAAATATTGTTTTATAGAGAACTCGATAAATTTATATATGAGAAGGGGTGGTTTTTTTTAAAAAAAATAATAATTATAAATTAATCAAACGAAAAAATATTTCGCAAATCGCAGTTATCTATAATAAATATGGCTGCAATCTGGGCCGGCGCTGCCGACATACCTGCGTTCAGGTCCATGAGGACCCTGCGAGCATTGCGCCCGCTTAGAGCCGTGTCGCGCTGGGAAGGGATGCGCGTAAGTTTAGCAGCGCAGCCAACAATTGTCGTCGTACTTGGTGTTATCGATGTTGGTGCAGCTTTCATTGCAATTATTCATTGTGTGTTGCCAAACTCGTGAGCTTTGATCACTTTTTTGGGATTTGAAATTTTTATCAAACAATTTCATATAACAAGAGTAGTATTTTCACACCTGAATTTCCCCCTCGAAGGGTCTTGATGTGCCAATAATTGTGCAGTGCTAACTTTAACTCCCATGGCAAGAGCTATATTAATAAGTTTTCCACTTCCAAATTGTATTTTTATCAAATCGGTCTGCCTAAAATCAAGTTTTTAGAGATATAAAAAAAGTTCCGCATTAAAAAAAAAAATAAATAAAAAGTCAAAGCTGTTTTTTGGTCAAAAATTAATTGAATTTAAATGAATTTGAATTTGAAGAACTTAATTTCCTTTAGTAAATATGATTAAATTAATCAAATTTCTTTGTGTTTAATTTTGAGAGTGGAAAACTTTACTCAAAGCTGTGCAATCTCTTCTCCTTCCGCAGCCGTTCTTCGACCGACTTGAAACAAAGTGGGCATTATTTTTTTTTTTTAATTACTCTTTTGTCCAGAAACTTGGACAGAAAAACCATTTCCTCTTTTCTTACCGATCTCTCTTATCTTTTACTCTTCTCCTCACATGCCTTGAATGTCTCTCTCTATTTTGTGGCTTCGCTCTTGACTTCAGGTGTCCCTAATTAACTTCATAGCGTCACTGGTTGGTGCTGGAGGCATTCAAGCCTTCAAAACTATGAGGACCCTGCGAGCGCTGAGACCTCTCAGAGCCATGTCTCGTATGCAGGGAATGAGGGTACGTACCGCCCTCTTTACTCCCTGTAGCACTCAGGAAAATACATAAATCGAGATTCAAAGTTATTTTCAGTAGAAAGAAAAAAAATCAGTGATATTTGTATAGCTTGCTGCATGCTTTCAGAAATTCATAATGCTTCCGATTAATATTCCATTTGAATGTCAGAGTGACTTGCTTTAGATATTGTAAAGTTGTATTCAATTTATTTTTGAAAATCAGGTGAAATTTTGAATAAGGACTAAAGTTTTGTTTTCTGGACAGGTCGTAGTGAACGCTTTGGTGCAAGCCATCCCGTCCATTTTCAACGTGTTGCTCGTGTGTCTGATCTTCTGGCTCATTTTCGCCATCATGGGCGTTCAACTGTTTGCTGGCAAATATTTCAAGGTAAAAATTAAAATTAACCAGTTTTACGGAAAATAATCTTTTCGCAAATGTATATATAGTGCGTGGACGCCAACAAAACCACCATCAGCCACGAAATCATTCCAGACAGAAACGCGTGCATCGCTGAAAACTACACGTGGGAAAACTCGCCCATGAACTTTGACCACGTCGGAAAAGCCTACCTGTCGCTTTTCCAGGTCGCCACCTTCAAGGGTTGGATTCAAATCATGAACGACGCGATAGACTCAAGAGAGGTAAATTTCGTAGCGTTTTTAACGGAATTAGAAAGAAAAAAATATATGTACGAGAGCACATTTAATTTTTACTCGGCTTCAGGTGGACAAGCAACCGATTCGAGAGACAAACATCTACATGTACTTATACTTCGTGTTTTTCATCATCTTCGGGTCCTTCTTCACTTTGAATCTGTTCATTGGTGTCATCATCGACAACTTCAATGAGCAGAAAAAGAAGATAAGTATCCCACGCGTGATCCGCCAACATTTGCTTTTAATTTAAAAACGTAAATTTTGAAAAAAGTAATTAATATTTATAAACTTTGAGACAAATTATATTTATATTCATGAAATCATTAATTTATCATGAAAAATTTAAGCCAGGAATAATCTCGTTTTTAAAGTGCCAGCAGACCGCAGGTCACCCTTCAGGGTCAGCTGTCCTTTTTAAAAAATTTTTTACAGCGAAATTATGCCTGGTTTCAGTTTTTCATAAAATTCACCTTGAGTGTTAACTTTCATTATATATCATAAAAAATTATAAACAAATTCATGAAAATTATAACTCGTAACCTCGATTTCTATATCACCACATTTACAACTGCCTTGACGTAATAATTTGATGAAGATTCAAGATTATTTATATATAAATGTTGAGCCCCAAATGTTACACACGTCGCGCCAATTTGGAGTTGAGCAGTGATAGATTGATAGACATTTAGGTGACCAATGTTGTGGACCCCGGTCTTCGAATTCTAAAAAGATTCCTATAAGACTCTCTTCATCTTCTAACCCTGTTGTTGTTGCTGAGTGTTTTTCCAAGGCACCAACCTCAATGTTGTAAATACTCTGCTGCTGACTTGACTGCATTTTACTTTTGTGTCGTGTTTGCTCTTATACGAGTCCTTTTAGAATAATTATTATATACATATAAATAAATCTGATCACGAAACCTCAGAGTACAGATCAGTATATATACAGTTGTTGCCTATCATATTATAGTATGTGCAAGGAGGTGTATTTGTTGTGCATTTTTTCATTACTCATTAGACTTGCGAGGTTTTTTACTATTATTTTTCCACTGAAGTGCCTCCCCAAATTATCTGCATTAAGAATTGAATTAAAATACCTAATTATTATTAGATGCCGGATCAGCTGGGAAAGTTAATCTTCTATCTATTTTTAAGGTAATTAAATCGTACGACTTTTGGTTGGTACAACTACCCATTTTTATTATATTCTACGACTCTTTTAGTCTTTCTCTTACTAGTCACAGATTACCTTTTTTCATTATTATTTTTTCATATACAATCTATTTGGAAATGAAATATATTTATTTTTATAATTTCTTATAGTAGATCGATTATAATTTTTTTTCTTTTGGTTCTCTTTCGTTTTTCGGCTGTCAAAGGTAAGTTCTTTTCTATTAAATCGGACTAGGACAAGTGAACCTGAGCAAGCATATCATTCTTCTCTCCTATCTGGTTTGAAATTTAATATATATAATATTATATTTTTTATATATACTCGTTCTGTTGTTATGTTTTTGTTGATTTCTGATTATTATCTAAAGCTTATGCAACTCAATATTAGAAGTCTGCAGACTTTTAATTAACCAAACCCGTAATTTTTATTAACATTTTCTTTTTTACTGACACCGTGCATCTTTGGACAAAAACTATTGAGAATGCGCAAGAGAATGGATTGAAGTTGACCTAGGGTGCCAGCTGGCTCTATTAATTAACGGAATGCGTTTGATACAAAATCAGCACGCCAAACTCTTTTGGCAACAAAAATTATACTTTTGGCCAAATCTCTTCTTTAGACCAACCCCTGTTATCCATCTCATCCATCCTCCACTACAAAACCACCAAAACATACATATTTCTTTCTCTCTTTGTCTCTTTTTTCCATCAACCAAATCTATTTCAAAACTCTCACACCGCTAATTGACTCTCTTTTTAGTGAACACTTGTGAATATACAATACTTGCACCTGATGTGACATGATGTACATATTTTTACAAATATATTGTTTCCTTATAAACATATACTTTGTTCAATGTTCACATTGTGTAAATCGACTAACCAAACTCTGAGATATATATACAGTCAACATTATTTATTATGATCTGATTATTATATATTCCTGAGAATAGTACTTTATACCCATAGTGTTGGAGCTACTCCGACTTTAGTTGACTTGCGATCTGACAATATTATTATCTGCACGGAATTTTGCACGGAATGCACTTGAAAACCCTTTATTAACTACCCTATCTTCATGATCGATGAAAATCTCACCAGAGCCTGCAATAATTCTCGGCCCCTTGTGAATTGGCAGTTGTCGACACTCTTGTACCATATTATACTATTTTTCTTGTGCATCATATTATTATAATCTCCTACCAAGTAGTTGCGGGCTCTCTATTGCTTGTTTGCAATTTAAACATATTATTATATCCTGCATCTCCGTTAAACCATGATCAACTCTTTCAGACGGATGATATTCTGTATATTATGAGATGAAAGGCAGTACCATATTTAAAACAAACAAATATATTATATAAAAAGAGGTTACAAAAACGCTATTTGAAAATAAAAATGATAAAAAAAGTAGAAACATTTTAAAAGTCATTTAAAATTTCTTAAATGACTTCTAAACGTGATAAAAAAAAGAATCATAACTTTGTGGTATGTAATAATAATATACAGGTATTATAAGTGCGAGGTATGTAATTTTTCACATATATTACTATTTTGCATAGGAGAACTCTTTATAGTTTATGAGCACATGGAACGTTTCTGTGCATCTATATTTCATTTTAAATTATTAATCTTCTCAACACGATAATGGAAAACAAATTATTTTAAGCATAGAGGGATAACATTGGAACGATCAAATTGCAAATTGGTGCATCTCTTAGTATAATTAATTGCACTCAAAAAACACTTGCTAGTATATAAAAGTTGTTCCTCTATGCAGAAAAATTTTGCATTTCACGACAAAAAAGAACATTCAACTTCTAAGATGAGCGAGAAATTTTATATCATTTTTCTATGCACGCAGGGGGATCACTTGAGATGTTCATGACAGATGACCAGAAAAAGTACTACAATGCCATGAAGAAGATGGGCTCGAAAAAGCCGCTGAAGGCCACACCTCGACCGAGAGTAAAGAAAATTAATAAAAAAAGGAAACTTCTCAAATTCTTTTTTTGCAGTGGCGACCGCAAGCAATTGTTTTCGAAATCGTGACGAACAAGAAATTCGACATGATAATCATGTTGTTCATCGGCTTCAACATGTTGACCATGACCATGGATCACTACCAACAATCAAACAATTTCACTCTGATGCTGGACGTCCTCAACACAATATTTATTGTGATTTTCAGCTCCGAGTGTTTGATGAAGATTTTCGCCCTGCGCTACCACTACTTCAAGGAGCCGTGGAATCTTTTCGATTTCGTGGTTGTGATTCTCTCAATCTTAGGTAAAAATGATTTTGCGTTAAACACAAATTATGAGGGGAAAATCTAGACGTTGATAGAATCGTGTCGCGCAGGTTGCATAATTCATCATTTTTCAGTTAGCGGCCGTAACAAGTTTTGTTATTTGATTTTTTTTTATTTTTAATATAAAAATTAAAAAGTTTAGAATCGCCCTTTCCATATTGAACTAAATTAAATAGCTATTGATTGGTTGTGCTGAATTTTTTTGTTTTAACGTTATTCTGCAAGTTAAAAAAACTCTTCAATTTAAAAAAAGTAATTCAAATTTAACTTTTAACTACTCCCCTTTTTTGCCAATTTTTTCGGTGGGAAATGAATTAAAATAAAAGATTGAATAATTGTTGGGCAGGTTGCATAGCATCGGAGCGGCGAGCAAATTTGGAATAATAAAAACTGCGTTTTGCTTCACAGGTCTGGTACTGAGCGACTTGATTGAGAAGTACTTTGTGTCGCCCACGCTGCTTCGAGTGGTGCGAGTGGCCAAAGTGGGTCGTGTGCTGCGCTTAGTGAAGGGTGCAAAGGGCATTAGGACGTTGCTCTTTGCCTTGGCGATGTCGCTGCCGGCGCTGTTCAACATCTGCCTGCTGCTTTTCTTGGTGATGTTCATCTTCGCCATCTTCGGCATGTCCTTCTTCATGCACGTCAAGGACAAGAGCGGGCTGGACGACGTGTACAACTTCAAGACGTTCGGCCAGTCCATGATCCTGCTCTTCCAGATGTCCACCTCGGCCGGCTGGGACAGCGTGCTCGACGGCATCATCAACGAGGAGGACTGCGAAGAGCCCAACCCGGAGATAGGCAACCCGGGCAACTGCGGCAGCAGCACCGTCGGCATCACCTTCCTGCTGTCCTACCTGGTCATCAGCTTCTTGATCGTCATCAACATGTACATCGCCGTGATCCTCGAGAACTACTCGCAGGCCACGGAGGACGTGCAGGACGGTCTGACCGACGATGACTACGACATGTACTACGAGATCTGGCAGAACTTTGACCCGGACGGCACGCAGTACATCCGCTACGACCAGCTGTCCGACTTCCTGGACGTGCTGGAGCCGCCGCTGCAGATCCACAAGCCAAACAAGTACAAAATCGTCTCGATGGACATCCCCATCTGCAAGGGCGACCTCATGTTCTGCGTGGACATTCTGGATGCGCTCACCAAGGACTTCTTCGCGCGCAAGGGCAGCCCAATCGAGGAGACGGCCGAGCTGGGCGAGGTCAACACGCGCCCCGGCGAGGTCGGCTACGACCCGGTCTCGTCGACGCTGTGGCGCCAACGCGAGGAGTACTGCGCGCGGCTGATCCAGAACGCGTGGCGCAAGCACAAAAACAACGCGCGCAACAAGCCGTCGAGCGACGCCGGCGACGTGTCCGACTCGCAGGCGGCCGACGGCGGCGACGGCGGCGCCGCCCAGACCTCCGTAGTCGTCGAGAGCGACGGCTTCTCCACCAAGAACGGACACCGCGTCGTGCTGCAGCACTCGCGCTCGCCGAGCGTGACGTCGCGCTCGACCGATGTCTGAGACAGGCCACCCCGTGCGCTGGACACCACCCCCGAGTAGGTGCGGTGCGTGTCGGGCCAAAGAACGCTGCTGAACCAAACACAACTGGCGTGAGTTCGGGCTCTCGCACAATCACCAGACGGAAGGATCCAGCTAGCTGGCGAGAGAGGACTACTCGTTTTGATCCCGTTTTCTTCCTCGGTTTCCTCCCTCTTTTTGTTTGACCAATGAATCAAAAAAAAAAAAAATACGCGACGAACGAGACGAGATGAGAAATTATTACAGTAAAAAAAGATTAATACAAAAAAAATATGGAAAACCTCAACACTCTGAAATACAGACAAACACACGCTCGCTGCTTTTGATCTCCGCTGCCTATTTAAAGATTATATAAAGTATATAACTCACTCACTATCTCTCTCTTCTCACTCTCAACGCGAAATCGTGATTTTGCCCGACTCTCTTATATAAGATGTATTCGACCTCCGCTACGAATTTCCCTCCGAGGAGCGCAACAACAAGTATAACGCTGCTGATCAACTTTTGTGTTCTCTCACCGATGCTCTTCTCTCTCACTCTCAACTATACTCACCCCCCAACTTGCGCCACCTTTGATTTCACAACCAGTTTACAATCTTCTCAGCGTTTCGGCTTTGATTGAGAAAATGTTTCAACTAAGGCGTACGGGAGTTTGATTCTTTTACAATAAATGCCATTTATTGAATAGACACTTTGTACAACATTTGCTGCTTCCAGAGGTGCTGCAGACAGACCAATTGATAACAATTTTCGCAAAAAAAAAATTATTCAGAACAACCACGTAGCTCGTACAACTATAATACACCACCTCTCAAGAAGAAGAAAGTTGACCACGCACTTTGTCAAAAAATAATTGCAAAAAATTATAATAATGTGGTGTGCGCGACGTGAAATTCTCGGGTGCGGGAGGGGCCGCCAGGACGGACGAACAGACGCGTGTCCCTCCCAGTCACAATCAGGACGCACTGGTTGCATTCAGTGAAAAGTGGTGCGATGGAAAGTGGTGCATGAAAAAGTGTGCTTAGCGCGAGCTATTAAAATTTGCTACTTTTTAAAAATAAATAATTAACACAAAAAATGGAACTCCAGCTTGCAACAGTATAAAAGCTGAGGGGGCGCGAGCGTGCGCGCCGTGCGAACAGCAGATTCTTCCCCGGACACGCTGGCGCAGCGCAGGCCGGCGCCCCTGCCTCCTCAGCACACAAAAATAAAAAGCATAAAGTACTATTATGACATAGACTAACGATATAAGACTCTTGAGTGCGCGCGTGTTTGTGTGCATGGAGTTCCGAACGCCTTATTTTTATATTACGTTCCACTATGGTACTTTATAATAACGTACGTGGAAAACACACCCGACAGCATTGATTGCGTTGTTTCGTATCTTCAAATTATTGAACGAGTCTTTGATCCAATTTCATAATAAGCGCAAGCGAAGCAAAAATTACGATGCATTACACACGACGGCGAAAATTAAAAAAAAAAAATAATGTATTTAAGTAAGAGCGAACGAAGAAAAAAAACTAATCATGCAACACACGCAGAAATTAATTAATTTGACTACACACAATAAATATAATTAAACAAGACTCACAAAACATAAGAAAAACAAACACATTACAAGAAAAAGTTCTTTATTCGAACTGAATTAACGTCGTGACGGTGAAAACTTTTTGCAGTAGAATATGTTGTTGTTTTTGCATGCTCTTTTTCACTTGTTATTTTTCTAAATAAATTGCAACAATTGATTTTACAAGAAAAAAGCATAAAAAAGTAAATGCAGTGTGAAGGACAAAAGAAAAAGAACAACGGCTAACTAAAGAACTGTAACAGTGTGACAAAAAAAATCACGAATATGACGCAAGAGTAACACACTTACACGACAACAACTCAAAACTTTATGTGAGAAAAACAAACAAAAAAACACACATACACACACGCAACAAAATTTTTAACAAGCGTTTAATGAAATAAAACCTATTATGTGCTTGGCTGAAGTTTCAAGGAAGAAATAACGAATCAAACCCATTGACGATGTATGGAAAAACTCGCACTGTTCTTTTGCTATAATGTACGGCTACGAATTTGTTTTCTTGGCCAGTGTAGAAATTCGGCATTTCCATAGCAGAATAGAAAGAGATTCGTTTTCGGCTGAAAAATGCTGCTGGACTCTTTGCCAAAATTATCACTTCCCCAATTTTGACAAAGAACTTTTGCAAAAAAAAAAGAGAATTGTTGTGAGAAACAAGAAAAAGTCTTGCTTGCTTGCTATGGATCTGACACGAATTATAGCGCGTAAATCAAAGCATCAAATTATGGATCCTTATATAATGCTGCTTGGAGAGTATGCATTTTGTTGATTTGTCTTAGAGAAAGCAAGCGATAATGTAATTCGCGGAAGGCGGCGATTCCACGCTCCCTTTGTTCGCAAGCGAACACGCTTCTATTGGAATTCAACGAATCGAAAACGAGGAAGGCTGTGACCGGCGAAAGGGGACCGAACCGGATCGGTTCGAGCACCCTCGGCGCAGTTCCCCACTGTCGAGGGCGACCGGTCCACTCTTCCCCTCGGTCCTCTTGAGCACGGTCACTGCCTCGATCCAATGATTTGTCAATCCCAATTCCCAATTTGTAAGAGGAGGAATTTCTGCTACAGTGAATTTGTCATCGTGCTACACTGATGGAAAATAAAAATTTATCAGAGAGAGATTTGTGTGTTTGTGTGAAAAAATTGAACAAAAAAATCAATCAGACACGTAAATTAAAATAAGGAATATATAAATAACAATTTTTCAGACGCCTCTCACAAACTCTCCGCGAAAATTGATTGGAAAAACATTTTCACATTAGCGAAAACTATAACTTTTGATCGAGTGTCAATTTTGTGGTAGCGAAGATTCCTTAACGTAATTATCTCTCCTTTTAAGATCCACACGTTCACACACACTTGGACCCATTCGATGGACATTGACAATTCCACCGCCTTCCGCACGGTCCGTTGCAGCTCTCCTGTGTGATTGCAAAAGGAACACGAAAAAAAAAGAACACTAGCAGCTCTCTGCTCTATCAAGAATTTCGTTCCAGAAATTACGATGGGCTGACAAATTAAAGGGTTATATTTAATTCAAATAACTGAGCTTTAAACGATATATGCACTGTTTCTAATTTTAGCCTTGGCATTAAAAAATAAAAGAAAGGGGGCTAAGATTTTCATGAATTAGATCTAAAGATTATCTAACGTTAAGTTATCAGAATGGAGGTTTAAATAAAAGTATAAAAATTATGAAATGTTGCTTTAAATGCGGCTGTCTTTATTATTATCAACCCCACTTTTATATTATATAATTATGCTCGTACATCGCTTGAACACAATAAAAAATGTCTCGTTTGCATTCAAAATCGTCAACAATTTTAATTCTGTGCAAAAAGATTCTAGACAATTTTGTGCCGGAAAGATTCATTTTTAGGTTTACAAATAGAATTTCTTTAAAAATATTCCATCTACACAGCATAACATTTAGAGAGATTTGCTAAACACTTCAATAAATAATATATAATATTTATATACGCTCAAGACTTCATTGCTAAAAATAGCAATTGAGGGATGTGTATAATCTTAAAACAATTAATACGTTAGAGTATAAAAATCACACATGAATTGCTTTTCATTTTAGAAATTTGATCTAAAGAGATGTTGCATGTAAAGATTGGTAAAATTTGATTGTTGGAATGATATAGGTCGACTGTAAGATTGGTTTTTTAGAGTTCTGTACTCATTTCGTGCATTAAGTCAGGCTTGATACGTTTTGGTGTGGGTTGGGTCGAGATGCTGTGTGGGCCTTCGGTGGGCCGAGACGGCAAATCGGGTCCCGTCTCTTTCAAATGTCGATTGGAAGGCTGCGAATCAAACCAGTATTTCGAAATCGTCCATTAGCTTAACCCATCATAACGTGAATGGCTAGTAAAGTAAATTTTCTAAACTAAAAACAAAAATCCCTATCCAAGTTAATAAAATTGCCTCACGTTAAGAAACTACTTGAATGGCATGCAAAATAAGAGATTCTACTTTTTGTCTAAAAATCTAACTACGTTAATAAGAAGCTGATTCAAACACTTACTGGTGATTGCTGTAATTATCTTTGGTACTCTGTATGAGTGGTGAGAGGACCAGCTCCAGACTGGACGAGCGATTCCTGGCACATCTATCGAGAGACGGACTTCTGTTGTCAGATCTCAATTTGGGGTCAACAGCCTATAATTGAAAAATATATAAGTTTTATTTTAAATAACTTATTTCAATATCATAAATAATTTTTTAAGATTCATTAGAATTTATTTTGTAAGAGCTGCAGCATTTGGTGGTTTTCTTTTTCTAAAAGTTTCTGGGAAGTGTGACTTGAATCAATAAAAAAGCATGTGTGCCGCACAGCATAAATTTTTAAACCAACCTTAGCATACGTCGGCTCCCTCACGTGTTGTTTGGGGCGCATCCAAACAGATGCAGGGGTGGACCGAGTGCTGCGTACGCTCTCTGGACTGCGGGCAGGTTTCGCATATTGATTTTTTTCAAACAGAGAGACATGAGGGAGGTACGGGCCAACAGGTGACGGCAAAAATGATGGGGAATTTGCAGCTCGGGTGCGAAGCATGTTCAACCGCGAGTGCTGTGACGTCGGCTGCTGAGCGCCACCGGCCGGCTTCAGCGACATGGGGCTCTGTGAATATCTCGCATTGTCATCGAGTCTGCAATTAAAACAGGGTTCAAATTTATTAATTATTGTTGTATATATTTTGCTTAAATCTCGTCCATTATATTGGAAAACTTAATATAAAATAATTATTTTCTAAATTAAAAGAGAGCAAAGATATTTGTAAAAAAATTATATATTTTTTTTTTAAATTTCTATTATAGGTATTATAAAACAAAACAAAAAATGTGCAATATATGAAATATTCAGAAAAAAACATGGTAATTTTTAATTTAATATAAAAAGGTTTGTTATTTATTATTTCTTCTTAAGGTTAAATTTAAATTTATGAAATTTTCCTGCAATTTGATTTTAAATTTAAATTCATTTTTGATTTAATAATTAAATGATATTCACCTATAAGAGCCGCTCAAATCTCCGGTTGGATTAAAATTGCTGTCCAAACTATAATTGGGTCTTGCTCCTAATTTCAAGTTGCCATTGGGCAAGCTGAGTGAACTGGGGCCGTTGTAATTACTCGTTGAGTTGGCGTACGGACTTTGGTACGAATTGTCGTACGTCTGCATCCCACGCGAGAGGTCAAACTCGGCACTGCAAGTGGTTAACAAGTGTTAAATGGTACTTGAGCCATTTCAGTTCGAGACACATAACAGACACACATAAAGTATTAAAGACGCCGCCTGACCTTGGAGCGGAATTGTTGTTAATAGTAGAATCGCATGCCAGAGAGAAGGAAAGACCGCTTTTTAAATGCTCCTCCGACCCATTGCTTTTTGCATTCTGAGGGGGAGAGTATGGGGGAGGAGGACTGTCACCATTGTCGGGTGGCTGCTCTTTGCTCATGCTGCTATAAAACACGAAAAAACACAGGCCTAGCACAAAACAAAGATCCACAGCTTTGATTTACCCATTGACGCTCCGAGGAGAACGGTGCCGGTGCTTGGCCGCTGAAGCGATTTTTGCTTTTACGGGTTTCGCTTTGGTCTCCACCACTTTGTAATCGATCTCTCGCAATCGGTCCTCGGGAATGCCTTCTGTGTCCACCAAGTCAAACTCCAGCTGCCTTTTTATTTCTTCGGGCAGAGTAGGATTTCTTCCCGACGGAGATCTAGACCTGCTTAAAAAGTATTGAAATTATTATCAATTAAAAACAATAAATCATAAAAATATTTAGATTTCTTATAATTTTTTAATTAAAATAATTAAAAAAAATTAATTAAATTCTAAAATTATAAAAGTTGATTAATCAGAAAATTTCAACTTTTCTTGAAAATAATTTTTTTTTTAATACCTGTGCTTTCTGTGCTTCCGCTTGTGCAGGTTGTAAGCCGGCTCGGAAGTTGTGTCAATTGCATTTGAATGAGTGGAAAGTCTGTTGTTTCCCAGGTCTCTGATGACAGTGGCCTGGTGAATTTGTACTCGGCCCTCATCCTGCTTTCGCTGCACCTTCCGCCACATTTCCTCAGAGTCGACCAGCTCGTAATTGCTGCCGTGCCTGGAACACGGTCATAAAAAACTGTAAAATTGTCAATTTTTATTGAGAGGCAAACTGCACCTCTGCCGACTGCTGCTTCGCCGGCGCGAGTGCCTGTGACCGTCGTTTTCCACGTCAGACTCTCGCTTGTGCCGGTGGTGTCGATGGGAACGGCTCGAATGCTCACTCTCGTTGTCAGAGCCCCTTTTACTCCGTCTCCTGTGCCTGAAAAAGAAAAAAATTAAATTTTCGTCAGCAATTAGCCGCTTTTAAGGCAGAGGAATTTCCTGGAAAGGGGCAATAAATTCCAACAAGGAAGCAGTCAACCAAATAATCGCCCATTTCCTAAATCTTAATTGGACCATTATATTCTTTTAGAGGAAGAAATAAATATTTAAATGGCAGTTCAGAATGAATAATTATGCACCTTTTCACTTCCCTGTCGGCCGACGTCTGACTCTCGACGCTGTCCGACCGCCTGTGGTAGTTTTGGAAAATGGGTCGATGGCCTGCTGAGCGCACCGACCTTGGACTCGCAGACCCTGTGTAAAGGCCCCTGGGTTTCACCCACGGCGCGCTCCTCGTTGACCTGGGAGAGTCGCCGCCCGCTGGCATCGACGTGCTATGCATTTCAGGCGCGCTGCATTCAAAGCAAGAGATTAAATCAAATATGCATTTTTCTTTTAGATATGAAAATGAAACTACCAAACAGGTTGCGGAATGGAAATGATCTTCGTGTTGAGGAGCATCATTTCCTGCTTGAGATTTTCGTCCATGTATTTTGGCGCTGCAAGTAGATTGGTGTGAATAAAAAAAAAAACACTCCGAGATAACGACATACAATCTTGCGCTCCCTCGACGATTCTCCTTTGAAGTCTCCGACTGGGGGTTCTCGAAAATTGGGGAGGACTCCTAATTCTCATTTGGGCGTCTATCTGGGCCTGCTTTTCAGTCCGACCGCTGATGAGGTTTTTAATTTTTAAAACAACACTCTTGGTTAATCAATATACGGCCGCACATACCTGTATCTAAATCTGGAAGAGAATAAATTATCTGAAGAGGCTGGCGTCACTTGCAGCAGTCTAAAGAAGGCATGGTGCTCGACACAGCACTTCCACAAATGTTTGCATGCTTGCTTTGAAGGCGTCTCGAAACCGTACGTGGTTTCCTCGCTCTGAAAAGTGAGTTTATTTGTGCTTGCTTTATTGACCAAACTTTGGTGATTATCTGTGTGACTAACATTTTTATCGCACACCCGCAGCATAAAGTATCTCACTTTGAAGTAAACTTTGGTAATCCTGGGCCTAGTGAGAGAGGGAAAAGATAAATAATCAAGCAAACGAGAGAGTCGGAAATAGTCACTCACCACAAATAATTGCCCACTTTGGTTTTGTTCCTAAGCACTATTATTCCACTAGGGGTGAGTCCGAGGAAATATTCCACATTGTCCTCACCCTGATAAAATAAAATTATCGTCATGAACCTCATTAAAAAAATGAGTGGTGAATAAGTTACCAGCACGGGATGAAGATCAACTCCATACATATCCAAGCACTTGACTTTTTCTAAATAATTCAGCTCTGCCACGGCCGGAATTTGCCCTCTGCAAATTGTATTCATTGAGCTTTTCACAACTCCACTCGAATATAAAAGTAAAGCACCGCTTACATTAAGCCCTTGTGCAGATCGGCGATACGGTTTTCCAGGTCGAGGGTTTGATTGGACACGAATTGAAATTCCGACGCGTATCCATGCGAATGCCGCCGCGGATCGAAATCACCCAGCTCGGCTACATTTACAAATCAAATTTTAACATGGGAATTTTTCAACGTGAGAGAAGTCAGACTAAATTCGCGTGCCAAAATAATTTGATCGGAAATTTAAATAACACTCACATTGGATGACGTACGAGCCGAGCTCGGCGGCCAAGTCAAACGTCACCGGCAATCTACCTTGGAGGATGTCTTGTTTTACCTGAAGGAAGAATTGATATCTGTAACAAAAGAAATAAGCACGATCTTAAATTGCTTCAACGCTACTTGTTGGTTTGTGGCGATTGCTGGATATTAAAAATAAAAATATTATCTATACTTTCAAGTTTTGAAGAGAGTAATAATTAAATTGAAAACAAAGTTAATAACAAGGAATTTTCGTCAACTTATTAAATATTTCCCAAAACTATTTATTCTGAATTTGCAGAGAATTGGGGCTAAAAAAGAGAAAAATGAAAAACAGATTAATAAAATTAAACCGGTTTTCTATTTAGAAATAAATAAAAAAGTATATTTATTTGTGGTAGAATTTCACGATCGAAGGTTGATTCATGGTGATTAGAATTTAAAGTCGGATTTTCCTCGATGGGTTTAGTGAGTTGTTTATTGTTTGAGAAAAAACAATATCCTGCTCTACATGTTTTGGCTGTGTTGCTTAAAAAAAATGAATTCAATGTCAAATTTTGTGTTAAAAATGTAAATTTAAATAATTTTTTTCCCGAAAAAAGTGTTAATTTGAAAGAAAAATATTTATAAAAAAATTGGTTTCTGTTCTAATTCTTTTTTCACAGCATATGTCATGAATTATGGCTGCAGCCAAAACATGTAGAACAGGTTATTGTTTTTTTCTTAAACAATAAACAACCCACAAAACCCGTCGAGGAAGAGCCGACTTAAAATTCAAATCACCATAAATTGTAAGTAATCTAGTATTTCTCAAAAATAATTATTCAAACATTACATTGTTGTCGAGCAAGAAAAAAAATAATCACGTCTAGAGCATTTCCTGAGGGCGTATCTCCCTTCAACATCTCTATAGAGCTACCGAATCACTGGTGATAAATTTCATAAAACATTTACGAGCCACTCTCACGGTGCCTATTGAGAATTACCTAGTGATTTCTTCTAACAGCTTGCAAGGGTCGACTGCATAAAACTTAACGCCGAAGTAAAGGGTGAAGAGATCCGAGCCTGAAGTCACAAAAAATTTATCCAGGGTTAGAAGCAATTTCTTTAATTGAATTTTCTGCCGAGAAAAAGAAAAGAAGAAATTAATGGGTACCTTTCAACTGCTTCGCTACTTTCTTGTTCACGTCCAACCAGTGCTGAAATCAAACATCACGTACATGTCTTTGTTAGCAGCAATCAGCGTAAAAGGTTTTTGCACACTGGAGAGAGAGATATTATTCGTTCGCGGCGCGCGAGAAAAGCGAGAAAGGGTGAAAATCAATTCTCATTTTCACTCACCGGCTGGTTCGAGGGGTCCAGGTAACGCAGACCGAAATACGCAGTCTCTAAGAGGTTGAGGTGTCGAAAGACCGTGTCGAGCACTTCTTGACCCGAAGTCGAATCCTGCGAATTTTTTTTATATTTTATTTTAGGATGAGCTGAAGTATTGAATCGATTTCTCACGTTGATCTCTTGTATCAGCTCCTGCTCGTCGAGCAGCACGATTTTGCAGAGGAAGCTGTGCGACTTCTTCCACGCGAAGCACCGCATATTGTCTGCCTGTCTCTTTCTACGTCGGCGCCCGGCGAACGTTATGAGTCATTCCTGCGCGCGGAGAAAGGTGATCTGAAACCAAATTAGATATTTCGCAAGATGAGACAAAGGAAGAGGGAAGAATAACAATTATAAGGCTGTCGAAATTCCAATCATTAACAATGGAAAGGAATTCGATTATTAAAATGAATTAAATTATTTTGTCGCACCGAAGCCCAAATTGAGGCGATTATTGAGCGCGACTGATCTTGTCGTCAAGGAATATATACGCGTGTGTGCCGAAATTCAAGCAAAGTTGGCGGATTTTTCTCTCAGATTGCGTGCCCCTTCCCTTATTCCCTCGCGATCGTAAAGTGTTTAATATGTACGAGAGCGACTCCACGCTCCCTGGACCCTGGCCAAACGGACTCTGAACACTCGCGTGCATTCATATGAACGCGCGCACCTTCGTAAACGCTGAGAACCAACAACACAATTCTATTCCTTCACCATCATGCGCACAGGTCTTCTGTCTCCTCTCCTTGCCATTTTCGCTCTCAACACGCAGCATATTTATTATTTTTTTTTTCCGAAAAGTTATCCCATTGTCGAGCAAACCGCGCCATCAATTTCTATTGTCATATTTCCATAAAAGGGTACAGGAGGAGAATCCTGCATATTTTCATAATTGCTAAAGTGGCCCAATTCTGCGGTGCGGTTTTTAAAGAAAATTTCAAAAAAGAGGGACAATTTCACGCACTTGATTACCAAATTTTCAAATTAACAAAATTAAATGAACACATTTTAGATAAAACTACAAAGAAATAGAAATACTGCACATTTTACTATAATTTTTTCCTTTTTACGTTTTTCTTGAGTTTTCAAATGTAAAAATAATATTCAAAAGTGACACTTTTACTCTCGAACGAGTAATGATCTCCGTTGGAAACGTTTCTCTCCGATAAATATGCAAATGAACCAAATTGAAAAACTCGTGGCAAGCGCACCACGTCAACGAGGAAATTTATTTTCCACTCTATATTTCATTTTTAATGTCGCGCGGGGTCACCGACAGGCCCTTGACCTTCAACCAACTCTTAAGCACGCGGCGAGAGGCGCGCGCGTATTTTATTCAGCTTGGGAAGTGAAAAAAAAAATTATTCGCAAATTGGACCAGCAGAAGCCGCGCCGCGCGCGTTGTGCAGCTGAAAACGAGTTCCTCGGAGGAGGCACCTAAAAAACGATGAGACGGCAACGACCGGTCCAGCCGCACTTCCTGTCCCCCTTTATAAGTTGTCAAGCAATTAAAAGTTATTATGAAGTGTCGTGTCGTAATAAAGTCAGTCTCCTTTCCTGGCTTTAAAAGGGCTAAATGAAAATAATTCTTGCGTCAACAGGATTTGCCTTGCAAAAAGGATACGGTTTGCAGTAAAAAAATAAATGGGTGTTGCGCAATTTTGTTTTTTAAACTGGAAAAATAAAATCCTGCCTCTCGCCAAGAGAAAATGAAAATAAATCAAAATAAAATACATGTAAAAAAAATGAAGTAAATTAAAATTTACGGTTCACATGATACTTGAAAGAAAAATTTCCATTCCACAGCTTCACAAACTCTAGGAGGGTTAAAAATATTGAGAACAAATTATAAAAATTATTATTTAAATAAAAATCATGTATCGAAATTTCTTAATTTGATGCTGCATTTTTTCAATGACAAATAAAAGCAGTTACTTTTTTAAACTGCAAGCGTACATTTTTAATTTGAAAGTTTGTACTTGATTGGTCAAAAAGTAATGGTCTTGATGAAGATTTGATATTTTCTGCAATTTTGAGGAAAAGTGGCCGTTCTGATCTGACCGTGCTCGGTCCTAAATTAATTTTTTTTTCATTTGATTTCATTATCTGCTTTTATATAATAAAATTGAATGATTTATGTATTAAAATACTCTAAAGCAAATTTTTAAGCAAAAGCATCCATCAAAACCTCTCTGATGTGATTCTAACTTTTGATAAATATTTCCTTAAATTGCTATGAATTGTTCAAAAATCAACAATTTTTTAATAACAACTAAAAATTAAATCTTTAATCCATAACAACATTATTGTACCTCACAGCGAACAGCGTAACTTACTCCTTTGAATGAGAAAAAAAAACACGGTGCCCCAGCCACTAATTCTTGGGAACGCAAAATTACAATACTGAATTCACGCTTGAATTTTTTGCTAAGTGTAATATTCAACCTGCGTGTAATGAACAATACTTCAGTTGGAATAAGTCATGCGTAAATTGAGTCATAATTAGCAAATGCAGCAGCTCGAGTAAAAACCTGACATTTTTTTCCTTTTTACGTCAAATTTACAAATGAGTGATTTACATTTATTTCAAATTTGTATTTTCCGTGAAATTTTGAAATTGTTAAAATCTATGATGCAATATGTATAAGAAGATGCGAGCATTTTTAAAAATCAAATTTCATTTTTTTCCTTCTATGAAAATTATTAAATCTTTCTAGCAATAAAAACAAAAATTAGTCAACCGAGGGTGACTGCGGCGGTTGGGTCTTTTTGACCTCTGAAGTTTTAGCAAAATTCTTGCTAGTGGTGGTGTCGTTTTGTCCAAAAATTACTTTATTAATGAACTGTCTTCAACATTTGAATTAAGCAATGTATTGTAAAATTTGGACAAATAAACAATAATAATGATTTAAATTTAACTTTTTGAAAACTAGCACTATTAATTTTTTTTGTTCGAGGTCCGAGAAGTTCTTTTGTTGTTAAATGAATGATCAGCATCAAATTTTAAAATCGAACCGGTCGTTTGAAAATCTGGATTTCCGTTTTTCACATCATATGCATGCACGTAATGAGCTACTGTGTATGCGTGTGCATATTTCATTTTTATCTGCCGTCCCGGTGAAACCGGTCTTGCTTTATAGGTGTTGTTGAATGGTTCGTGACTCAGCACTCGAATGATACGCCATAAAATTTTTGTACATATTTCCCCTTTTAAACGCCCAAAAAAAGAAGAAGTGCTCTCCTCTCCGAAGTTATAATAATTGCCCCGCCGCAATAAAAATCTTGTTTTTTTTTGCCCAAATTATTATATTCCACTCTCGTGATGTTCGTGTGACACTCCCGCGGGAATTCGATTGCGTCTCTAATTAACAGAATTCCATTAGCACACGGAATAATTTTCCGCGGCATGAAAACTTTTTGCATGATGAACTTCTTTTTTGTCATTCACAGCGGGCGAACAAACAGCACTGCCGTGTTTGTTCTCTGTCATTACACCAGAGTAGAATATACAACTCGACACAAAAAGGGCACATAGATATTTTTTTTCTTTCTCTCTTCAAAATGTTTCTTAGAAGAAAACCAGCCAAGCTAGAGCTTTGTGTACTTCTTTTTACAATGCAAAACGCAACACGCTTTAATTTTTACTTGGAGGCTGAGTGCACGCGGAGAGCAGAAGACAATAAAACCTTTCTATTTTCTGGGAAAACAGCGTGCGCCGCGATGGAATAGGTTCTTTTAAACTTTTTTTTTTGTTATTTACTTTTTGTAATCCTCATTGAAACGCGCGTATGCATTATATATTGGTATGCGCAGGTATGAACAATAAACACGGTATGGCTTGGCGAGTAGCCTTTTGAAATTAGAGTCGGATGAATGCATCAAGAAACAAGTGGGGTAAAAGGTGCAAAAATCACAGATTCCCTTGATAATTTTAAAATTAAAGTAAGACAATATTTGGGTGAATTTGATTTGTCAATATATTTAATGAAAAAAAAAAATCAAATATTCGTTCTATGAATTTTAAATTTTAATATGCCAATGAAGCATGAATATAATCTGTGATGATTTTTTCCAATAGTTAATAGAATAAAAAATTAAATGTGATTAAAAAGATAATTATAGCAATTTGAAAATATTTGTGCGGAAAACGTTGGCCTAGATAAATTTTTAAATTTAACTGCAAGGAAAATGTTGGAATAAATATAAAAAGTCGTGTGCAAATTAATGTTCTTCTACCCTTAATTACTTCAGAACGGCCAATAATTTTTGTAAAACTTTCTTTCTTAAATTTTTGCCGTAAAACTTGAAAGTTGCAAGTGGATGCTTTTTTTGTCTACATTTTAATAGTTTAGTAATTTTAATTAGTATCCCAGGGAAATTTGGGCAAAAATTAATATCCATTCTAGTCCCTAAGGGTATTGCCAGTTTCATCAAAACCTTGGCTTGTAAGTATTCTCAATCCGACTTAAAACCATATTAGCATTTAAAAAGAATTTTGAACAGCAATTTTATGTTCAGGTGAAGAGTTAATCCCCGATGTTAATTGAGGAAAACGAAATCAACTCTTGGTAATAATAAAAAGAAGCCCTTGTTGTGGATTGAAAGAATCTCCCGACACTTTCAGGTATAAAAATAAACGCTCTGGATGCAAAATATTAATGTTAGTAATTTATCGGCCGCCGCTCGAAAAAAAAGGTGCGCTGCGGCTGCACTAATTCGAGTGTGTGTGTGTGTGCGTTAAATTATATGGAGATGCAATGGTGTGTATTTGTGCCCTCGTCGGGGAATTTTCGAATTGGTGTGTTGTGGGCAGACCGTGTCCAGAGCGGGAATTCTCACGGACTGCTCCGCTTACCCCCTAGGGCACATACCTTTTTCTCAGGCGCAGGCCTTCGAGTGGCGTTAAAGGAAAAAAGCAGCGCAGTTTACGGCAGGTATATAAAAATACATAATAATAACGAGACGCACGCAAGCAGACGATCGGTAGAAATATAATTAAAACAAACTCGATCTCATGAGGATTCCACCAGAGGCAAACGTAAGGTGGTTCCTTGTCCGCGCGGCTCCCACCTTCGGCCGACCTGCTGCAAACGGCGCGCGGTCCATCCTTTGTAGAGAAATTTCGTAAATATAATTAACGTTCCTCTACCAGGAAAATTATTATGTTGGACTCCGAAGACGGATTAGCGTTTTTCGCCCTGGCAATTAATATTCACGGTCGAAACTCTAAATAACAAAAATGAGAGAATCATGCAACATTTTCTTGCGCTATAATTTCAGTTACTAAAATTTATGAGGACCATTTCAATTAGGTTGTAAAATTTTAAAATCTCCACTCTGATTTCAGGCTAATTGGTTAAGCAAATTCGGTTTTAAAACGATTGACTGTATTTGAAAATTTAATGTAATAATTCAAATTCCCAAATACTATCTGAATTATGTCTACAAAGACACAAAATTAATTTATTTCTAATGTAAATATTTATTATTTAAAAACTTAATTTAATTAAAAGTTAAATTAGAATTAAGTAAATGTAGAATGAGAATAAATTAATTTACTTTATTCATTTTAATACTTTTTAACAGTTTTTAATTTTATTTCATTTGAAATTAGTTGTTCATGTTCACATGATTTGTAATTAATAAATGGAGAATGAATCAATAAAATGTTTAATTAATACACGGAATTTTCAGGGATCAGATTAATAGTTCAACTCCCACGCATGAAAATAATGGGGAGTACGCAAAAGATTGAATAAATTTAGTGGCCTTCTTTTTAGCAAACTGATTAAAAGTTTAATGAAAGCCAAAATAATAATTTAGAGATAAAAAAGAAAATTATAACCGCGCATTCATTAATATATTCTATAATTAGGATCTTTTTGGAGATTTAAATGCACAGCTTAATTATTGAAAGAGCAATAAACTCCGGAGCACGATCAACAAATTTTTTCATTTTAATCTACTTCGTGAAAAAATATAATTGCAACCTGCTTAATTGCATGCGGAATTATATTTAAGAAAGGAAGCGATGGATCATATCTGAATATACCGTACGGTGTATATTATGACGTCACAAATCATTCTTCCTTACCTGCTGTCAGAGTCGAAAATTCTCCTGCCGTGAACCCGTGCATTCAGTTTAATTGCACCTTCGCATTAGGAGAGCGCGCCTCCGCGTTCGTTCCTCTTTCGCAGAGTTAATGATGATAGCGCTGCGAGGCCGCCGCCGTCCCTCTTCCGTTCGCACTTCTACTGAAGGGATGCAGGAAGAAGGGGTTGCTGCCCTCGTCGTGAATAAATAATGACGCGAAAACTGCAGTGGATGATTCACCTGACGTGTGTTAAAAAAAGGAGCTGACCGTCGGCCGACCCGACACCTGTTCGTGCACCTCTCCGTCGGCTCGCTCGCTCCACTCAGCGAACTCTATCTAGATCGCACTGAAGCTCGAATCTCACAAGTCGAGAAGGGGGAGAACGGCGAGAAGTCAACCGTGTACTACGAGCAGGGATGCAACCTAACAGAGTCACTGGGAACTATAATGAGAATGAGAGGATGGGAACGTGCAGGGCAGGAGAACAATAACTTCTCTTGCATTATGCTGATATTTGATATGCCGGCTGTGGCCAGTGGAGCGACACAAAAAAGCAAACCGACGTCTGGGGAGGTTGGATTTAAGACGCCAGTCAGACCTAATTTCACTTGATCGATTAATTTAATTTTATGAATTATAATAGTTCGATAAATGCTAAAATCAAAAGAATCAATTAGATTTCAATGCACGAAAACGGTTTATTTGCGCAACGTTAAATAGGAAGTTACACGATTATTTGGATTATTTAATATCCATATATATGTTTCTATAGATTTAAATATGCAACAGGAGAAATGATCACATTAATTATAGTGGAAATTCTATAAGCATTAAATGACAGCCACTATATTACACACTAAATATTTTTGACAATTAGCGTCAAGTGACAATTACAGAATTACATTCAATATATTACATACTTTAATGATTTTTTTTACCTAAGTCAGATTAAAGCCTCCCAGGCTGTTATGTTGATCTATATTAATTCTAAATAACATTATGGCACACTTCATTGTCCAGGTTTCAATCAATATTAAAAACTTATCGATGGGGGTACATCAAAAGAAACTGAAATTTAAAACTTTTGGGGGTAAAAGATGAAAGAGACTATTCGGATTTGATCAGTTTTAGAATCTAGTGCGTCCCTTGGGCACTGTTACTCTGCTAGGCAAAGCGCGTTTTGTTCATCAGGAAGGCCATCCCGTGCATCCTGAAGTGGGTGTTGAGCTCCAGGTTGGTGGCGAACTCCTTGTAGCACACCCTGCACTGGTTCTCCTTCATAGCAGGTGACTCTTTCCGGTTCATCATCTGGCCCGTCTCCTTCAAGTAGGCGTCCGTGTTTGACACGCCGTGCCTCTTTTGCAGATGTTCCGAAAGACACGATTTCATCGCAAAACTGATCTGACATCTTTTGCAAATATACGAAATTGGTTTCAGGGGTTTGTGTTCGAGCAGGTGGCGATTGAACTCGGACTCGTTGTCCGTCTTGAAGAGACACAGCTTGCAGCTGAACTTTGAGTCATTTGTCTCCTGATACGCGTTTTTCATCAACTCCAACTGGGCTCGGAAATTCTTCGTGTTGATCTTCTTGCTCGTGAAGTTTATTCGGTGCTTCTCCTGGAAGTGGTGCTCGACGTCGCCAAATTTGCTCACCAACTTTTCCTTGCAGATGTAGCAGTTGTAAATGTTGTCGACTTTCTTCTTGCCCATGACGGCGTCCTCGAAAGCGTCCGTGTCTATTTCCTCGACGGCTACGCCTCTCTGCGTTATGGTTAGGCGCTGCTTGAAAGGACTATCATCAGAAAGGACGCTGACTCGGTTTGTGCGGCACTGAATGCAGACGGTGTTCTTGGTCGCTTTGGTCGGCTGCCCGCACCTGACACAGTGTTTTTTGGCAGGGGGCAGGTCTTCGTCTGACTTGCGTCTTTGGGACAGTTCCGATTTTGGGGATAGTTTTTTATCTGGTGTCGATTCCTGCTTGCTGATTTTTGGTTTTGGCGAGTCGGCCTCCTCGGTTCGGTCGGGACTGCTTTGTTTGCTCTTTGGTTTGTCAGCAACCGAGGTGTCGACAATGCAGAATTTGGAGACGGTCTGCTTGCAAATGGTTTTGTGCTCCCGGAACTCGTCTTTGGTTTCGACGTAAACGTTGCAGGGAGCGCAGACGTAGCAAACGAGGGAGTCGGCTTCTTCAGCGTGTCGGTGAATGTGGAAGAGGATATCGTTGCTTTTGATGTACCGTCCTGGACAGAGCTCACAATTGTTGAAAACCACCTTTTTGGCGCTCATCTGGAAATAAAACGGAGGATCATGATCAAAAAAAGAATAAAATAAATAAGTTGTGAGAGAATAAACAAATTGAATTGAATATACAAAAGGGATTGGTCTATTTTACTTTATGTTTTTATTATATTTTCATGCAGATCTATTTAAGTCCCGGGAATTTTAATTCTTCAGAGAAATAGGAAGGATAGAATAGTAAGAAGAATCTAGCAACTTCCACCAATTTATATAAATAACTTAAGATTCTCATTTCTCAAGCATTAAAACCTTTAATCTATTTCATAAATGAAAAAATTATTAAGTCTCAAGAGAGATTAAAGTTTTCAAATTCTGATCTAAGGTATTAGAAATATTAGTATATTAGCAAACGTAAACCTCATGTAAAGAACATGCAAGCTGCAGCTCTGCATAACTGCCTCATCAAGGAATTAAGTTTGAATCTGACTTTTGAAAAGTTTAATTTGGATTTTTTTTATTTTTTAGATTAAGGATGGGATTTGGTCAGGGCGCTGATTTGATTGAGCAAAGGGAGAGAAGCGCGAGAAATTTTTGTTTTCTTACCCTGCCACTATCAATGTGATTGTGAAAAATGTGCTTGTTCATATCATCGGGAGTTGACTCGACCAAGTGACATAAGCTGCACTTGTAGACCTTTACAGTGTGCTCGTTGAGTAAATGAGCCTCTAAACTAATAGACGAGGAGAGCAGTTTGCAGCACTGAGGACACTGGAAGGTGGCACTCAGAAAGCCGTGCATGCAATCTTGATGGATGTGCACCAAGAGCATTTCCCGGGACAGAAACTGGATGCCACAGTCGGGGCACATCAAAGAGTTGCCGGCCGCAGCCGCAGTGTGCAGCCTCTCGTGGGCCTTGAGGCTGCACTCGTTCGGCATCGGCAAGTGGCAAATGGAGCAAATTTTGACGACTGGCCCTTCAAAGTCCAGGTGCTGTTTGAGTCTCAGCCTGGTGGCCATGTGAGACTCGCACTCGGGGCATTTCATACCGAATGGGGCGATCAGGTAGGGCTCCGATTTGTCAGCAGCTTTGGCCGTTCCTCCCGGTTGCGAGACCCGAACTTTGAAGTGGTCTGTGATCTCACCACTTGTCACTTTGGTCCTTCTCAGTCGGCCACTAGACTGAACTCTTTCGTAAAATTCCTGCGAGCACTTGTTCAACTCCCCCCTGAAAGTGGAAAATATGAGCATTTTATTTTCAATCTGCAGTAATTAACCCACAGGTCCAGATCTCCGCCATGCAGCAGATGGGACAGTTCTCTTATCAGAGGCTCCACCTTGACACTTAGTTTCTCAACCATTTGCTGAGAGCGGCCGTTCTTTCTCATGCCACTCAGGAAGTTGCACCGGTTGAAATAGACCTCTGGCTCTTTCCCTGCGTCTCGAACTGTGATTTTCATCGTCCGTCTTGTGATGTGCTGCTTGTACGTCATCTCATTCACAAATCTAAATTGTTTATGCAAATCAAAAATTACTTTCCAGTTTTTCAAACAGATTAACCACTTACGAGTCTCCACAGTCTTCGCATTTGTGCAAAGGAGCCAATTCGAGATTTAGGCCAGCGGGCATTTGCAGAGGAATTTGGTTTCCGCACCTCTTATAAAGTCGCTCCTTCACCATTTTGTCAATTCCTTCCTCTGACAAAGTCGGCTGGAAGAATAGAAGATTTTAGAATTTTGCTTCTTAAATTAAAATTTGTCGCCAACCTTGATTACTGAAATTTTTTTCTTAGCAACTTGGCCTCCACCACCTGGACTAGGACTTCCACCTAAAACTTCTTGCCTTGTTGGAGTTCTCTTCACCGTCCGACTCAGCCTCGTGTATCCAAAATTACTCGAATTATTAGTCCGCTTCATTTTTATCCTAGGAGAATTAAGAAAAAAATACATATATCAGAAAAGTCTAAACCTTTTGAAAAATTAGGATGATTTAAAAAATTCACAAGCTATTTTCTTTATGAATTAATAATGAATTATGAATAAATTCATACATATGTTCCGATTAAAAAAAAGCTTTAATTCGTTTAAAAATGACGCTTAAGTCAATTTAATTATATGAAACAAAAACTGCTAAATTATTTCCTAAGCTGTAATACCACGAGACCGGCTTTGTGATATCGAACCATTGTACACTCTCACCTTTGCACGTATGTATTTTATGTAAAAGCGGTCTTCCTTTGATACGAGTTCGAAGCTCACGTGCCCCGAGTAGATTATCGTCTTTCAGTCTTCGTTTTGATCAAAGACCAAAATTCCCAAGACTTTCCGCTATATTGGCTGGAAAAAGCTTAGGAATAACTAATTCCACGCCCTATCAAAACATCCGATTCGCAAAACGAGACGAGCGAGGGTGAAATGGTGAAAAAGTTGGTTTTGTGTTTTTTTTTTTCTTTGTTGGGCGTCGATTAAAAATCGCGCTCTCTGATTGGCCGACCAAGCTCATCGCATCGAGCGTGAAAGGAGCCATGCTTTCTGAGGTTGCGAACGCGCCAAATTCAAATTTCCATTGCGGGCATAGGGGTCATGATGGCGGAACGAAGCGAATCCCTCTGACAAATTTAAATCCCACGAGCTGTCGCAGCTGTTCTCGTTCATTTTCATGACAAAAAGTTATTGTTGCTTTTACAAGAAGTTAGAAAGTCGTACATCGGCAAATTTGGAAGATTTTATTACTCGGAAAGGAAACTCGGAAGATCATTGTTATTCTTCAAAATGTAAGAAATTTCTCAAACCAAGGAGAAGAGCCAGCGGAGAAGAAAAATACACAGGCTGATTTGATCCTCTAAGCAAAAAGTGCCACCTTTTGGAAGGGAAACATGGCAGATTTTGATGCGATTTACGAAGAAGAGGAGGAAACGAACTTTGATGAAAATTACCATGCGATGACTGCCCCCGATCCGGTGGTCGTTCGGGGTGCTGGGAATATGACAATGTAAGTTTCAAAACACTTCACCCTTACTGCGCTTCTTAATATTTTTTTCTGTCACCACCACCAACAAACGTTAGTTCCAATGCTAAATTAAAATTTCCTTTGCAGATTTGGTCTGAGCAACGTTTTCAACACGGAATTTCCATCAGGGCTGGTATCTCGAGTTGCCCCAGAAGAATTCCAGGCAACAATCACCAGGGTGAATAGCGAGCTGCGCAAAACTCTACCAGTGAATGTGAGGTGGCTTTTGTGTGGATGTGTTTGCTGTTGCTGCACCCTTGGCTGCTCCCTGTGGCCGGTCGTTTGCCTCAGTCGAAGGGTAAAAAAAAAATATAAGATTTTTGAATGGTATTTTGCTCATTATTTTACAACTTCAAGTGACTTTTTAATATCAAATAATTTTTAAAACTAAATCATAAAATTTAATTGTGTTCTCTTTTGATTACATAAAAATTACTTATTAAAATTTTCAATGTCATAAAAAATACCTATTTGAATTTCAGGCGCAGCTGTCATTAACCAAGTTGCTGGACTATGAGAACTCAAGGCTGTATAATAAGTTAGGTCTGCATTGGAGACTTGCTAAGAGGCGGTGCGACTCATCATCCATGATGGAATATGTAAGAGATAAAATTATCAAAATGATTTTAATCCTACAAAATTTAAAATCTTGATTATCTTTTCTACTTCTTCCATTTTTATTTTAGGTTTTGCTGGTGGAATTTGTACCAAAAATTCCAATCTACCGACCTGATTGATGGATGGCTTCCTGAGAGCATTTTTTACTGTTCCTGAATGTATGTACTCTAGATAGAACAAGTTATAAAATTTAATTATTTATTTTGTTGGCCTGCAAGTGATTTTTAGTAGTAATATTCTCTAATATTTCTACCAGTTAAAGAGTTTTGCTAATATTTATAAAACAATTTATTAACGGGTGAGCGATCAGACAAATTTGAATAGCTTTGTAAATTATAGGTTGGGCTGCTGATCGTAAATTAGCTTTAAATCGCCTCCATTGTGCAAATGCTGGGGTTTTTGCTAAAAAAAGTTTGATATTGAGGTGCTTAAATGAACGAGTTCATTCAAGTGAATTTATTTTTTTTTTTTATATAAGAAAATGGTAGTTGTTTTAATGATAAATTTGATGCGAAAATAATTTATTCCTTGACTTGAAATAGTGAAGTGAGACGGCTCGAACTGAAACACATAATGAATAATGTGCACATTTGATATTCAGCCAATCGGCAACTATAGTAAGCGGATGTGACATTTAAAATTGCTCTTCCAATCAGCTTGTACACCAAATGTTAAGTAATATTAAAAACCAGCACTTATTGTAAATTGGGACAAAATTTTATGATCACGAATAAAATTGTGCAATATAATATATAGACCACAGCACGCTTTAAGAAGCACAAGAGCGAGATTGCACCCAACCTAAATGTATAATATCGTGTGAGAGGCGGTCAATGGACAACAAGTTTATGAATTGTATTGAATTGATTTTTACAAAAATGAGTCCACTAGGTCAATTGTATTGTCAAAGTGCTAATTTTGGAACATCTCATTGCAAGACTAATTTGGGATCGGTAATTTTGACGTTTCTGGAGCAGATGTGAGAAAAAATGTGAAAATGTTTAATTTTAACTATTGTTACGCGACAGTAAAAGTGGCCATGATACTGATTATTTTTTAACTCTTATAGCTATCAGCTTATTTAATAAATGGCAACATGATTATTTTCTGTAGGTTTAATTTTAATAAATCAGAAATCTCCTGCATATTAAAGCTTGTGCGTATCTTTATTAATTACCTATAGAAAAGCCTTACTTGCCTGAGGTGCTTTGGTCGAAAAATGTTTTAGCACGGGGTGGACTGAAGTGACAACTTTGAAAGAGGTGGGGAAATTTTATTACTTGGCTAGCAGGTGCGTCAAAAGGGAGCGATTCTCTTGACAGGTGTCTGCAACCACAAACAAGGACAAAGTGAAAATGTCAGATAATTTGTAACCTGCGACCTTTTAGTCGTCTTTTGTCTCAACGCCAAAAAGTTAGACTCAAATTAGATTTTCTTCCCGACGACCACCGAGGATTGACAAAAGTCAATAAAGAATGGCTATTTTGGAAACTTCTGAAACATAAGTTTTTTCGAATCCTTATTTTTTTTATAGAAATAGATGATTTGATTATAACTTTTCTTTAATTTCAAGAACTGATATCATTAGCAAAGGCATTAGTGAACATTATTCGTTCAAAATCGAATTATCGATATGGCGGGCCTTCTTTGTCAAGTCGCTCGACTAGAAACGAAAACTTGGCGATTCACGCAGCAGGCGCTATAAAAAGGTGAGATGAGATCGAGGGGAAAAAGCTGCACGGCTTTGGTGAAATGCTGCTGACTTTTGAGAGGGCTCGAGTTAAAAGCCTTATATTGGAAATTTAATTTTGCGAAACGGAGACACCCCTTTCCAGAACCCCGCAGATCTCCTTTTACAAGCGCGCAGCCCGCGCCGAGAGGTACATCAAGGTGTCATAAACACTTTTTCTTGTGAACACCCAAAAAGAGAGTCGATTTAAAAAAATCCAAGTGTTAGGTTTAAATTATTTTCTAACACTATCTTTAATAATAATTTTCCTGGTTTATTTATTTATTTTGATAGTTTGTTAAATTCTTAAAAATATGTACTAAAAATTTAAATTTATTTCATTAAATAAGCAATTTAATTATTGCTAAACCGGTGAAAAGGTCTCTAAATAAAGTATTTTCTATAGGCTCAAATTTTAATTTAAAATTCATTTTGTGTGACATTTTTTCCCTCTTTACAAATTTTATGGAAGTAAAATGAATTAAAAAAAACTGATTCAACTGAAAATATAACTCACATGCTTGAACAAAATTTTAATCGGATTTATGATAAAAAAAAAATTATGCAATTGGTAAATAAATTTTTATGGTAATAAAAACTCTACATGTACCTGAAATTTGAAGTTTGAAAATGAGCACTGGTTCATGTTAATTTTTGGCTGACATTGATACAATTTCATTCGCGCATTTCCCTCCGCCAGCAGTCATATTATACCGCAGAGAGGAGTGAACTAGCACCCCTGCAGGAAACATCCATCCCTCTTCAACTTTTATAATAATTTCGCCGTCAATCACGGAGAGCAGGAGTGATAATATGCGCTCCCTAGCTCTTCAATCTTTCACATTTCACCGACCACACAGCAAAATCGTTGGATTTCTGTGTTCCCTGCTCTTCTTGTTTTCTACTCGCTTGGTGGGTTAAGGAAAAGAGAAAAGAGCATCCGACGCAAACAGCAAAGTGATCTATGGAAGTTCTAATTACAAAACCACTTGATATTGATCCCAAGGCAAGAAGGCCGACAAAATATATAAAAGGCGTCGTACGCACGGATAAGCCGCGTCGGTTCAGTGTTTTAATTGAGGTCTTTGTGGACAAGTTCGAAAATAATGACACGCGTGACCTCCTCGCTGAGCAAAGTTGATAATGTATTCATCATATTCATGATGAAGTCTAAGAGTTCAACGACATACAAAAAAATTATAATTAATAAAAAATTTCAAAACTTATTATTGGTCAAACAAGAAATTTATTTAGTTTAATCGTTTTGCTCTTACCCTTTTTGTCCAATGTGCTGTTGCCCCCTGAGATCAATTATAAATTATAACTCCGAGTGTGAAATGCATGCGATCGACATTTTTTTTTCAATTTTGAGCATTACAGATGAAATGGTGTCTGGATCAATTGGATGGATTTTTTTGAGCCATAAGAAAGAGCTAAAGAATAAAAGATCTTGTTGTGTATTGTAAATTTACACCCTAAAAACGATCTAAATAAGAAAAGTGTCCAAAAACGGAAAATTTGCATAAGAAATCGTTGAAGTTTCGCAGTGCTGATAATAATTGTCCTCTTTTTGTTTCAAACGTTGGAAAATCCCCACGGATCCATTAGCAAATGTAGCAATTTTGCCACGGTTTAAATTTTTTATTACGTGTGCAATTCTTATTTGCTTTTCGAGCCAAAATTTTTATTTACATTGTTTTCTCTGGTGAATTTTCTGTGCAGTTAATAAGTTGGAAAATTCAATTTTCCCCTCGCCCAAATAATAAAATACTATGGCGGCATGCCAATGAGACACGCACCAGCAACTTTTACCAGCAAAGGGAAAATATGCATGGAGAATCAACAATTGTGGATGATGATGAAAAATAAGTTAGGCGCCCCCCGAGAAGGAGAAATTGGGAGGAATTGTAATAAAGTTGAGGGATGAGCACAAGTGCGTGGTGACAGCGGCAATTGAGTGGGAGGATGGATGCGGTGCATGCGCTGGTTGCCTACACAAGTATAAGAGCTGGACCGCAGTGGCTGCCTCCCTTATTTGCGTCCACGCCGACCCTTTCGCACCCTACTCGCTGGCATAGCTCTCTAAATCATTCCTTTCGGACGAAGGTGAGAACTTGTTTGAAAATAATTATTTCTCTGTATTAACACAAATTTGTCGGTTGTCTTTTTCAGGTTGAAAAATGACTTCCTTTCCTCAGTTCGCTATCTTCCTTTCCTTTTTCTCCGCCATCTCCTTGGCACTTCCTGCAGCACCTGTGGAGTCAAATAAGGTAAGGCCTCGGAAATATTATGTGATAAATGTGTGGAACCTTTTTTACAATCAGCGTGGTAAAAATTTTAACCGCACTCACGTGTTGAAGAATTTTGGGAAAACTCGTCAAACTCGCGGGCATTTAGAGCAGAGTTTGTGGCGCAGAAGAACAACTTTCGATCGCTGGTATTCACGCAATCGGAGCGCATAATTTCCGGAGCGGAAGTTGAGAATATAAAATCTCCTTTTTTGATGTGGAGCGCTTCCACGGGGATGGGTTTTATGTTTAACAAGTGGCTTTTAGCTCGTCCTGTGCTTTTGTCTGTCTCACGTCGCTTAAAAAAAAATCAAATTTCAATTTCACCAGTTGTCCGCGATCATCTGAAATAGACGCGAGACTAGGATTAAAGGTCTATAGACGATGAATTTAATCCAGGAAGGCACTCTTTGAAAATTTCTTAATTTTAAGTGTGAATATTTAAATATCTCGTCGCTTCAGCTTTTTACTTAAAATTTTAATTCAACGTCCTTATTTTCTTCTGTTTCTTTTTTGTAGATTTTAATCCTGCTTGTGATTTTTAAGTCTGAGAATTTACGTTTGAAATCCCATAAAGAAAAATAGAAAGATTTGAAATGTTTTTAAAATGGTAGCGGCTTCTGATTAAAAATTAAAAATTGTTTAAAATTTTTTGAAGATTTAATATTTAATTTAAGCAATAAATAAATATCCTGTACCTGAGCTACTCTCTTGAGCTGTTTGTGTAAAAATAAAAAAGAAGATTGACACTGGCGGAGAGGCGTCGAGGACAAAGTGCGCCTTCTTTAATTAATGTGTTAATTTTCTGCCGTCGAGGGGGGTGTGTACAAAGCGGAATGCCTTTGAGCTTTGAGGTGCCGCGAATCGCTTATCAAGCAAAATAATGAACTGCCTCCATCACAAACATATTAGGTTAAAAATTATATAGTTAAAATAACCTTTGGTAAAAAAATGTAACTTAATTAAAAGTGAATGAAAAAAAATTAACTAAAATAATCTGATTTATACCACATGCATGAAATAATGGTAATTTCAGGTCGCACCCGGCTCTTTAAATCCAAAGCTAGCTGCCAATACTGGTCTCCGAGGACTGACCTTGCCAGGAAGTTTTATTGAAAAGCGGGCGAGAAGATCTGCGGAGCACGTAATAACAGGCAAGTAGCTATTTAGCACGTTTTGCTAGATTTTGTGTGCATACACGACAACGATGCTGGTGTGTACGGAAGAGACACTTGAGCAAGAGTTTCTGTTTGCTCGTTAAGATCTCTCTAAGCAAACTAACAAAGCAGCTACTAAACACTCAAGCTCTTTGCACTGCTGCTCTTTAAGTTCACATTATATATAATTTAATTCAAGCACTTGATAAAATTACGCAAGAAATACATTTTGCTCGCTTTAACTATAGGAAACGCGTTTTGCTCTCAAACGTTCTGGAAATTTGCAGAATTTTGACAATGGAGAAGCTTCTAGTTAATTGCGTTGGATTAATTATTGAAGTGGGGCTCCGTCGTGCCAATTTTCTCGCACTCTCTGATTGGCGCCCATCCAGAGCAAGCTTATTTGTCAAAGGAGGTATTGTGTTTGCTTAGCAAAAGGTCGGCCTCTTTCTATGTTTGGTTCTGCTCCGCGTTTTGTAATTCTCTGGGCAAATGCACAACTTCCGAGGCGACACACGAATATATGTGGGGTTTCTCCTTTTCTGAAATACCGACACGATCGAGACTATATAGTGCACTCGGAGATGTGTGATGAAAGCAAATATTGATACTCGCAAGAGACCCTATATTTATTTGGAGAGAGTACCATGTTCCCTTTGCCGTGAGACCCAGATAAAGACACGCACACACGCTAACCGATGCTAAAATGAGTATTTTGAAAATTTAATTTTTCACGAGCAAAGCATCAGAATTAAAGCAGCTTTATTAACTTAGATAATTCGATATTTCTGGAAATTTAATATAACTTTATAATTGAAAATTCAGATTTTTTTCATCAGACAAGTTCCAGTTTCTAGAGTTTTGGCATAAAGAAAATATTAATTTGTAAAGCGAAACAATTCATTTACGAAATCTTTTAAAATTGATGCCAAAAATTTTAACCCTGAAGTTAAACGTTTATGACTTTTAACAATTTTTCTTTTTTTAATAGAAAATTTTAAATAGTCAAACTTAAACATTTATTTTATGCTCGTTTCCAGTAAAAAAAGTTAGTTTCCACACTCACAAAATCCATCAATAGTTAAATCAATCACGTAGCGCAGATTTCTTTTAGCATAATGCACGATCTGTCTGTCAAAACATTGTGCGCAGAATAAATTATCAGAATCTGCACGTGAAAACATGCAGCTCGGTGGCACTCAAGCTGTCAAATCCGTTTGTGTAATATCTCCCGTAACACCCACGCAGCAAAAAACCCCTCAAAACCCCAGCGCAAAAAGAGGCGTGTGTCCAATTAGGGCGAAAAATGTTGCAGATTGCATGACTGTCGCGTCGGAGGAAGGCAATTACTACTTCAAAGGAGACACTGGCGGCGAAGTGTGTGGCCTGTACCTACTCACAGACCCTGATCGCAGAGTGCATCTCACCCTCGATTACGCTGACATCCCCTGCTCCCAGGGTGGCCTAGTCTCGGTAAGTTATCTTCTATACAGGGAATTCTCAACTTAATTAAGCGGATTATGAGGATATTATAACTGCATTCGCGTCTCCCAGCAGATTGCCTTCATTAGCCGGGCTAGGCATTTTGCTCGACTCTGACGCTGAGCAGGTTGCCTAGCTTGTATAATTTCAGGCTGCACGTAATACAATCAAGCTTTAATTTATTAAAAAAAACTCTTGCCCCAAATGGAAATAACTTCCAATCAAAAGGCTTACAAAATAATATTTAAATAAATAAATTTTCAAAATTGTAAAACAAAATGAGCACAAAAATTATTTTCAGTCTACCTAATAAGAATATAGAACTGACACAACTTGCAAAGATTTGATTTTTATAGTGTTTTTGGAACTTGGAACAAATGGTAAAATTTTATTTTCACCGGCAAAGAAATTTTTCAAAATTAACTTACCATTCTTAATGCTTTTATCTAAGCCAAAAAATAGCCGTTTGAAAATTTCAAAAAAACCCAATTTTTAACGTCCCGTAAAACCCGTAAATTTTGAGATATTGGGGTAAAACTAAATATTTTTTAAAACCTCCTGACATGGTCTTTCTGTTCCAAAAATTTTGTAAAGATCGCATGACCCTTGCCAACGCATCGTACCTTTCACGAATTTTCGCCGAGAGTTAAATAATGTTTAGAAAGCGAATATATTGAATATTCTGAGCACAAAGAAATGAAATCTAGGCCGCAATGGTACGAAAGCAGCACGATCCCCTTTGTCCTGTTGCAGCTTTTCGATGGCTGGGAGTTGAATCGTGAGTATTTCCCCGCTGAGGAGGACCACCCGCTGCCAATGCGCCGGCGATTCATGGAGACCTGCAACGGAGCCCCTGCGGAGGAATCTACTTCCGGGCGCCACGGGATCGGCGGCCAACAGAGGAAGACCCTAATGAGCAACCAAAATGCAGCCCTGGTTCAGTTCAGGGTGCCGATCAAGTCGCGCGGCTTTGCAGTGACCGTCCGCTTCCCTCGAAATCCAGCACGTGAGTGTTTTGACTTTAGTTTCAATTAATAGCGTTTATTTATGGACTACAAACGCAATCGTCGCTCATAGCGTGATACATCAAAAGTACATTTTAGTAGAAAAAATGATAATTTACTGGGAAGAGAAAAATTAAATATGCGTACCAAAATTTATTATTTATTTCTTATTATTATTTTATTTATTTTGCTGCTATACTTGCTTTGGGACTCTGGATTTATTTTTAATTTCCTTTTATTAGCCTCAGCTTCAGCTTTGATTTAACTATCCAGTGCATTCTTAGCAATTCACTATTTATATCTCTGATAAATAAATTCTAATAATTTACTTTATGAAAAAATATTGTTGCAAGAATACAATTTTTATAGAAGAATTTCAATATCAATTTGTGGTGTGAACTGGAATTCAACTGTTTTTGTGTGAGTCTTTTTAACTAATTTAAATTGATTTTGTATCAAATTTCTTGCTTAACAATGGAGCTACAGGAAACCTGATAATATTTGTTCCCATGAATCAACAAACCCTTACAAATTCATCCATTTGTGCGCTCAAAGATTGTACGGAAACACACGATAAAGACTCTAACGTGTGCAGTGCGTTCTCTGTATGATATCAATGAGAAGCACCATAAATTTTCATTGTTCGGTGCTACGTGAAATGGAAAAGCCAGCAACGAACGCTTTGTCTCTCGCTTGTTGCAGCGACACATCACCGCTCTTGCGTCATTATTTTGCTGAGCATCAGTATTATCTCTGTCAGAGGCAACCACAAACGCTTCAATCACACTTGATTTTCTTGCTGACTGTCAATAAAAGCAAAACCGTTGCGGGCGGTTTGATTAGCGGGAGACAAACGCGCGTCATTTACAAAATTTGCAACTGAAGCGCTCATCAATAATAGAAATGGAGTTTTTGTTTCTCAACGAAGCTCGCTTGTGCGTTAATAACAAATTTTTTGAAAACATTATTGTTGATTTTTGTCCTTTTGCAACAGATTTCACTTTATTCATGAAGAATTCAAAACTGAGCAGTCGTTGCGGTTCTCCAGATTGATCTTGTTGGACGCATATTGTGCACGTTCAGGAGCGCAGATTCAAGTTGAAAGCATGTCGCCGGTTATTAATTCCGTATAATGAGACAAGACGATCTAGTTGCATGCCTGGAGGCTAACGTAGTTAATACACGGGACACATCCACCCGCTGCGGTCGTCTTTTGTTGCACGCATCGATGAGCAGGTCGTTAGCGACAATGTCAATTAAGCTGATTTCGCCGGCGGCATTGTGTCAAATTATAAACACTATTGCGCGTAACTCCATTACAATCTCATTAGAGACCTGGACTTTTTGCTACAAGACAAAGTAAAACAAGATGCATTTATAACTTTTTTTTAAAATATAAAAAGCAACTAGAAATGAAAATATGTTGCAAAACAGTTCGTAATGTAAACAAAATTTTGTGAGTAGAGAATTCTTAAAATGACACGCAATTTGCCAAGATCTATTCTCAGAATGAATTTGGGAGTAAATTAAAATAAAAATCAAATAGAAAAATCTCTTCACCAATTATGTAATGCTTATGTGCAGCGTGCAACATCCTTTTGGAAGGCACCGCTGACGTCTACACTTTGCGCAACTACGGCAAATCGGTCAATTGCAGTCTGGCTTCTCTCTTCCCTGCCAGGGTGACCGTCCTGTCTCTCAGCGTCGGAATGGCGACCAACATCAAGCGCAACCTAGAACTGGAAACCGGCACCATTCACAAAGTGAGATTAACAATCTTTTCTTTGCTGAGTAATTGGCGCGCGCTCGCACATTGAAAATAATTACATTTTGCTAAATAAAAAAAAATTCTTGTTGCAGTGCGGCAAGCGCGGAATGCCTGACTACGTCGAGGTTGGAGGCTCCGAGGGTTTGGACACGCGACACTTGGCACTTGCCGACTCGATCTGCGGACTTGACTCAAAGCCAGGTGAGAAAATTTCATTTGAATGCAAAACATCCGTTCTTTACAATGAAAATTAAAAAAAAATAAATCAACATTATTAAAACAATGTAAAAGAACCAAAAATTTTAAAAACAGCACCAATTTTCTTTCAAACTTGTTTTGCACTCTTGGACTTTTTTTTAGTGAAACTAGGTTGATTTTTTCAAAGATGATATTGGACTGAAATTCACCAACAAAACCAAAATCCTGTAAACCACGAAAAGCACTCGAGTTTATCAACACAATGTTATTGCCTGTTTTAGGAAGCACCGAGGAGACTGTGCTGTGCGGAGTGACTGCAGTCCGCTTGGTTTCGAGCGGCGACTTCGACAACGCCGTGACTGTGGCCGTCCGACCGGCCAGCGAGGACGACTTGGCCGCCGTTGTGTGCGGTCTCTAATTTCTGCAACCACGACGTTATTCTCTCTCACTGTTCTCTCTCCGCGTGCGAAATTGTACATCTGCGAATGAAATTTGAACCGACACCGATAGCGGACTAGTTGGTCAAACACTATATATATTTTCGTTTCTGCCGCGCAAATCCAGATGTAGATAAATGTGTTCTTGAAAACGCAAAAAATTCTTCATTTTATTTTTTCAATACATATTTCGTGAACTTTTTTTATAAATGCTTTCTTTTTTAATGGAAAAAATTCAAAATGCTTGTTGGGGCTTTCACTGTCTCGCTTCAAAAAAATTTATTTAACAAATGTGTCGTCTTTGTGTACAAATGCAGCAAATAGTTTACTTTTCTAAATATTTCATTGCTTTACATATTTATAATTATTTTACCTTTTTCCAACCAAAGAATATTCATTAGTGAAGAATACCAATGTTATATGTTTCTAGATTCTGTCAATAAAAGATTAAATCTAATGCAATAATCGTTTTTGTGATTTTATTTATTCTGAACCAGTGTTTGTATTCAAATTCAAGCGGAAGATCATCTTGCAGGAAGACGGATTCCAAGCAAAGCGCAAACTATAAACAAAAAATTGATAAATATGCAAGTATTGTTAACTTTTGGTCGCACCTAATAGAACGCCGCACAGCATGAAAAAAGCAAACTCGCATCTGAAGTCGAGCAAGGCGCCGAAAGCGACTGTCGTGAGAACGGCCCCTATTCGAGCGGTCATCATTGACATGCACGTCGCCATGCCCCTGTTTATAAATGAACAAGTAATATTAAGAGTTGTTATGTCTAATAATACCTCAGAGACGTGGGAAAAAGATCAATCGTTCCGGCTGCTATGATGCCAGGCCCTGCTCCGGCAAAACTCAGTGAAGAGCAATAGACAATAATTAAGAGAGTATGGTGTTTTAAGTAGGGCACCACGGCGATTAGCAAAGCTGCTATGGAAAGCATGCTCACTGGAAAATTAAGGAGTAATTAATAAAATTAATTAGTTTAATAAAAAACATTTCAACAAGAACAATTTAACAGAAAAAGTATCGGCATTTCAATTAAATTTTATTATTTTTTTTAAATTATTATTGATTTATTCAAATAAAATTTTTCTAATTAATGGAGATAATGCTTTTTGAAAGAGGTCTTCTAAAATGTCAAACATGAAAAAGAGTTAGAGTTTTGGAATAAAAAAATAATTGAAATAAGTGTTCAGCATTTGACATGTGCAGAAATTTAAATAGAATTTTTAAAATAATTTTGGAATTATTCTCACGACTAGAACTTATGTAAAGCTTCCAGAAGCTCTCTAGTTTTTTAATTTACGGCTCACGCGCTTTTTCAAGTAGTAAAGAGCAGACGTGAGACGAAGTCGGAAAAAGGGTGAGTGCGTCGTTTATACTTGCCGAAGAGATTGCGTTTTCCGAGAGGGCTGATTAAAATGCCAGCAATGATATTGCCCGCTGCGCCAGCCGTGGTGAGGAACAAACCGTAGAGGAACACGTGATAGTCGACGGTCGGGTCGCAGGTGTGCGCCTCCCTGATAAATTAATTCAGCCGTCAATAGGGTGTACGTGGGCGTTGAAAGAGATTGAATTGTTTTAGAGATTAGGGAGAGCTAGGCTTTTTGAGTTTAACACTTTTTCCTGATAATACTGCAAAGTTTGTGTAAATAAGTCTTCGCCATTGTTCTGATTTGATTAATTCTCATTAATGCAATAGCATTAATATTAACACCGTTCAACACTCCTCATATTTATGATAGCCAAATTTTGAGTATTCCTTGAGTTTTTAATCCAAGTTAAATGAATGTAAAGTTTTATTATAATTATTATTGTTTATTCTTCACGAATCAAATAAAAAAATGGGAGAAAAATTTATAAAATGTGTAGAAAAGATGGCATAATACTTTTTGGTTCAGGAAAGTTTAATTATACTGATTACTAATTAACTTTAACTTTAAGTCAATACACGACCACGTATAGCCTCCTTACTCATTTTTCCTATACCAGTCACCTGAATGCTCCCCCTCCCTTCCCCTTTTGACTCCTCCTACCCCTACATGTGGTTTTTGACCAAATTGATCAAAACACATTAAGAGTGCTCATTTCACGCAGTTTTTGTGTGATTTGTGTGAGGACTCACGTGCTGTTGTATACGGCGCTCGTTTGGACACCTGCCGAGGCCTCGAGCACCTCGTCCAGCAGCAAGATGTTGGTTTGCTGGACGGAAATGACGTCGCAAAGGGTGGCCGAGCCGTCCGGCGTTGCCTTGAGCCGGTTGAACATTTCGGGCATCCACATGATCATGGCCGTGAAGCCGAAGAATGTGGTCAACTGCAGGGTGCACGTCAGCAGGGTCAGGCCGAGCAGGTCGTGGCCGAAGAGGGGTGCGATTTGGTCCCAGCAGATGCGCAGGATCGACTTGTCCTTGTTCGTCTGCTGTGTCCCTCCGTCGTCCTCGATCATTTCAACCTGCCGAAGGAACGAAAAAAAGTAAGATTTGTATTATTGACCGCATTTTGATTTTTTTTTTATAATAATTGCAAAATATCGCTAATTTTCCGCTTATTTGTATTGATCATTGTATACATATAATTGAGATTTAACTGGCGTGTTGATTGAAAAGTTAATCAACAGAATAATTGTTATATTGAAATCCAGCCTTGATTAATCAGCTTGAATTAATCACTGCAGCCGCATAGTAGTTCCATTTGTATATATTCGCACGGGAAATTTCCATTTTTCTCTTTACTTAACGTGCGCCGAGTTGCAAAAAGCAAATGTTTACCGGCTTTTAGAGTCCATCGGGACTTGCACGTTTGTTTTCACCGCGTTTAGTGGAATAAAATGGACTAGCTCCGCAGACCTTCGGGACCAGAATTCCTCTGAGTCACCTTTGTGTGTACAATGAATGCGTCCAACAAAAGCGATTTGGCCTTGGATTTGAATGAAAACGAACGAAATCATTGGGAATCAAGAGCAGATTTTCCACCTCTTTTTTCTATTCAACGATATTAATCGAAAAGGGCAGTAAATAAAAGTGTGGGCGAAGTTCATGATATTCGATTTTCCGTCGGACAATAAATTCACTCGAGTGAGAACGAGAAGCGAGCGAAAAATTGCAAAAAACCTGCACCCTCGTAAATCGTCTGTGTCGACCCTTGCCCTTTTACCGCAAATATATTAAAGGGTATTTTGAAAAATCGGTTCAGGGAATATTTGAATGATTGAAATAGAAATGAAAGAAGGTCTATGAATTATTTTTGTCATTTTCAGTGACAAAGAAATATTTAAGTTCATAAACTAAAACTTATACTTTTGCACTTTTCCAATGTCAAAAAATTTTTATAAGAAATTCACACTGTTAATCAAAATTTTGGTATTTTTGAAAGTACCAACATGGTTTTATTAAAACTGTGCTAGAAAAAGTTGGCTTTAATAATGACAAGAAAAAAACTGTCAACCGAGGCTCACTGCGGCGGATGGGGTCGTTTTGATCTCGGAAGTTTTAGCAAAATTCTTGATAGTGGCGATGTCGTTTTTCCAAAATTTCTTTTTTTAAATAAATTGTTTCTACATTTGAATGTAAACAAAAACAACAATAGAAGAATACTTACCAAAATTTTTATTTATATAAGAATGAAATAATTTTAATCCTTTTTGTGACTCTACAAAATTTAAACCAAAAAACCACTAAATATTTTCTCAAAAATAAAAAATAAACTTACTTGATATTCAGATTTTGGCTTTCCTGTGTTTATGTGAAAGATAGTTTTGCACACTTCCAACGCCTCTTTTTCGCGGCCTCGGCTCAGCAGGTATTTGGGACTTTCGGGAAGGAAGAAAAGCATATAAAAGGCGGCGGTGAAACTGGGAATGGAGCAAACGCCAAGGAAAATCCGCCACGAGGTGATCAAAGGCAGGCCTGGAAACTTGAGCATGAAAACGTTTATTTAGATTAAAAAATAATTGATCTTCTTTCAAATTGGAAACTTCAAATCTCGTCTTCTGTTATATTATATTAATTTGAGTTTCTCGGGGAGGTTAACTCCACCGTCGTATTATTAGCAACTCTGATTCTTACTTCAATAATCCAGGGTTGAGGGATTACGAGCCAGGCAAAGCCGGGCAAGCAGATAACACCGGCTGCTCCTAAACAGGCGGCCACCAGCACAGCCCTCGGCCTTTCAACATTGTTGCAAAATTCGCCGGCGTATACGTACAAAAGTCCGGAGGCGGCGCAAGAGCTGCAATTAATTTTTTACGTCAGAGATAAACAAGCTTTAAAGCCAGGGCTATTTTAACTCTTTGTATTAATGCAATGTTGTCCCTGATTCATTACAAGGCTTCAAAATCGTTATTCAATCTTTTCAATTCAGTCCTTAATTATTATTGTTTATTTTATTTTTTTTTTAAATTATACAATTATCCAGCAAGAATTTTTATGAAAATAAATGTTTTTATTTTTAAATTTAATTGGTTAATTGTTGATTAGAACAACATAGGTTGGAATAATATTTGAGTCTATTTGGCTGGTTTAAAGTTTAAATAAAACAATAATTTATTTGAAGAATTTACAATTTTTGTTCCATCGTGGAATTTGATTAACAAAATTTGAGAGTTAAAAATAAAATCTCTAAATAAAATTTATTATTATTATGATTTCCAGAAGCCTTAATTTTCTTAGAAAGTTCCCCAAAGTAATATTTGAGCTGATTTAAAATACAATACATGTGACTTTTCATTGATAAAAAGTTAAATTATAGTATTTTATATAAATTAATTAATTAAATTTGCATAAAAAAATGTGCTATTTTACTCACAAGAAGCCCGAGAAAAATCTGAAGACGAGCAATGGCAAAAAAGAGGGTGCTAGAGACGAGAGTAGCGTGGAAAAGGCGCACACAAAGAGGGTGGTCATCATAGTCTTCCTGCGGCCGCAAACGTCGCCGACGGCGCCCCACAGCAGAGCGCTGCTCGCAAATCCTTTAATATATCAGTATTATTATTTTTTTCCCTGTCCGTCGGGTGTGTAATTTGTGCAGGAACTATAAATACTTTACCCACAAACACAGAGGAGCCGAGCAGGCCCTTCTCCTGCAGGGACAAATTGAGATCGCAGTTGGCCGCCGGCAGCAAATACGACGCCATCGTTGCCTCCGTCAAAACTGCGAACAAACACAGCCCGGCGCACACGACCGCTCGTAATTGGAATTTCCCGTTGCCTGCGATGATCAGAAGCAAATGAGATCCAAATCAAAACAAAATATACAGGAAAAACAGATAACGGAATTGCAAAGCAAAAAAGGAAAATATTGCAAAAGACAAAATTAAAATTTTTACTTATTTTCATTTTTTTTTTCATCTTTTTAAAGTTGATGCTAAAATAATTTTCTTTTTACTAATGAAAACTTCCATACGTTGATACTTGCAATTAATTTAAAATTTCTTCAATGTTTGAAGAAAAAAATTTAACAATTTCCCTCAGAAAAATGTTTTGTCATATGCGATATTTAGCTCTGTAATTTTCAGCTTTTTTTTAAATTATGTTAAATCAACACATCAGGGGTCATTGACAAGCTCTAACATTTTTTATTGGCTGATAAACATCATACAGATTTAAGATGGCATTAATTTAAATATCCGGATTGACAGGAATGTCAATTTATTGGAAATAAAATTTTGCCGAAGTTCCAATGGGAAATTAATTATATTTTTAAATACCAAAAAATTAAAAAAAAAAAACAAGTTATTCGATGATCAGAACTCGTTGAAATATATAAAAACTTCACTGCGATATCGATCTATATCCAGTCTAAAAATATTATTTTAACGCTTGTTAGTATTTCAAACCCTTTCAAAAGATCCATTTCAGAAATTAAAAACACGACACGCTCCCGTGCTGATTCAGCAAATGAATTGGAAAGAAGAAACATTCCGCATCAGAGTTGAAATGTCATGGGAGTTTTTACATAATTTTGAGCTACAAAAGCACGCGCAAATGAGAACTCTTTTTTTATGAAAAATTTCGCACCTGCCAAAGTAATTGCTTCCTCGAACGTAACCATTTTGGTCTTTTTCTGCTCAAGCGAAACACCGTTTTTCTGCTGGGTCATCTCGCCGCTGTTTTTATGGAAATGCGTAAGATTTCGCTCTCGTCGCGTGCATGGCACAATAATTTATGATAACGCGATGCAGCCTCCAAACAAAGAGCAATCGCCATAAAACTGTCTTGACGTGCTCTTTATCATATTGTTTTGTTCAATTTCTTCAAAATGAGCACAAAATACATGGAAAATGTGATCTCACTTCGTATTTGCAATATTGATTTAAAATTGCATCGTAATATGCAAGTTATGAGTTTTGAGACTGCTTAGTATTATTTTCCAAGGCAATTTTCTTTTTTAGTGCCAATAACTTCTGGCTGATGTGTATTAAAAATATTTAATAAAAATAATAACCATATTATTCGTCATATTTTATGCATGATAAAATTTGTTTATTTCGTAAAGGCAAATATAATAAAAAAACTGGTGGATCAAATCACATAAATTTTTATTAATAACCACCAACAAAAGAATGCGAACAGTTGAGATGGTTGAAAAGTGGCCAATAAAGATTTTTTTCTCCATCTAATTAACGGTGAAAATTGCTAATTCACACTCTTGAGGGCGCTCATTTCAATAAAAATTAGATTAAAATGTGAGCAAAAAATGATGATTAATGAACGGATCCGCTATATGGGGTCGAAGGGCGATGGGGGGCAGCTGCCTGAAAGTGTCAGACTCGAATAATATTACAAATATGCTCTATAAAAATAAAAACCTCAAATAAGCGCGAAACAAGAAAAAAATTGATTTTTAAACATTATCAAACATACAAAAGGTGACCAGAATTTTGAATAAATTGATTTTATATATAATTTGCACACTTGGGAAAAATGCTGAGCTACACTTTTTTTAGAAGACTTCGACATATTAGGTTTTTTAATTTTGCATCGACGTCCAGCAAAAAGTGCGAGCAGACTATGTTTTTTCTAATACAGGACGGACATAATGACTAGGGCAATCGCTGGAATGATGACCACGGCCTTCTGGGCCGCCAAGGGCACGCTGCCCGAAGACCACCCGCACTCCAGGTCGGTCTTCAGGATCTCGATGAGTGAATTTTTCTGCTTGTTTTCGCACTGCGAGTTGCGCAGGTCGTCCTCCGCGCCGTACTCGCAATCGTATCGGTCGCCGTCCGGGCACAGGAATTGCCTCTTCTTGCGCTGCCACACCTCGACCCATCTAATTAAATTAAAAATTTTAATTTTCTTTCAAAATATGGTGATTTTAAGTTCTTACCCAAGTTCGCAGTCGCAGTTCCACTTGTTGCCGGACATCTTCAGACTAGTCAGGAAAACGGACTTTGGTGCACCAGGACGTTCACCACTGTTGGGATTGGCCATGCTTTTCAGGGTGTTGTTGCGCACGTCCAGAGTCAGGTTTCGAGCGCGGCCAAGCTGATTGAAGAAGGCCTTGGGGATCGCCTCAACACTTGTGTTGTGGATGCCAATGTGGAGACGAGGATTGCGAATTCCCTTAAAATTTAATTTAAATATTAATATGTCTTGTCGTTGATTAGACAACAATTTCATAATTTAATTAAAATTAATTGAAAATAATAAAAAATATAAATAAAAAATATAAATAAAAAATATAAATAAAAAATTTAAATAATTTGTACACGCTTTGAATTATTAAAAATATAATATAATTCAAAATTTACCTGGAGAACACTAGTTCCAATTGACTTCAGAGAGTTGCCACTGAAGTAAACGGCTGACAGCTTTGTGGGGAAAACTCCGTTCATCTTGTCGTTTAGATCCTTTTCTCGTGAATCAACTTCAATGTACAAATTCTTCAGAGCAATGTTATGCTTGACGATGCGCGGAATATTGAAGTCGCGAGCCATGTTGAAAGTTCCAATCTTCAGGGTGCGCAGATGGTTCATTTTTGACAGGGCGCCGTTCTCGATGGCGGTCAGTTGGGTTAGGTTGCGAATGTCCAGTTCTCCTAGGCGGGTGGCTGTGGCCAAGCAAGCATCGGTGATCAAACCGAGAGGATTGTGAGCGATCTTGAGGCTTCGCAGCTGAGGAAGGATCAAACCTCCACCGAGACCAACCTAATTGAATAAAATATGAAATTTTTTTGAACTTAAGTAATACCTATACATTTTTATTGATACTAAAAATGGAAATAAATTGTAAATAAAAAAATTAAGTTTTTAATAAATTTAATGAAAATCACATTTTAAATAAAATTTATTAATTAGTCAATTAAATATTAACTTAACAGCAAATTTTAATTAAATTAATTAAAAAAAAATTACTATGGTATCTTTGTAATAATTTTAAACATTTTTAAGTAAAATTTTATAAAATTACCTGTCCCAAGGTATTTAGGGAGTTGTGTCGAACATCCAGCATACGTAGACCAGTAAGATTGGCTGCCAGGTCAGAGGGCAGAGCGGGCAAAATGTTTTCGCGTGCGTCCAACTCCCTGAGAGCAGGGAGGGGTGGAAGCGACGGCAGGGTGTCCAAATTTAATCCAGCCAGGCTCAGCTCAACAAGCCTGGGGCTGGAGTCGAGAGCAGCAAGAGCGCTGGAGAGTCCAAAGGAGTCAAAGTTGTTGTGGCTGAGATGCAAAGACGACAGTTGTGACATTCCCAAGAAAGTACTGTCATCCAAGCGCGTCAGTCGGTTGTCGGAGAGGTCAAGGAAGGTCAATGACTAAAATGATTTTTTTTTATTACTTTATTTCGATAGAGATAATGAATAATTTTCTCACCTTGAACCTGTTGACGGCGTCAGTTGGTTGAAGAGCGGCAATCTGGTTGCCAGAGAGATCAAGTTCGCATAACGAGCGGCCGGAGCCAGAGCTGAACACTCCAATTGGCACTCGAGTGAGCTGATTGTTGGAAACGTCCAGTCGTTCGAGATTGGAGGCGGCAAAGAGCAAACCATCAGGAAGTTGGCGCAAGTTATTGTTGGCGAATGAGACCACTCGCATATCGGTCAAGCCGTGGAAAGACTCGGCAGGGATCTCGGACAAATCGTTATTTTGCATGTATAATACCTATATTTTGAAATAGTTATATTTCTCTCCGTATATTCCATATATTTTGTTTTAACCTGCAGTCGGCGAGTGTGGCGGAAGGCATCAAAATCCACCTCCTTCAGGTTGTTGTAAGAAAGGTCGAGCCACTGAAGATGGGGCATGTTACCAAATGCTTCGCGGGTTGCGTTTGTCATGCTGTTGTGGCTCAACATTAGATAAGTCAAAGCACTCTCGATTGGCCTAAAGAATCCGCCAGTGATCTGAAAAAAAAGTAATTATAATAATAAAAAAATAGGAATTTACGAAATTTTGCTAAGGAAAAAATACCTCCGTAATGTTGTTGAAGCTCATATCCATAATTTTCACGTTAACGTGATAATTTCCTTGTTGGTTATTGTTGCTATTGGAGACCATCAAGTTATTAACTGGTTTGAGTTCTTTAAGTTTGTTGTGGCTAACGTTAAATCGTAGAGAAGCAAGTGTTCCCACCTGTTTAATTAAAATGAGTTAATTTTCAAATTTTTATCTTAAAATATAATTTTAAAAAATATTTACCTGATCTAGAGCAGCAAAGTTGAGCTGTTTAAGGTGATTGTAAGAAATATCAAGTTCTTCAAGCTCGGGAAGATTTTGGAAAGTGTCTGTGTTCAGTTCAGGAAGACGATTTCCTTGCAGATCCAAGATGCGGAGACGTGGCAAGTCTGTGAAGGATTTTGGCTCTAGTGAAGCGATTTTGTTGTCGTCAAGATGAATTTCGCGCAGAGAAGTCAGATCCTTGAAAGTATCTACATACACATGGTCAATGCTGTTAAAGGAAAAGTCAACGTCTTCCAGATAGGAATGAGTTTCGGAGAGGAAGGATCCTTTAGGAATGCGACCGATTTGATTGTCGTGCAGTCTCAAGCGCCTGAGTCCTTTCAGGGTCTGGAATGCACCTTCGGGTATGTTCTTCAGACCGTTGGCGCTGAGATCCATTTCCTTGGTGCCAGTCAGATGCATAAAGGCTTTGTGGGGAATGGAGTCCATCTTCAGGGCACGATGCATTCGCAACTCATCCAGGGAGTGGCCGATTTCCACGAAGGCGTCATTGTCAATGTTCTTGATTGAATTCTCAGACACGTCAAGGCGTCTGACACCACGGGCGTTGCGGAAGGCGTGAGGCTCAATTCCGGTCAGGCCAGAGTTGATGAAGTTTAGCTCTTCAACATCAGGGCTCAACTCAGTGAAGTCGTCAGAGGAAAGTTTTTTTCCTCCCTTGAAACGGCCAAAGGAAAGCTCACGAAGGCCACTCCAGGGCAACATCATCTCCGGAACCGAGGAGTACATGTCCATTTCGCGTCCGGAAACGTCTAGGTGGTGCAGATTTTGGGCATTTCCGTGCACAGACTTTTTGTTGGCGTCTGCATTTCTGTTGCTCTGCCTCACGTTAGCTGAAGATGGCAGTCCTCCAGAGTAATCGTGGTCAAACATAGAGGGCTCAATTTTCATGCGATTGTCTCTCAGGTTAAGCCCTCGAAGGTTAGGTAAACGGGCGAGTACTCCGTGGGGGAGCTCACTGAGATTGTTGGAGCTCAGGTCGAGGTAGTGCAAACTCTGCTCAAGTCCGCCAAATACATTAGGTGGCATGGAAGAAATTCCACAGTCGCGCATCGACAGGTCACGAATTCTTGCGTCCTTGAAAGCGTCATCCTAAAAATTTTCATCTTAATAAAAAGTGTTTTATTCTTTGTTTTATATATAGTTACGTAAATGGTGTTGATTGGGTTTCCATCAAGGAAGGTGAAATTGACGGAGGTGAATGCTCTGAAGGAGGCTTCTGGTAGTTCAGAGATGAAGTTGTACTCCAGGCGCAAAACATCCAGTGAAATCTTTGGGTAGTTTATAGTGTTCGTATTCTTTCTCCCACCCTGAGCGGAGCCACTTGCAACGGTAGGATCGAGGTCTGCTTCGTCGTCCTCTTCCTCAGGGTAGACTTTCGTGAGTCTGTTCTTCGATAAGTCCAACGAACGCAGTCCAGTTTTCAAAGCAGCAATCTGATAATCGATTAAAAATAAATTAATAATCTTAATATTCATACATCATTAATTAAAAATATACATAAAAAAATCATAGTAATTTACTCTGATAGGTGATCCACTGTGCGAACGAACTTTGCCGAGCGAACAAGGAACTTCTGATAAATAAATTAATTTTACTTCATAAAATTAAATTTTTCTTGTTAACTTAATAATTTATTTGTGAGTTGACTGAAAAATTAAATTTACAAATCAGAAAAAAAATAAAAGTAAAATATTTACATCTTCATGAGTTTTTTTCTTAGTTTTTTTTTATTAAGAAAATAAGAGGGCTCCCAAAATTTTATATGTTTTAAAATCAATTATTTCTGTTGTATATAACTAATTTTTGCAAAACGCTTAAGATTTTAAAAATTTATCAATTTTCAGGAGAATATTTAATTTTTGGATAATACAGACCATGAGTGCTAAAATTTTGCTGAAACTTCCAAAAATTAAAAATACCCCATCCATCACAATGAGTCCAGCAAGAAAAAAAAATATTTCGTCAAATTTTTAAAATGATTTTCCCCTTTGAAACAGTAATTTCTATCTGATTTTGATAAAAACTTACTTTTAAAACAGCAGTTTTACATTTCTTTATTGCAAAATTAACTTAAATTTAATAGCGTATCAATTTATTAATTTAATTAAGAATAAAATTATGAGCATATTTAAAACAAAACATTTTTCTTTTAAACAAATTAGTTTTTCCTATAAAATTGAAACGATAGGCTACAAAAAAAATCCACATCTATGTACGTTCGCGCGACATGTCAATTGTGGACTACTTATATAATACTTAAGAAGTGCTTTTACCGGCATCGATGAAAGAAGATTGTCGGCCAAAGAGAGGTGCTGAATCCTAGGTGGTAAGGCAGCTGCGTCTAAATTTTGCAGAGCATTGCCTCTCATGTCCAGAGTTTCCAGTCTGCTCAGTTCGCTGAAGGCACCAGGTGGAAGAGAAGAGATGGAATTATCAGCAAGTATGAGAGTTTCGAGAGATTCCTCAAGGCCACGGAAAGAATCGGGAAATAATTCGTAAATGTCGTTTCCTAAATATTATCATAATAATAGAGATTGATTTTGAAATTCACAAAAAAATAAATATACCAGTTAGATCCAGAAGTCTGAGTCTTCGGAGGTAACGAATGGCCCTGTTAGGAACGGAAGTCAGCCTGTTACGTTGCAGAGCGAGTTCCCACAAAGACCTTTCAAGACCCTGGAGAGAATCGTCTGGCATTTCGGGCAAAGGGTTGTCGCTGATTTGCAGACGGTATAAGCCTTCAAAGAAACAGGATGATTATTTTTTACCTTCTCCGAAAAATATGTATATTTATTTTGGCGCACCGGTATTCTGCAAAAGTTGCGGCTCAATCCACCTCAGACCATTATTCTCTAAACGGAGAATAAACACCCGTGAGGAATTGAGTGACAATGGAACTCTCGCCAGAGGTACATCCCTAGGAGGAAACAACTCATTAAGAAACTTTTCAAGAGCATTGTATTGATTAGAAATACCTGCAGGACACGATGCCGAGGTCGGGCACAGTCTTGGAGCAGGTGCACAAAGGATTGAAAGCGCAAGGAGGATACTGAACGGCGTCAGACGCATCCTGCTGCGCCCCAAGAGACATCGGGTAATTGACGATGCCATTGTTCAGGGCGACTGGCCCTGCCTTGACCAGGATGGCCCAGGACATCAGTAAAAGGCACAGAACCACCATAGCGTAACCGATTTTCACAGCGATAAACATTGAATCTGAAAATTAAATAAATTAGCAAAATTAAAGTAATGAAACAGTTTTATTAATAAAGCTGATTTTTATATAAAAATAATTTAAAATGATAGAATGTTGTTATTCATTTACGGAAAATATACAATTGATAGAAAGTCACTTTCAGCGCAGTTACTCGATGAAATTTGAGAAGTCAGAAAGGGTCCGGGTGTTGGTTTATTTTTAGTTAAGTATTGTATTCTGTATTTTCACTTTGGGAAAATTGTGTGGCTTCCGCAACGTCTGGAAGAACGAAAGGTCTTCCAGGTCTTCAATAATATTATTGCTTTTTTTTATTTTTGACCGTAAAAGTATTGAAAAATATTATTAAAAATTAATATTTAAAAAAAAATCATAATATTTTTGAAAGGCCATCAAAAAAGTGGTTTTTTGAAGGGCCAAACATGAAGTGACGATTGCGGTCACTTACATGCAAGTGTCCTTTGTATTTCTTGCCCTAAAGTTTCAACAAACGGTTTGCTGCCGGCACTCGTCTGTTTGCTTTGCAAAAACGTCCATTGTACTATAAAGCAGCGGCCGCAGTCATGCTCTTGTGTTTTCGCATGTAAAACACAATAAGCAATTGTGAGTTGCGTCACTAAGAGGAGTGTGTCGGAACGTCCAACTGGTCATTGGCTCGGTCCAGAAAACGGATTAGAAAAACAACACGCGAGCCTCACAATTCAAGCCAGCTAGTCAGTCGCTGCTCTATAACGTACGTTTTATTCTTTATGGAATGTTTATTTTCCCAAACAAAACGTGAGTCGCTCGAGCGGCGCTGGTCTTAAAATTTGGAACTGGCCGCAAACTTTCATCCTACGCCAGATGTAGCCAGTGCGCGTTGTAAAGTGCTTGAATTATTTCTATTTTTATGTCTCGCCGTGATGATTTTGGGTCAAACTTTATTGAGACGAAGGAGCAATTATTTTCTGTTTTAATTCAGCGAACAGACAAACTTGTTGGAGGAAAAGGCGGACAAGAAAGAAAACATCAAAGAACACGTTGACGTAGAGAGTGGAGGATTTTGAGCCAGAGCGAACTGCTTTATGGCTTTTTGTTGGAGCCGCGGCGATTAATTTCCGCCATTCACAAAATAGGAAATTAGGTTTTTGAGAAAAGGGAACTTCACGTTTGTCGGTGACGCTAAACTTGTATTGCTTTTTAATTTAATATTGGATAATTCCTTCCGTCTTGTCATCTTTTGAAGAAAATTAATTTAATTATGTTCTCCTTTTTAGAGCTAAATTAATTAATTCTGAAAGTAATAAATTACTCCAGAAAAAACATTGCATCAAATTTTATATGAAAATTTAAAAATTATATATAAAATATAAAATCATATTAAGTAATTGAGTTATTTTTGAGATGAGAACTAGTCTGTTAAGGGCAAAATTAGTTTATTTTTTATATTTTTCCTTCGCTTAAACAAAAAAACAAAAATTAAGTCTGTTTATTATTATTATTGCATCTCACTTAATATTTTTGTAAGGAGTTCATGCACTTCAATATAAAGGATCATAGGAAATTTAAGTCGAATAATTTAATTAATTAAACTGGCCATCGTCATTTGGAACTTATGATCTTTCTGAATGCAATATTTACAAATAATTCCTTTTTTTAAGCTTTGATTTCTTCCAAATTTCATCATAAATTGAAAGACAAGCATTGAATAAAATTAAACAGGCGGTTATACAAAAACCTATAAAAAAGTTCGTTCTGAGAAGAAATTCACCTTACAAATACGGTAAAAATGAAATTTATTTAACAAAAATTTTCACCTCTATCACTTTATCCTTGACGAAGGAGCCGCGATGTCGTCTCTCAGCAATGCTGTTTCATAAAAAATTGAGATCTTGATGCACACTGACTTTTCAGCCTGACTGCAGGGCTTTCGATGGTTGACATACAGCTCGCGTCCGCCACCGCCGTCCTGCTTGTCTGCTGGAGTGTCCGGCAACAACTGGTTCTCCACGAATTGGCCCGCCTAAAAAACAGCTCTAGCTGCTTCACTTGTACTGATTCGCCCTCGGCGCTAATTTCATTTGGGGGCTGGCGAGCGCACCAAGACGACATGCATGAATCGGCTCGCGGCTTTGCTTCGCGCCACCCCTGCTGGAAACGAAGACCGCGCACCCGCCACGCCATAATTAATTTTGCGTGTCGCACTCGCGATTGTACACGGGCGTTCGATTGATTTGTCCGACGCACGGAAACGAGGCCGCGCATTTGCATTAACTCAATTTTAGGCACATGTTGCAGACGGTGCGTGCAGACACTTCATGTGTGCACACTCAATGTGCACACTGCAAACGTTTTGCCATTGAATGACCTCAGTTGGTTATTTTGGTTGCAGATGTTTTTAATTAAAATATTCAATAATTTGAGACTTAATTGCTCATGATAGTTGATTTGCACAGTAAATTGATCTTTTCTTTGGAAAATACGTGCGGATGGTTCATAAATTGGTTTCAAAATTATCATTATTTATTTTTTCCCTTTTTAAAGGTGATAAGCTTTTTTTAAGATTTTTGTGTGGAGTATCAATTGAATTATTTCTAGATCACAATTATAAATGTAAAAAACTGCATAATTTGATATTATTAGCCTTAATATTAATGATTTTAGTTAATTATTAAATGCGTCATGTTCTGATTACATATATTAATAAACGTACTACATGAATTTAATAGATTTTATTTTTGTTTGTCCAATTATTGTGAATTCTAAAAATTAAATTGTTGATGTGATGTCTACGTATGAACGGAATTGAAATTTAGTCACATTAAAATTAACACTACACTTTTTCCAAATTTTTATCAAAATGTTTACGATGATTAACTTTAAAATTTATTGCTTATATTATTTTATGTTGCTTATGTATGTGGGGGAGCTTTATTTGCTTTTTGTTTCATTTTTAGATAAACAGACGCGAAATTTGGGGAAATAGGTCGCGACACCCTTGAGCCAGGAATCGACGAGCAATTTTCGTTTGTGTGGCTTCCTTCGGTCAGCGGGTTGTCAGGCTGCAAAGATATAATTTTCCACCGCAGGCGATTTCCTGACGCGCTAGGCGGGCTTGCCTATGTTGTATGCACAAGTGGGCACTCGTCTCGGCACCGACTCATCATCATTCTGAATTATTGACAAAAAGCAAACATTCAAGAAGTTCCAGGCCAAACTTTTCGGCTATATAGCTTTTATTGATTCTCTCTTGCAAGTGCATTGAGTATGAAAGGAAGTGTATATTGCGAACGCGGCTGGAATTGAATTGGGAGGAACTTTTGAAGCGGCACAAAGTTGCTGCGAAACGGAAATAATCAGCCCGCTTTTCTCTGTGTCTGTGTAAATCGCGGAATTGGAAATCGCGGTGTTTGCAAAGAAAAAAAGCGCTCAGTCACTCCTTCAAAATGTCTACAAATAGAATAATGATTACTTACTGTGAGATATTTTTTTCTTTTTATTGATCAGTTCATTCTAGTTCATTGAATAAGGCAAGAAGACTTATAAATTGAATCGCCGACATGGTGTGAAAATTCAGAATGAAATTCATACACATATAAATGATGCAATTCTTTGAATTATTCAACATTTAGTACTCTTTGTAATAAAAGTAATGTGAATTTCATCTCTTTTTCACCCTTTCTTTTTTCATCAATTTTTTACAAAAGCATCATTTGCAAAATAAAAATATTCTACCCAACGGTTGATTTTGTAAAAAACGGAGTTTTTTTAATGGGCCAGACTGTTTGAATTGTTTTAAAACTAATTGAAGACACCTTCCTTAAATTCATTGATTAAACTAATCACCTATTACTTCAAATATTTATGCGCTTCAAAAATATGTGTTCCAAACTTGTCCGGGACGTCTTTTTTCCGCAGGGTTAGAAGCGGTAAGCGATAAGAGGAAACAGTTAATTTAAATCATTAAAATATTTGATAGATCCATTAGATGCTACAAAAAGAGGTTAATAATTTGTAAAGCAATATTCAATCTTTACCATTTTTTATACTTTTTATTTTCTCACTTTGAAACTTTTATTATGAGAAAAATTTGCCTTAATAATAAAAATTTTTACTTTTTTTAGATAAAGTTTGATAGTAAACAAAATGTTTTTGAAATTTCTCAACAATATTAGTCACTGTTAAAACTCCACAATAAATTCTTGTCGGAATTGAGATTCGCAGTATTCGAACACACAGAAAGCTTAAAATTTTAAATCAAGTTTTATAAGTTTTATAGACTTGAATTTTGAAATTGCTAATTAATTTCTGCGTCCTAATTTTTGTTACATCACAGCAGCAGCATCAACATACCACACTGGTCGAACGGGTCAACCAGCGCGCAGTGTTTTTCCCACATTTGACTCCACAGGCCTTTTGTCATTATATTTTTATTCAGCAAAGCGCGCAGTTGGATTTTTTTGCCAGTGCTGCTAGCGAGAGTGGAGAGTTGCCGCGCTGCCCGGTACTTATGATAAAGCCCCACAACCCTTTTCGATTTAAGGGCAAATATGCGGCCTTTTTGTTTGGCCTGCGTTAAAACGCGGGCGAGCGAGCCGAGCGCGATTTAAAGGCTTTTTGGCTGAGAGAGAGAACGAAAGTCACATGGCACTCGCTGCACGTGAACAAATGAGACTTGTGGCTTTTGTTTGACTGTGTTTTATAGGGTCTGCCTGGAACATCGGGGCTTCACATCAGCGCAGTTAAAGGGATCACTGTGCGCGCTGTCGGCATGGAAAAAGCCTCGCGTGAGCACAAAACCTTCCCTTCGCGCTGTGAATGTTGGCGCAAGAAATGCATCGGCGCGGTCAGAGCACAAGTGCAGATTATTCGCCATGCAGTGTGTGCGCCGATGCAGAAATTGTGATGCTCTCTGAAAAGTCGTAAACGCAAGGATGGAAAAAATGGATGGTGAAAAAAAAACAAGCTAATGCGGATGCAATAGCCATGCCATTTAAATTTAAAGAAACTACAAGACTTGTATGCACTTAAAGTGAAAAAATTGTGAAAGGAAAATTGTTAGGAAACTCTAGAAATGCAGATGAAACAAAGGGATGTAATCAGATAGGGGATGTACGACTTACACAATTTTATATTGATCTCATTAATTATAAGAGCAGTAGTTTTGCAAAATTTACATTTTATGTACCCATATTGAGATAAATCATACGGATTATTTGAAAAAAAAAAAAATAAATAATAATTAACAAAAAGTTTTGCACGATGAAAAACGAGTAACACGCTAAAAGGTTCAAATCGATTGCAAACCCGTAGTTAGATAATTAATTAATTAATAAATTAAAAATAAAATTCAATCAAGCTTCGGCTCAATAAAAATAACTTTTCGTTGCTCGAAATCAAAGTTTTCTAATCAAAAAATTAATTTATCCGTTATTCGCTTTAATGACATTCAATCGTATCTAGATATTTATTTATATTTTGCCTTTGACAAAAATTCTAATAATCACAATTCAGTTGAAAAGAGGAAATAACATCATAAAACTAAAAATTAATACCACATAGCTTTTTTTTTTAAATAAACACTAAAATTATAATTTTTAATTTTTACTTAGTTTTATTATTAATGTGTATTCTTCTCAGTCGAATGTAATTTATTGCTTACTCAATGTGCACAAAAATTTCGTCAATAATAATCGGGCAGTTATTATTATAGCAGAAGCCCTTTTATATGATCACATAATCGTATTATTTTATTTACATGATTATGATGGTCATTTTTTGTGTGGAAAGGTCCAGAAAAACTGCCAGACGTGAAAGAAGTTTTCAATTTAAACCTTTAAAAATTTTTAGCAACTTCAATGCGGAGCAATGAGACTGAAAAAGAAAACACCCAAGATACTTGTGAATGTAAAATATTTTAATTTTTCAATTGGAAAATTATTAGTTAATATTTTCCTCCCCAGGTGGCAGGTGCGATCAGGTGCACCTTGTTCGTTTTCGCTCGTTTTAGTTGAAGGTCATCCGGCAGGCGGCACCACCCGCTAGTAAACAAGTAACGCGGCAAGTGCAAACCCAAAATCGTCTCGAATCAGAATCGATCTTGCGTGTTTCAACGTGTTCGGAGCGATAAAAATCGTTGCGAATCGAGTTGGCAGCGTCGTGGCGCTACTTTCTTGGCGGCAATCTGGCGTCCGGTGCGATTGTTGCACATGTTTTTCCTTCCCGCGCAGACATGTGACGCGCCGTCGGTGCCGACTTTGCCGAATTGCGACGCCGAACCGAGCGACTCGTCGGCCGACTTGGCCCTGGAGATGTAGCCGAGAGTCTCGCGCCTGCAATGGAAAAGTTCCAGAAGATCGAGAAAATCGGCGAGGGCACGTACGGCGTGGTCTACAAGGCCCGCAATGTGGAGACCAACGAGTTCGTCGCCCTCAAGAAAATCACCCTCGAGCCGTGAGTTTCAATTTTGTTTTCGCATGAAATTCTTTTCTTGGTTGACTGCTTTTTCTCCGGGTGGAATTCACTGCTCTAAAACTGGGCCCGTTTGGGCTGCGAGGCGTCCTGAAATTTTGGCGGGACTTTTGACCACACCTTTGTTTGGCGAGGAAATTTACCTTTTGGAACCGAAATTGGGCTGTTAATGGAGATAAAAACTTTGAATCGTAGAGAGAGGATATTTTCTCATAAATTTTCCTAAAAATTCAGGTACTTAAATTTGAAGTAAATTTGTGTTAAAATTTGTATAATTTTTCAAGTAATCTGCTTAGGAATGAAAGGACTTCAGCGAATGGAATCTGGCTGCGGGTGCGGTACCTGGGGATGTGATTTGCTGAATTCCAGTGTCATATCACATTCCCAGTATCCGTCATCCTTGGCCATCCTCCTGCAAAAGGCAACGGAATGCAGAAGAGAGCGATCGACCTTGGCATCGGCAGGCGCGGGCACTCCTGGTTGGGACCTGTTGAGATCGATTCATATCACAATCAGGAGTTCCTTCACCTTCCGACTGCACTTTCAGGCCTGTGAAGAAGAATAATTTCCAGACCGATCCACGGAATATTAAATATTTGAATAAATAAACCCTCCGAGGAAAGCCAAGTTCAATTCAAACATCATGAATTTTTTTCAATAAGTGTTTTAAAAGTTAAATCAAGCCCGTTTGAATAATAAACTTCCAGTTTTGATTTTGGCCTAATTTTAGAAGGAAAAAATGTTTTTTTTTGTGAGAGTGGTTGCCGCATAATCTCTAGTGATTTGCTGCTCCATTGACATATCACATTGATTATGTGGTAACCAAATTCACAATTTCGTCAAAATTGTCAATATTGTAGAATTAATTTCACTGTCAATTTAAACAAATTTAAAAAAAATTAATCTGTTGAAAAGTGTGCAGATTTTACAATTTAAAATAATTTTTCATCAAAGTGACTCAAAATTTTAACTAAGGCTTACTTAAAAAAAAAAATACAATTAAACGAATTATTTTAATTAAATTAAAGTTTTTTTTTTGTAACTATCAATTATTGCTCTAAGTAGACCCTGTGTATTTAAAATTTTGCATTGATTATTATAGAAAATTTTGCATGATTATTGGAAAAGTTGATTTTTTTGAATTTTTATTTAAATATTTAGAATATTTTTTTTAAATGTATTTTGCGTAGTTTTAATATTTTAATGTAAAAGTAATTCTACTAGTGCATCCTGTCTTTTTGGTAGGCTGTTAGTTGTAGGAACTTCAATACCGTGGTATGTCCAAGTCTCGCCATATCACGGATGGAGTTCCAACACCTCGCATGCTGACACTCTGTTTTTTCGGTGTTTTGTTTCGTAGCTAGTGGTGTTGGACGTAGGAACTCCTGTACCGTGGTATGGTCCATCAAAACCGCATATCACAGTTGGAGTTCCTTCCTTCCAGCACCGTCGCTCTCTTACCCCCCAGCCGAGAATGAGGAAAGAAAGGGAGAAAAAACTTAACAAAAAAATCAAAACTCGCTTGTTGTTGATGTCTATTTCCGTCTCGGCCCATCTGTGGAAGAAATGGATGTTTGCATTTTGTATCTTTTGACTTGTTTGTTTTTTCTGTCATGCGTAGAAAACTTTTATCTATTTTATCGAATATTTGAAATTAATTTTTAAGTTGGATAAAAAATATTTTGCATGATACTTTAAAGTGATATTTTAGTAATTTTTCCACAACTGTATTATCTTTTTATATCTTAAGTTGGATTTGAAACTGAAAACGATTTTGTCAAAAATCATAAAAGATTATACAAGTCTGTATATTTTTTTTGAAAATTATTTTAGGTATAAAATCTTTTTAGAATTGCTATCTAATTTGTGAATTAACCGTAATTTAAAATATTTTGAGGCATAATTTATATTAAAAATCACCCCTATATTTTTTAACATTAAATTGCTGTTTTCGCTCGGGCCGCCGATGTGAATATGGGCTAAATTTGTCTCGTTCGGTGGTCCATGTGCTCGCTTGGCTGCTGGAGACTCTGAGCAAATCTGCCTCCCAGGCACAGGAAGCGGCTTATCTCGCCGTGGCAGCGCGCGTTTGGGCGGCAAAAGTCATGACGTCAGCGGCGAACCGGCGGCCCCTGGTCCGGGGAGGCGGCAGTCCTGCGCAGAGGGGTGGCCCTTTTCCCGCCAAACGCTGATGCTGTGTTTACATGCCAGGTGACTCTGGCGCGCGCGCGATTATCGATGTTTATTTTCATCCCCCAGTGCAAGCGAGTGAGGTCGAGGGATGTTTCGGAGGGAAATGGCGTTCCGGAATCCCGCCGCCTGGCGTGCCCCCCGCGGGGTCCGACTCGGGGGCCCCGCGCCTCGGAGGGGCCCACGGACCCCGTCGGGCCTCCTCGTCGCCGCTGACAACCCCCTCGGAGCATCGATCCGTTTGTTTTCTTTGTTTGGCCTTGCTGCATGTCTCTCCGCATTTCCGTTCAAATTCGCCACAATTCCGACGAGCGATTTTGAGTTTGAACTCGAATTCGGGTTTTGGGCCTGTTTTTGAAAGGCGCCTAGGCAGGGGGGCGCTCGTGCTTGCGTTTCTGGCCGATTTGGCGCCGACACTTGGGCTGATTAACACGGACCGAGCTGGGGATTTTTTGTTGCTATGCAACCCTCTCGCTCCTCACTTCTCGTCTCTGAATGTACTTGAAAACATCAAAGGGTGCTGTTTTGCTTGCTTTTTAACCTGCTCTGGGTGAAAAGAAAGAAAGAGAGAAAAAAACTGCCTCTGCTTTTTCAGCCTGAATTTTTCATTCGGCTGCTTTTACAATTATTTAGGCGAGTCGCGCGCAACTAGACTATCTGTTGATCTAGGATTTCATAGATTTTTTTTCTAACAATCGATTTGCATTATATTACTGCTTTTTAAAGAGAATTTTAACTGTAATTTGCATGATGCTTTAGAATATTTTTAAATTTTTACTAAAAACTTGTTAATTCATCAATAATTGCACTTTGTAAGATTTAAGAAGGCTGTTGTGTTAAAAATGCTGTTGTATTAAAAAAATTTGCATCTTGCTTTTATGTTAAGAGTTTTTCAATTCAAAATTTATGTAAAATCTTTAATTAATTAAAAAAAAATATTAAAATTTTAATTATTTTGAAAAATGCTACTTTTCCATACATATTTTGTTAATCAAATTAAAATGTCTGTTTTACATCATATTTGTGTACCTTGTCGATGTGACAATTAGTCTGGATGGATATGAATTTTATTGCGAGAAGTTTCGATCGGATGTGAATTATTATTTTAGGTGACGAAAATTCGTTTCTCACTTTGAAATTTGTGCTTGTGCGCTGATGTACTGTCATGGCTTACACTACTACTTCTGCTACCTTCTGCTCTGACTGGACCAGTTATTAACAACTTTACTAATAAAAATAATAAAAAACTAACAAAAGAAACTAACTTGGTGGTGTGCATGAATTGCGAAGAGGCCTCGAGAGTGTCACTCGCGTGGGCTCCGTGGCATCGCTGAATCGGATGGTGCATGCGTTGCAAGTGGCCGTGGCCGTAGCACCACACGATTCAGCTTAGCCCCTGGCCCCCTCTCTACTAACCAATCGCCGACCTATCTCTTTTCTCTGGGAAATTTACTGCAGAAAAAATGCTGTGTTGCTTGTCTTGCTTGGTGCTGTTTCAGTGACAAGGCTTTTTAACTCGTTAGTTAAAAAAAAGATGTAACTAAATTGTTTTTAGAATTATTTACAAATGTTTGTATGAAATAGTATGTATTTTTTTCTGGGAGAAAAAGCAGTCAACTCGAACCTTCTGAAAATTATATTTTGAAATTTCAAACTCACTAATTATCTGATCTTGCCTTTAGGACTAGTGAAGGCGTTCCGAGCACAACGATCAGAGAAATCGCCCTTCTCAAAGGACTGAAGCACGTCAATATTGTGAATCTGATGGACATACTGCACGTCCCCTCCACGAAGAAGTTGTTCATGGTGTTTGAATTCTTGGACATGGATTTGAAGAAGTTCCTTGACAACGTCCAAAAAGCACTGCCCATCGACGTTGTTCGGGTTAGTTAATTTAGTACCAGTTTTTGAGTAAATTCCAAATTTGTTTCCTTTCAGAGTTTTGTCAGCCAAATGGTCGACGGCATTGCATACTGCCACAGCAACAGGATTCTTCACCGAGACTTGAAACCGCAGAACATTCTAATCGACATGACCAAGGGAGTGGTCAAGCTGGCCGATTTTGGTTTGGCCCGAGCCTTCGTGATGCCATTTAAAAATTACACGCACGAAGTGGTCACACTTTGGTACAGGGCGCCTGAAATCCTGCTTGGCTCGAGATACTATTCCTGCAGTGTGGATGTTTGGAGCATCGGCTGCATCTTTGCCGAGCTGGTTTGTAAAAATAAAACAATGTTAGTCTGATTATAATCTTTTTTTTTTCAAATCAGCTTCAACGGAAAGCATTTTTCCCTGGTGACTCGGAAATCGACCAGCTCTTCAGGATTTTCCGCACACTCGGTACACCTGATGATAATATTTGGCCTGGTGTGACAAAACTTCCTGACTTCAAACCCATGTTCCCCAAGTGGGAGAGGAATAGCTTGAGAAAAGTATTGCCCGAGATGCCAGATGAGGCCATGGACTTATTCCTGGTAAAGATTTTCTATTCAACTTGAGCGTTTTAATTATTAATTCCTCTTTCAGGGCATAATGGCTTATGATCCTGATAAGCGCATGACGGCAGTTGAGGCCTCGCAACACCCTTGGCTACACAAGGCCAAAATTGTGGTGCCCCCGCCTATACGAGATCCTTTCAAACGATAAGGAACAAAAAGCCTCCTCCAAAACTTATTTGAATTCGTAGCAAAAACTATGATAATTTTTCTTCCCTGTGATACATTTCAATGGTAGAGCTTGACCGAGGTAATATCAATCCTCTCCTATCTAAAAACAAAATCCAGACTCGATTCTCCTTCATTTTTATGCTTGAAATATGTTGGAGATTTTTAGGTATTTTTCGTCTAGCAATCCAATAGAGTTCAGATTCTATTTCTATCCTGCTCAGATTTGTAGAGGATTAATTTGGTTTAAAAGATGTCACAGTTGAAATGGTGTGCCCTGTCTTGCACACCAGCTTTATTATTACTACAGACTAGGCGTTGAAGAAATTAATTCCATAGCGTATTAAGAGCTCTTTTGTAAATAATTTAGCTTTTCTTTTAAATGCAGGCTTATTTCTCTAAAGGGGTTGGTCTAACTTACTATAAGGAACGTGTTAAAGAGTAAATTTGTCTTAAGCGTTGTGAGATTTTAGCCATTTATGAGTAATAGTCATTCTATTCACTGCCACTTAAAAATCTCTGTAAATGGCATTAATTGAGAAAATTATTGAATATTCGGTGTTAAAAAATAAACAAAGTGCCTTATATTGATATGATGTACAACATTCCGTTCATTTCTTGAAATAAAAACCACTTTTTGAAATGAAATGATACAAAATCGTTTGTGCCAACAACGGGCTAATTATTATTTCCCCACTCTTGTGATTTCCACGATCATTAGTGTCAAACTTATATTTTTATTAATAAATATAAATGCCAAGTGAACACTTGTTTAAATAAAACATCAATTTGTCTTATTAAAAGGTCAAGAATCGTCAGGATCTCCTTCGCTGTCATCATCACTACTTTGATTGCTATCGTCCGTCGGAGATTCGCTGTCGTCCTCCTCAGTCTGGTTGTCGTCCTCTTCAAGTTCGTCACTGTCCTCGCTGCTGTTGTCTGCACTTTGGGTGCCATTACGACCAGCAGCTGCACCACCCTTGAGTCTCTTTTTTTGTTTGTGCCGGTGCTTTTTGAAAAGCAGTTTCAGTTTTGCAGCGGCCAGGTCTTCTCTCATTTTCCTTAATTGCCACAGAGGCAGACATTGAACTATTCTGCTCTCCACAAGAAACTAAAGGAGGAAAATATCAATGGCCGCTCTTGTAAATAATAATGAACAGAGTAAACCTAATTCTATTGATTTTGAGGGCGCTTTTTAAATAACTGTTGGAATAATTCTTTAACCTGCTGTATTCTCTGTTCAGTTTGGTTTTGGCTTTGCTCTAAAATTCGCAGTTTGTACAACTTGTTAGCTCGATGTATTCTTCTGTAGGACAAAGGAGGACTGTCGTCAGCCCTTTCTGAAATATTTTTTTAAATCAATGATTAGATGGGAATTGTAAGACTTAAAATTAGCACCTTCATTTTCCAGTGTGGCTATGAGCTGCCTTGTAACTTCTGATGGCCGAAAAGTGCTCCTTGACTTGGAGGCTAACAAAATTCAAATTAGCATTCTACTTGCCTATTAAAAATTTTTTTTCGATTAAAGAAAAGGAGCTTGTTTTTCAATTGAATTTACTAACTTCTCTCAAATAAGCATATTTTTAAAAATTTTATCCCAAAATTATGGAAAAATTTTTTTAAGTGTATATCAAATGCAACTCACCAAGAGAGAGAAAAATGAACACCAGGATGGCTATCTTTAGGCCCGTGCGTTGCATCATCACTGAAGAGCGCTTGTAAAGCGTTTAAATGTCATTCACAAATTGGGGCACGCACCGTCAGCAAAGTGCGTAAAAGATCTGAATGAAATGTCTGCTGACGCAGGTCAATTATTATTTACAAAACGCAATTTCCTATCTAGTTAAAATTTAAACTAAAATTGTTTTCTACTTTCATTGTCAAAAACCAACCAACTGAATTTCTTTTCTCAAAATTTTGGTAAAAAAAAAATTATTTTTAATGGAAACACTTTGAGATTTGTGCCAGCGTGTTTATTGCAAAATAATATCATGACAAGTCATATACTGAGAATGATGATGATGCGTTATCATAATAACAATTAGTTGTAGTTCTTGCAGAAGTTGTTTCCTTTTTTACATAAGCATTCATTTTTATTTATAATCGAACAAAGCCTTTCGCACGCACAGTATATATTTTTCCGCGATAGCATCATAATTTAACGTTTGTCCTCTATTTACACGTCACAAACAAAATCACCAACTGTAAAAATCACAGAAAAAGAATGTTTTTACATAAAGTGTGTTTCGTTTTATTCTTCCTTTTATTTTAAATTCACATCAACCGACTTCAACGGAGAAAATTTCAACGTCCCAGATATGCGATTTTATTTTTTTGGATGACACCGAAAGCCGCTTCTTAGTTAAATTTCCTTGGCTCTTACGCATGCGATAATCGATAATGACAATCAACACCATATTTTGTTTGTTTTACTTCTGCTAGACATTACAGTAGCTTTCGTAATATTTTTAACCAGTTCGAAAAAGAGCAAAATTGGCCGAAAACATTGATATGAGAAGTTATATTATGTATGGTCAGTAATAACTCTTTTTGTTCACAGTTGTTTATTTTCCACAACAATATTCTCTGGCGATTTGTTGCTGGATATTTTCTTTTTACATTTTCATCAGTCTTATGATGAGTTTTGCAGCTTCTTTGAATACGTCACAATACAACATAAATAATACAATCAATAATCTTGCAGTGAAAAAATTCAATGAGTGCTGAGTTTGATTTTTTCGTCGGGCACAACACGCTGCAAAAGCCTTTTTGCGAGTAAAAATCCACAATCAAAAAAGCTATAACCGTGTGTGTGTATGTGTGTGTGAAAGCACCATTTTCGAAAATAAAAATCAACAACGCGTGGTTTATAACAATAATAATGTCCCACAGTTTTTCTTCCTCATTTTTTTGTTGCATTAAATTCATAAATAGTTAATTATATGATTTTCATCATTCTGTCTTTCATGCGAGGGCCTTAACTCTTTATCAGCAGCTAACTCTTACAGTTTAGATCTAGGTTTTTATAAATTTATAACTCGCATTAGCTATGAAGGGTGCTTGAAAAAATTGTAATGCAGCAATAATTCCGATGCCAAAACCGCTTTTTTTATACACCAACACTTTGCTTCCCACCTCAGCCGAAAACTGATCTTAATAGTTTAGAACAATTTTAAATGTATATTCAAATTTTACCTTTGCTCTAAGTGTCCCCAAAAGCTAACTAGAGAGGGTATTTGAACTACGAATCTTTCTCTCTAACGCATAAAAAAGTTTTCTATTCTCATCAGTTGATCGGCTAAATCTAGAATTCTTTCTTTAATTTAATTGAAATGGTTTTAAAATCATGCTGCTCATCAATAAGAGGGTTCTTCAAACAATTTCTAATTATATTTCTGCTTTGATTTTTTTTAAGACTTAAACTCGCGCGCACTTTCTTTTAATGATTTTGCGAATCCGGTGCGTGGTAAAAATGGCTGCAGCCAGGTACAGTTTGGCGTGAATTGTTCTCATCGTTAAATTTACCATTTTGTAAAAAAATTTCCGTCTCGTTGTGTTCCCATATCTGACGTCTCATTCAAAATAAGGGAAATATTTATAATTAAAACTGTAATTGTCAAAATTTAAACGTAATCCGTAAAAATTCACAAAAATTTTGTATTCTCTGCAATAGAGACACGTTTTTATCACGATAGGCTCCTGGGTATTGCGAAAAATCAAATCCAATAAATACTGCTTCCCTCCCTCTTAAATAATAAGTTAATTTTTAACTACATTTTAATACTCTCAGTAATGTTTTTCGATCACAGCAGTAAAGATCCAATTAAATCATCTCGTGTATTTTGGAACATTTTGTGAGACAGAATTCAAAATCCACTCGCATTTTAAGTTTTAATTTGCTCATTAAAAGTTAACACCATTTGAATGTTTATCAAAATTTTAATTTTTCGGGAATACATTTACTTTGTTTTGAGAGAGAGAAAAGAGCGAGAAACGCCTCTAGACTGTTTAATACAAAATTTTATTCAAAGGCCGCTCATTTTTGAAAAATTTATTTTACCGTGTTTTTACAATTTTATTCCAGATATGATCGTTTTTTTTTTAACGTTCAAATTTTATCAATCAATTTTTGGTCGTGTTGAAAGAGAAGCTTTTTTTACTTTTTAAAGCTGGGTTTGTGTGGCATTTTTTATGTGAGTGTGATTCAAAAAAATTAACTTCCATAAATCGAGTACCCCAATTTGTGTCTGTTAACCCTTCTTTGCACACGCTTATTCTTCTGTCCGAAAAAATATTTTAGCGAAATTCGCTTTTCTAATTTCGCTGCTCGAGGGAGAAGACGATTTATTTTTCGTTATATCAAAGTAGTAGTAGAAGTAGTGCTTTGTGTTGGATTAAGTAATTAATTGTTGGCCCTATTTTTTGTTACAGTTTTTCACAACCGTATTATAAAGTTATTAAATATTAAATTACTCGTAATAACACTAGAACTCGCTCACTTTTGCTATAATCTCACCACAGTTCCCCACCTGCGACGTGTGTGTTTGTGTGGCTAAAACGCACTTAATTCATTCTAGTCACTGACCTTTCTTCTGCTAAACTTTAATAAATATATATAATTATGTACCTGAGAGAGTAACTATCAATCAACCATACAAAACTGCTTCGCGTTCAATTTACATAACCAGAGGAGAGTAACACAGTATTAAAAAAAAACACAAGAAACCTGTTTCCATATTTCCGTCCCTCGACTCTACATTCACATTATAATCGTTTGTTTGTCACCAAAAGTACATGATCAGATTTTTTTTCCTGTTATTATTGGTGAAGCGCCAAACTTAGAATTCTGCAAGCTTTTGTTTTTCGTTTTAATTGCACAGACCTGTCTTGTCCAAAAGCTCTGCGCCTATATGAAGAATATAATTCTCTTTTGCACTTGATAAAAAACTTGCCTTTGTTGCAACAATATGAGCTTAATACACACAACAGATTTTTTAAGTTTTTATCTATTTTTTTCCGTGTGTTTGCGAACATGCATGCAATGTGTGTTTGTTAATAAACGATGTCTCCACCTACATTTAGATTTGTGTCGATAGTACATAATATTAGATTTCTTTAGACAAGTAGCCGCAGCGGTGCAGAAATGGGATTCTGTTCACTCCGTCACAAACAATCCCCGGCAGGTTCCTAAAATTTTTGATAATTCCAAGCTGCTATAGCAAAACTAGCAACCATTTTCCCACAGGAAGTGAACGTTGCATTTATATATAAAACTTAATTAATTATACATCTAATTTAATTTTTTTATTATTATTTGCGAGAGAAATGTGACTAGACTGAAGCGTTTGCTTTAATTGAATGGCTAGAATTTTTTATATTATATTTTCTTCTATATAAATTATTAAAGCTTGTTACCGCTCTTGTTGTTATTTTTCTTTTTTTACAGAGATCAAATATAGGCAATAACTCTATTACTTAGATTTATCCTTTTTGAGAAAATGGCTGCCAGCTTTTTAATATATCGTTAAAAGTTATTATGCCAATTATCTACTCGTTCTAACTCATGAATGCGCGATTAAATATTTACAGGGGGCACGTGGTCGATAAGTTTTTATGGAAAAAAGTTGAAGTACTGCGATTATTTGGGTGCGTTTGTCAAAGGGGATAATAAACTGTTCAGTGGAAAGAAAGATCTTCGACGGCCAACAAATGATTATTCACACCCTTGCATGTTTGTCTCTTTTTGCTCCTAATAATTGGTAAGAAACATAACAATTGATCCACTCGTCGTTGTGCATTTTTCACATAACAAAGTATTGTAATTTCTCACGATGGGAAGTAAAGACACGCAGTGCCCTTTTACTTAGCAGATTTTTAAGTATCCTTAAACCACGGATGGTGCCTACGAAAGCTTCTAGAACAGTAGCCCAATCAGCTAATTCGAAAGCGTACTGTGATAATTTAGTGCGAATGAGAGAGATGCAGACGCTTTTTCAAAACGCCGCCGCTGCGTACGACAATTTATTTATGTGGGCAAGAAGCGTGAACAGGTCTTGAAAGTAATGCACTTTGAAAGGGTTGAGAAAATGGAAAATTGTAGAAAACACTCCAGAATGGGGAAAACAAACCATTTTTGGCAAGGGTAAATCTGTTGACGCTTCTCTTACATGCGAATTCTCTTCAGCGATTAAAATATTATTAAGATGCTGGGCAAAGAAATAACATTTTAATGCATTGATAAAAGTGCGCTCTACTTGGTTATCATAAATTACGTTTTGTTCCTTTGCTTCATATGGCTGCTGTGTGAGTGTTCGCGAGTGTGCGGTAGGTGCCTTGAATGTTCTCTAACTTCTTCATTTAGTTGCCGAGTTCTGCTTTGCCCTACACGTCAGACGATCGCTTCTTTTGCTGCTCTGCCCAAGGCTTTTCTGTGGAATGTGGACTGTCAGCTCCCTAAAGTGGCCGAAAACAACATCATATTAGATTATTTCTAAAATTAATAAAAAAATTAGAAAAATAAATTAAATGGAAATTATGTTGTAAACTTTATTTTTTTCTGACCTGTGAAACTTGGTCAAGTTCGTCAAGCGACTCGAGGCGCGCGATGGGCGCCTCAGTGGCTGACCTGAACTCCCAAGACTCGGCCTCACTACCCTTGGACTCCTTCGACTCTCTCGAGTCGTGTCTCGGTCTGAGTGGCGTGGTCGTTGAAGAGAGCCAACTGCTGGGAATCTCCTTCAGCTGGAGTGACCCTGCTCGTCTTTTGGTGCCTTTCAAGTGAGCCTGTCAAATATATTTTAATTAATAATTTTAAAAGATTATTGAAATGGTTTAATTTGAAAAAGATAAAATTTATGCTATTGGCAGAGCTTGGCTGTGAAGCAGGTTGCATACTCGAATTTGACAGGGACACTGACCTGCGGTAAGTCAGACGGTTGGGACTGGCTGCGTGAAGGCTGCTGTCCAGTGGGCATGGACAAGCGTTCAGCCACTGCCTGGGGTAAGGACGGACATTTCGGACTGCAACTGCAGCTGCATCTCATATGGCTGGAGCAAGTTGGACCCAGACTGCTGGGGCTGCTGGAAAAGCCGCCGCTGGCGATCGCCCGCTCAGCGTCGTCACCGCTCGGACTTTCCACGCTCCCCTCGACTCCTTCCAGTCTTGGTTTGTTCCGAAAGCGTTCAGTATTTTTGACAGTTTGAATATTTCCAATGGCATACCTGTAAGGCCTTTGGTTGTCGCTTGGGAATGCTTCTTGGTGGGGGGCAATGGGGTGCAGCATAGGAGGTCTGTTGTGTCTTATCGATCGGGAAGTTGTGTAATCGGATGAAGTCTGTCAAAAGTGGATTTGGAGGGGCTGAGCGGGTTTTGCAAATTGAAAAATCAATGCTCTCTCACTTCTCTAAGGTCAGGTCCAAGCGAAGACGCGGACGAGGATGTTTCCCGCCTCAGGGGTGGGGGCATTGGGTGTTGCTGCTGCAGCAGCGAGAGGATCAGCCGCATGTCGCTTCCGACCTGGTGCTCCAAATTGTACAGTTGCCTGCAATTAAACAAAAGAGGACGTTGTTATTTTTAATCATAAAAGAAAACTCGTTCCAAAGCAAAAATGAAAAAAAAAGTATAAAAATAAGTAATGATTGATTAAACTCCTTTGTTATTAGCAACATAAAGGACTATTTTAAATTTATCAATAAAAATGGGCAAGAATTTGAAGTTAGCAGAATTAATTATTATTATTATTATTATCATTATAAGAAGATTTTCTAATTTTATTTCCAGATGGTTAGTAAAATTAATTAAATTATAAACTAAATATTTGTAAATTTATAACTTAAGCTAAGATGTTTTTTTATAAGTCACTTTTGATAATTTAATCAATTTTTTTGTATTCGCACCTGCTGAGCTGATCAATCCTAGCATTGATTTCGTCAACAGGAGGACACGTGCAACTTGTGCCCTGAGGTTGCGGCGAAGGCTCAGGCGTTGCGTACGGCGATGGGGCCAAAAGGTTGGTTTTCTGTGGACTTTCCTTTTTGACGTCCTCGCTGCTCCTCTCGAGGGCGGTTTCCTCGATTTGAGGCACCACTCCCTCCACGCCTGCTGCTGCGACAAACGAACCGGATTGATCAATTTTTGCACTTTCGAAAATCGGCGCAAATCACAGCCATCAAAGTAATCTTGGAAAAATATATTGCATTTGAAATTATTAAAACGTGAAATTTGCAATAATTGTTGAGGGTGCGAGATTTAAGTAAAATCAAAGTGGCTCGTGTGAAAACTTTTGAGACATTCACACTAGGATGATGTTTAAAAATATGTTGAGGTGATATAATATGTGATAGGTTTAAACTTTTTCTGAACGATTCCGATTTGGAATTGGCAACGAGAGAAGTAATCAAGATCAACACCAAAAAACGTCTCTCTGGAGATGAGGTCGCAGAACAAATAGAAAATAAGCGGGTAAAGGTTAATAATATAATTTTTTGGTCAAAAAGGAAACACTCAAATTGATTATGTACATCTAGCCACCTACTTGATGTGTTAGTTAGTAAAGGAGGTTCCTGCTTTTTTAAGCAACGGACAGAAACTGCTAGAGTGCCATGCTTAGATTTGCAAAAATCCAAAGCGACTACAGAGTCCTGCGGCGATGTTGGTGGTGTCGAAGTTGCTTGCTGAGTCTTAGAGCAAGAAGAAGTAGTGACGGTGGTGGCTGAGGTGGTTAAAGGTTTCTGCTTTCTCATCCACATACCTACATTGGACATAAAAGCCAACAGTACCAGGGTTAAACTCGCACTCTACTCGTTTCGCTCGCGATTCTCAGCACACTCACACGTACACACCAATACAGAGAAAATTAGTCGCAAACTGTGCAGAAACACACACCAAATATGGGAGAAGTTTTTTTTCGATTCGATCAAATAGGGCAGTCGCTTTCGTTCGAAGCCAGAATTTAGATATTGCAAAGCGAATTAATTCTCCGAGCCCAATAATTTCAGCCTGTTTAGCAAAATAAGCAAGGGTGCACTTATGTGTTTGAATTAGAGTGTTCGATGGGAGGGTCAAAAAAAGAGCGGGATAAAAATTTTATGTATGTAAACTTGTAATGCATGCCCATGACTTTAATTTCGGTTAGGAAAAAGATAAAATTGCTACCGTAAAACACTCCGATAAAAGCAAAATGATTCATATTATTTAAAGACCCACACAAGTATTTTTTTTTAAATACATTAACTTCACCTTTTCCCACCAGATATGAATTTTAAACCTTGAGGGAAGTTTTCGCAAAACTCAAGGGTGCAAATGTTTTGATCAAGGATTTTTGATAGATAAAATTTGTTTAAATTAAACAATCAAGCAACTAACAAATTTTAAGTTAAAAAATATTGAACATCAATCTAGAGTTTGTACCACATTGAAGCGCAGGTAAGAGGATTATCAAGAGAGACGGGTCAGATATAGAATAAATCGAATTAATATTGAGCCTCCAGATAACTTTTGAAATGAATTCGTTGAGAATTTTATCATTTTATGGGCAGAGATTTTTGTGCGGTGCTTGTGAGGTGCTTACCGTAGTCTTTATCATCACAAATAGCAAGAATGCATCCATGCTCGTCTTGCTCGCGCAATCGTTGGTGGTGTTCAGTGCTGTGACTGCTGTTGCTTTTATGCATACGGAGGTCTGTGAAGCTCCTTTTCAATTGGTTGAGCATGCCTGCATTCGCGACCACAAAGGAATGAGACAAACCAAAGCAAATAATCAAAAATCGAGGGAAATTCAAAAATATACAACAAAAAACCTCTGCAATCAGTTTGCGGTTAAAAGATGAAAAATGTACTATCGCTGCACTTTTTTATATATATTTCAGGCAAAAATATACGAATGAAAAATTCCACAAGCAGGATGCACTAAAAACTGTTGGTGAATTACATTAAAAAAAAAAAACTATTGCATTCGATTTTATATTTTATGTCTGGTGGAAATGTTTTGGAGTTTTGTCTTGTTTCTCTTTTTGTATGGGGCGGCGTACCTGACAAGGAGTTGAGAGCTGAAGATTTCGCTTCATCTTTGAATTCCAAATTGAGAGGAGTGACGTCACGACCCGCTTTGTCCGGCGAGAGCTCCAGTATGCCGTGTCCAGACTTATCACTGCAAAGGAAATTTTCTCATTATTTTTTTCCATCTGACCAATCTTTGGAAAACAAACAATTCTGAATGTTCTTCACTGGAATCCTCATCGTCCTGGCGCTGTTCCCTCAGGTCGGCCACGGTGTAGGCGCCGGAACCGGTGCTCGCCTGGGTGGTTCTTCTCTTCTTTGGCAATTTGTACGCAGCCTTTCTCACATCAGAGTCTCTGTCTTGCGAGTTTGACCTCGAGGCTAAGGGTGGTCGCCGACGAGCAACCAGGGGGTCCACGCCTGCCAATTCCTCCTAAAAAGCGTAGTAATTATTAAAATATGTAGATATTTTGAAATTTTAATTAAAAAAATTAAAAATCATCAGCAACAAATGAAATAAAAAAATTATTATTTAAAATTTTCTAGATTTAAAGCCTATTTCAATTGCTATTAAGTATTAAATGGAAATAGAAAAATTCAGAAACTTTCAAAATTAATATTTTACCAATCCTTTGAACTGTCTAGCTACATATATTTGATTGAGAATTTTAAAAAAATTTCAGACTACAAAAAATTTGATCTTTTCCTTACATCTCTCATGTTGAAGGTAATTTCGAGGTTGGTGGTGAAGGATTCGTGAAACTCGGGGTACAGATCCAACACGTCGAGCAGGTCATCACGGTGTATTTTATGCAGATCACAGTATGTCAGAGCCCGGACGTTGCACGAGGACTTGCCTAGGGTGGGGTGAGCGCACGGGTTCTCTCCAAAAATGTCGTCTTTTCCTGTTTTCATTCGCGCTTGAGCATTTCGCAAACTCAAACCAAAGCAAAAGTTTACCTAGGATGGCCATGACAATGTCGTCCTTGAGGATTTCTATCGAGCCACGCGATATGAAATGCAAGGACGTCAACACATCGCCTCGATGGACCAAAGTATCACCCGGCGGCGCGTGGGTTGTTTTGAATTTCATAGATAATGCCCTGTCGAGACAAAGATAATTAGACGAGAAAATGCCGAGTCAGCGCCGTTGACTCTGGGGTCAGGGGTAAATAAATTGCGCGGCCGAAATTTGAATGACAAAGGGACCCTTTGTTCACGCGAACTGGGTCAGCGAAAATCAAACTGTGCACAATTTTCAAGTCAAAATTGCATACCTCAGGCAGCCTGGTGATGCCCCACTAAATGCAGAGCAGGTGTTGAGCAAATTTCTATTGAGATGCAAACAAATGTCTGCTTGCAGACACTCGGGGAATCCCTTGAGGACACTGTTCATGTCTATGCCGTTTGTGTACGTCCACGCATGCTGCAAGAACAAAATTATTTAGAAAAATTGATTAAATTATTTTCTTTAAAAAAAGCTCTTATAAATGAAACAAAATAATATCCAAATCACTGGGAAAGTTGCAAACAATTTTTAGAAAATAATCTCGGCTTATTTTGGATTCTAATTTGAAGTAAAATAAATATTTCAAAAATACTCTTTCAAGATTTATAATAAATTTATTAATACTAAAAATAGTAAATGCTATCATTTATAAAAATAAATTAAAGGTTTTTAATAAATTTAAAAAAAAATATGAAACTAATAAAAAGCTGTTTTGTGAATAATAAATTTATCAACATATTATTTTTGTTCCATTTAATCATTTCTTATTTTCGTAAGTAAAATTTACCTGAAAATACTCTTCTAACCTCTGTCTTAATGGATTTGGAATTTGGTGGAAACGAATAAACTCTCTCACTCTCAACATTTGTGTGTGGTACCTCGCAGTACCGGAATAAAGTCTTTGAATTATCGCTGATACATTACCAAATATACTGGCGTACATAAGTGCTGCAAAACGAAAATCAGGTCAGTGAAACATTATTTGATGAAATATAAATGTCGTATTTTCTGTTTCAAGGAAACTTTTATATTCCTTTTCATCTGATGAGCATTTTTTATGTCAATGAAAATGAAACTCACATCCCACAAGCATCACACAAATGGTAAAAATTTTCTCTGCATCCGTGTTGGGCGCTACGTTGCCGAACCCTACCGACGTCAGACTACTAAACGTAAAATACAACGCTGTGATGTAACGAGACTGAAACAAAACAGAGAAAGGGGTAATTTCAAGGGTGACGCTTTTGCAATCCGGGTGTACCTTTATCGAAGGCCCGCCAGTGTTGTTGGGGTAGTAAAATTGGTGAGTATCGTTTGCTAAGAGATCCAACCACCCTACTTTACTTTTTAAGAGAGGCCGCTCTGCATTGCCTATTGCATACCTAAAAGCAAAAAAGTAAATTAATAAATGGAATGTGGAAGATGTTTAACAGCACTTTAATCCAAACGTACTTATTTTTCTGGGAAAAAATCTTTAGGAGAGATTTTATTAAGATAAAAATAAAAATTAATAATTCTGAGAAAAAGTATTGGAAAAAATACGAAATTCTTCAGAAATTTTGGAAATTCTAAATTTTAATTTTACACAAGATCAAAACGAACTAATTTTTTTTAAATTGTTGGAATTTGCCACAAAAACTTCATTAAAAATTAAGAATCTAAACATTTAGAAAGAAGAAAATAATATTTAAAGTGCCAATTTTTATGATTAAACTTTTTTCATTTGATTGTTTGCGTACCAAATGCAGGCGAGCCAGTGTGCGATGAGAGCAAAAGTGGCCATGAGGAGCAAAAGGACTGCGGCGCCGTACTCGGAGTATCTGTCAATTTTTCGAGCGACTCGCACAAGCCGGAGCAGTCTGGCAGTCTTGAGGAGCCCAATCAGCGTGGTGGTCTGCAAAAACAAGCAACTTTTACTCCCGAGTGCCCGTCCAATTTCGCGCCTCTCAGTCAGTAAGCAGATGTGTGTGCGAAGAAGTGTTTGAGTGCTACTCCTGCACTTTGTTTTCCCTCACTCAACAGCCGTCACGCGCCGATTCGAAAAAAGGGCCAACGCCGATTGAAGCTCAAAGAGAGCAACTCTATTTTCAATGCAGTTTCTTTGAACCCGCTCTTCAGTAGTGAATTTTAAAGCCTCACTCTACAGAGACTAAAATTTAAAAACATATTCCATTGACGCATCATCTTTTTAAAAGTATTTTTTTACAATTACCACTAATCTTCAGTGACCGGTTTAGTCAGAATTTTAGAAATGATGATAAATATTCAAAAATTGTCTCATTAACAAATACAATACAACAATTTATAGAAAATGGGATTGACATTTAAGAAAAAGGTAAAAGCAAATTTGTAAATCTGATTTTTTTTAACAGATTAAAGTCAGCTTTCAAATAAATACTACATTAATTTAAAATGCAAATCAAATGTATAAAAATACATATTTTAAATACTTACGATTTAATTATAATAAAATAAATTAAATATTTTTAATGAAAATGTTCCTGACGACAAATGCTGATTAATCTTTTCAATTAATTGATGCTCATAATATATTCTAATTTAATGATATGAACAAAATTAAAGTTGAATTTAACCCAGTCAATTAGTACAGGTTGTGCTGAAGACAGAAAATAATTAAAGGAGAAAATTGTATTTCAAGATTGGCGACTTTAATAAAAATGAAATTTTTAATTATAACTTTTTTGTTTCAAGTTGAAATAATTATAATTTAATTTTCCCTTTGGAAGAGGCTTAAATGCTCCTCGCGTCACTCGTAGTGGAATTCGCGGCCCCTTAATGGTCCGACGGCACCGCCCGCAACACACCCACGCTTAGCAGGTTGCAGCCCTACGATTTTCTCACTACAGGTGATCAGCGCGCCACCGCCGCTCACTAGATAGATTTGCTGGCAGGAGTACATTGTGTGGGTTCTCCGTGATTACGAGTGGCACACCTGGAGTGCACTCGCGGTTTCCAACCCACAGAAGTAATTATTTTTCGACCAGGCGAGCGACCATGAAAATAAAATGGGGGACAGGAGGACTCCAATTAAAGCATAAAAATTAATTAAGAAATCAGATATTTTATAATTTGGGTCATCAAAAATTTAAAATTAGTAAAACTAGTTGCGGCGAAAAACGTCTGCAGAAAAAATCGGAAACATGTCGTTTTTTGTTGCGACTTGGCAGGCTTGTTGGATAAAGTGCATTTTGTTCAGCCGTTGAGAGTTGACAGTTGACATCAAATAAGGGTCTTCGCCGTCGCTTGCTCTCAATCGCAATGTCAATACAGTGCAATTCCATTTTTCTGCAGACGTCGATCGCGTGTGTGTGTGTTTTTGTCATGCGAGTGTGTACGAGTAAAAGATACGAAAATAGAAAAATAGTTACGCTGGTCGAGGGCATACATTTTCACTTGCCTCGTCGGTGTCTGAGCCGAAGAGCAGCAGGTCGAAGGGTATGGCCGCGACCAGGTCGATCAGGAACCAGCCTCGAAGGTAGTGCACGGCGATTTTGCCAGGGTGCGACACGACCTCGTCGTTCGAGTTGACGTAGGTCGTGCGGAAATTGATCAGAATGTCGATGATGAACGTGACGTCCACTGCAACAAATCAATCGGCGATCAGCCCACGCGAGCTTGCAATTCTCTTTGCGGCCACAAGCAAAGTCACGAGAGAATTTTGATTTGATTGGCAGGCAACGTCCGTTGCGACCGACAAAATAATTGCAAATATTAATGAAGTTTTAAATTGAATAGGAAACATGTTGGTATCGATTGTGGTTTCACTACGGATTATTTTATATCACAGGAAGATTGGCAACGTATTTATGAAGACGAATTAATAATTTCAATTAAAAAAATTGTTTCTTGAAATTAAAGTGGAAGATAGTATTACTTGTTAATAAACTTAATGAAGATAGAATTATTCACAGGGCCATAAGGATCATTTTCATAACAAGAAAATTAGGGGTTAATTAATGATTAAATTTGTGAGAAAAACACAATTGAAAAAATTCATTCGTTTTAATCTTAATTCAATGCAATTAACTTCGGCAAAATTGTGTGACCCTGAAAAATTTTCCTTGATAACCTGCTGCAGATTAAGTACCAGAATATTATGGGTCACCTTGAAACGTTTGAGAAAAGTTGAATTGAAATTTGAAAATCGTGGATTTTGCATATTTTTTCCGAGAAAATGAATTCAATTTTTGATTTAATTGATTTCTGCGAGCAAATAGCATGACCGTTCCTATCAATTCTTATATTAATTAAGTTAAATGAAATTTTTCATATTGAAACTGACAAAAAAAAATCCAAAAGAACTGAAAGATCCGCCTCAGAATATAAATGTTTAAATTTTGAACCAGACGTTTTGAAAATGTTGTTGATCTTAAAATTGCGTTCAAACAAACAAAAATTGTTAAATTAGAGAAAATGAGAATTTTTTCAACATATAAATTAAAAATTGAGTAGGTTTTACCGTATTCCATTCAAAAAAAATAAAAAAACTTGGTAGGTGGTTGCATCTTTTTTAAATAGTGCTATTTAAAGAATTGCAAAAATTTTCCCTTACTTATGTATTAAAAAATAAATATTACTTATTGAATTGTCAGTTATTCTTTAGAGTTTTTGCTGAAAATTGCTTACAGATTTCAATATTGAAGGTTAAAATTTTATTTTTTGACTCCGTCTTGGCTTTTGATTTCGAGATTTAGAGCCAAAACTACACTTTTGAGCCAATACCAAAGATTGTATCACTTTGATGGGTTTGAAAAAGCACAGAAATCCGATTATTATTTTCCTCGTCCAACCCACTTTTTCTAGTATGGAGGTTGAGGAATTGGTTGGATTGGGAAAAAAACTTACCGATGAGGTCGATGACAACAATGGGGTCGTCGCCGTACTTTTTGCTCTTGCGATTGTTGTGGTCGGGCTCGTTCAAGAGGAAGGCGGCCACGTAGGGCGTGAAAATGGCCGTGTACATGACTAGGATAAGGATGATCCAGTCCCACGCCGCCTTGAACGGCGAATAGTGCAGGATGGTCCATTTGTGGATCCGCGGGGACTGCAACTTGTACTCTGGTAGGACGTCCGCTCCTAATGACAACACCTGCCGACAAACAAGCGCGAAAATCAATTTTCATTAGCCCAAAAGCCCTTTCCTCTCTCGCTCTACAGCTATGGGTGTGCGTTATTAGGTGCTCAGAGCAAAAACACGGGCCAATTCTCGTGGGCGACGCCGCGAAATGCGTTTTCAGACACACGACCTGCCCCGCGCCGGTGATGTATGAGAGCGTTACAATTTTTTTCCGCGCACAACGCAATTCTCGCGTCAGAAAAAGGGTTATGTACATACACGTCGAGAGAACTAATGAGAAATTTTTGCCGCGGAGGTAGAAATAATTTATGCATTTGATGTAGATTAAAAATAACAAAGAAATTCGCATTCATTTGTCACTGTCCGAAAAGAAAAGAAAATTAAATTTATTACAATGCAGCATCAGATAAGTTTAGAATGGTTGCGTTTTTTACCTCAATTTTTTTTATAAACTAACTGCCTCAAATCAAAGATAAAATATTTGCATATATTCGTTAGAAATAAATCATCAAATTAGAATATTTGTTTTGTAAATATTGACAATATTGTGGATTTTTTTCCCCGAATTTAATTTTTAAAATGAAATTATTGTTGCACTAATATTAAAACAGATAAATTCAGGGTTCTACTGAATTTTGCTATTAAAATTAATTTAAAATTTAATAGTAACCAGAAATCAATCAATCAAATCAATAGAATTAAAATGAAAGTGATTTATAATTCAAAGTAAATACATAATTTAAATGAATATTCGTTTCTTACAGTTCTTTATATTAAATTTTGTATTTTTTATCCACTCTTCATATTCAAGATGATTATTCTTCCATAAATAAAAATTCAAATTCCAAAATTTGTAGTAAAAATTTATGACTTCATTGGAAGTGATTAATGATCAACCATTTCCAAGTAACTGCTGACGGGAGTTTACAAAAAATCTCCCTCATTATACGGTTAATCAGGATTTATACCTTAACCAGCAGGAAAATAGCCGCTTTTCCTCCTACAGCAAATGACCCAGAAACGCTAGAACGATAACTAACTTGTCAAGAAAATCACACCAATTTTGTGGCGCCCGCAAGATAAAATCGTCGTTCTCGCGTGGTGAAAACATTCAGCATTACAGGAAATTGTTTTTTGCAAGCTGGCCATCAACGTCATGCCTCCGTTTCCTTTTGTTATAAAAAATTGAGTTTTTCTTTTACAAGAGAGGAGAATACATAAGAAATAGGGCACGAAAACTTTCACATTGCAACGTAGCGTGAGAAATGGGACACGAGAAACCCGCGGAGATAATTAACCGCACTAATTTGTATATTTTAATAATAATTTTCCTGTGTGTTGCGAAATTGCATGACAAGGTCGAGAACAAATGTGCATCGCCGGGGACCAAGTCAATTGCAGATCGAGATTGTGACCGAAAGTAAGAAATAATGACACCCCGGTGTGGATTGGCAACTCTTTCGCCAGCAATTCGGCGCAGGATATGCTCGGCTCGCACGCAACTCGGCCCCGATGAGACCCAGAACGCGTTTTCTGATTAACACACGCAAGCTGCTCGGAATGAGTGATTTATTTATCGATTCTTGCGCGGAGGCGCATTCGGAACTTCTTTAAAACATTCTCTCCGCATTTTAATTAGCATATACAAAACGTGAAGTCGTTGCGGGAAAAGGTAACGCCTGCCGTGATCGTATCCGCGCGGCGGCAGGAAGAAAATATAAACCGCACGCGAATTCCCCTTTTTACGGCGGGCGCATTTGGGGGAAGTACACATGTGCTCAGCAATTACCACCAGGCATGCGAAACGTTCTCATTGAAAGTATTTTATGTACCAAGTTGCAGCAAAACGCTGTAATAAATTTTGATGCAGAGTTGTGAGAAATTAGTTTGTAGAACATTGAACACGTCACACGTCCATTGAAGTAAACTTTTGAATTTCTAATGTTCATATTACGAGTCCGAGTGGATTTGCTAAATTTAATGTAAATGATGTATAATTTAATTTATAGAAATATCTAGAGCTTAATTATTTTTCAAATTTTCACGTCAACACGATAATAATTTTAATTTCAAATCAAGTTCTTTTTATCATACTCCTCCAATTTTGAGAACATCATAGACAAGAAAAAAATTTATTAATAACACTATAAAAAATAAAGAGTTCATTTTTTTGGGAAGAAAGCAATAAATTTAAATTCACGCAGTTCTTACTTAAATCAACTCTAATCATTGTTATTAAAATTTAATTATTTAACAACCAAAAAAATTAAAATTTACTTAAATTTTTTCCGCTATAATTTTATAACATTAAATTTCAATTTGATTGTTTCAGATGATTAATAATTCAATTTCGGAAAAAAGACTTCAGTTCCTAGACAGAATTACAATATAATGTTAAAAAAAAAATACAAAATATGAAATAAATGGAAATATTTTCGTCGAAAATTAATGATATATGTTTTAAAATAAATTTTCTTGTATAAAGTTTTTATTAAGTACATCCCTCTTTGGTATGCAAGCAGCATCATGTGAAGGGTAGGCCGCAGGGCCTCTTTTCTCTTTTCATCACTGATTGAGCGAAATGCGGCAAACAGAATCCACTTCCCGCTGAAATTCACAATCCAGCAGCGTTGAAAGCTGGAGGGATTTTTAGCATACAAAAGAGTTTGGCCCGGAAAGAAGTTGCTGCTGGGTGGAATAATTCAAAAGTCCATCGCATTCGATACGAATTCGGCGCAGGCACAAATTGCAGAATCATCTCACCACAAAACGGAAGCCGCAGTTTGCGAAGCGAGAGATTGATCCTCTGCCCGTACAAACGAGATTTTATTTCACCCACGGAGAGGAGGGTCGGCGGCTATCTCGGGCGGGAATATCACACAATGAGAGCAAAATTGGAATCAATATCGCGCTGCGTGTGCTGGCCATAAAACTGCGAAGAGCAGACAAAATATTTATATATAATTGCACATTTTAAGTCTACTTTTATTTCCGTGGTTCTAAAATTTTATGCCGAAGGAGGGCCCAAAAGTTTGGGAATGATACGAAAAGCCTCATGCAAGTTTTATTGTCCCTTCGTCCAGAGAAGGTCCGTTTTTTCCTCCGAGAAAGTTTTCATCACGTGATTCCATTTTACGGCGATCAGACCACCGAGTTCGTGTTGTTAATGGCGAAACATTTCCTAAATCTCTTATCACGACTTGTAGAAAATAAACGCACTACTGCCTTGGACAAACAACGCAAGAGACAAAATCAAACAAACCATAAACCGTGTGGCCTAGTCAAGATAAATTTAGAATTAAACGTGTTTTAAGATACTGCTTGATCACGCATTACTATTCAGATTAATTCAAATTGACCCTTTTTAGATGCATTTGCCCGCCGGGAACGATTATTGTTCACAACTTAAACATATGCAAATGGCCGCATCTAATCCCGATTAGGCCAATAAATTGTGAACGGATTAAACTGGTGTTTAATTAAATAACCAAACAAGACACGTGCACGTTTTTATGGAGGACATGCAACCTTATTAATTATCAAAGTGTAATGAATGTTATTACGATGTGCATGAATCCTTTTCTAACGGCCGAGGGTGTAGTAATTACAATAGGGCACGAAGGCGCCGCCTTTTCATTATGAATGAATGCTGAATTAATTATTAAAAAAGCGGGCAGAGCTGTGGAATCCGGACAAGCCCGTGTGTGCGACGCCCATTATATGGGTCGGAAAAGGAAATTAGACAGTTAAAATAAATTTCATTTGCTTTGATAAACCGTATATATCGCTTTAATTTAATTTTATGAATGTGTTCAAAAATGCTCCATATTATTGCACGCATGAAATGATTAAATTTCCAGTAATTATTTTTCAGTAAATGGCTTAACAAAATAACTGCATAAAAACTCAAGTGTTAAAATAAATTGAGGTCAACATGCAGTACAACTAAAATATTCAAGTTTTCGCAGAAATTCTCCCGGAAAATGAGTGGTGCAAACGAATGGCATAACCGCAAGTTAAGGGTCAAGCGAAATAGGTCATATGTACGAGAAAACACAATTGCTCAGCGTCGTAATTATTATGCATATTTAAACACTTTTGGCCTCATACCAAATTTAACCAAAATGAGTTCAGCAAACGTGTCTTGATTTGCACAGATCACAGTTCTTTTCACGCTGCAAGTTGATCGAGGTTGAAAAGTTTTGTCAATTCTAAATATAACTAAATAAAGTGGAAAGAGTTATGATGTAAAAAAATCACAACTTACGGGATTTAGACTATGAGTAAAAAAAGAAAATAAAAAATGAATTTAAAATTCTATTATCAATAAGCATTTTGATTTCTGTCTTTATAAGCTGATACACCTCATTGATGAGTGACGATACCAGATTTTTCTCCTTTGTAATATTTGATAAAATTTGTTTTATTTTTATTCCGAAAGATTTTTTTTTAAATTTTTTATATCTTAAGATATAACTATTCCCAGAATCTGAATCTGCTTTAAATTTATTAAATAAATTTATGCATCTCAAAATAATTTGTTACAAATTTAGTGTAAAAACAAAATTAACCGCTTTTAATGTGAGCTCGAAATGGAATTATAAATTATGCAAAATACTTCTCTGGGTAAATTACAAAACTCGGGGAATTCCGTGGAATCACTTGGGCTTTTAACTTTACGGTCAGCGCCGGGCGTTTTATAAATTATGAGCTGTGCTCGCGGTGTTAACTTCTTCTTTACCTCCCTAAGTGGTTGCGGCCATGACGAGTTCCTCTGAATAATGTAAGCCGTGCGGCTATTAAAGTTGCCCAGCATGTCGTGGCAGCCAAATTAAATTACGCGCTGCAAAAACTCGGCAATATTAATGGCGGAAAGCACCATAAATCGCAGCACACGCACCACACAAATGTCGCCCCCCGACTCTTTGCTCGTCTCGCTAGGCACAACAATATCTCAGGAAAGTCAACAAAAAGGAGATACTACGAAGCTGCTGCGGTCTGTTTACATGGCA